TTTTATACGAATATAAAAATAATTATATCATGCTTAAAGAACATTTGATGTTAAATCAAGTTATAATAAAATAAATGATAATTACATAAATTTTTTGAATAAGATGATAGGTCAAACGTTTGTCAAAAAGTCAACAGCGTCATACATTAAAAAAGGAAGTACAATAATATGGACATGTACATACGTACGTACGCATATATATATACGGCAACCTTAAATAGCAAGAAAAAGCATCTTGTACTCTGGTACTTAGCAGCAGTAGAGGCCTTTTTCTTTTAGGCTGCATTCATGCATGCAAGGCCAGTGCAGTGGGGGACCCTAAATATATGGAAGGTGCCATTTCACATCTCGTAGGGTCCGGAGATTAATTATTATAATGTGATCGGACCCCCTTAATCAATTGATGGCTTGTCAACTAGGGTGACCAGAGCTTTGCCTTAATCCCAACCATAATTAAGCACTGGTTTTAATTTTTCTTTTGATTAATTAGTTAAATGATTGATTAAGCAACGCAATCGATCTCTGAGAACGTATCATACACACTCCATTTTTGTGTGGACTACATGTGTGTGTAGAAGATAAACCCAGTACGATCCCTCTGTTCACAAAATAGATATGGCCGTTTTAGAATACGTACAGACAAACTCAAAATCTTTAATTAACTCACTATATATAATAATTACTCATTCCGTCCTTAAATATAAGGGATTTTGGTTGGATGCGTCACATCCAACCAAAATCCCTCGTATTCAGGGATGGAGTGAGTATCAAAAGTTGACATGTAATAAAGTTGAAATTAATAAATTTATTTACAACATAAAAAAATATTTGCGTGTAGTTCAGTAATTTCTATAATAAACATATAATTAGAAAATATAGTGTTCAAACATGTGCATTAGAGACTGTTGATGTCCTTAAACATCAAGTAAAGTTTTTTTAGAGAAGGTAATGTATTTTTCTAATTTACCCGGTCTCTACATCCAACCAGATGTATGCATCCATTTAAATTAGGAACTTAGCCCCTTAAACAAGCTAATCTGAAATTTGTTTCTACGGATATTTCAACTTATGACTTTGAGGTGGTGCTACTCAAGTCACTGCTACCACTAAATAACAAGTAAAAAAGAGAACGGAGGGACCGAAAGCAAGGAGTGACAGTGTAAGCTCTGTTTGGTCCTGCATCAATTAATTAGTTTTTGTTCACAAAGAGGGGCCAGCCATGGGATATATGAAAGTGATGCCATTCGTGGAAATGGAGCCCCCCGGCCATATTGTCATGTCCTCGCAAGCTAAAAGTATAGGGTAATTTGCACTCAAACACAAAACAAAACTTATTGGCCATTGATTGAATTCAATTGCATGCATATATGCACTGACGGCCCTTTTCCACAAGCAAAACATGGAGCTGTTGTGCAAACGATAGATCAGAGCATGTCGTTCTTGACACGTCAATTTAATCTGCATAACATGTGGACCATCCATGAAACAAACGGTACCAGTACTTTTATATACACGAGGAGAAAGAGAGATGCCTGCTGGCCTGTCGGTAGGTATTACAATATCTCATAATTAACGATTAATATAAATAATTGCCTCAAAAAAAAAACTTTTCGATCGATCTTCTGGTTAGTTTGACAAATTAATTATGAAAAGAAAAAACACATGCCATGCACGGTTTAATCAATCACCTTTCATATTTGACCACTATACTTATCTTTTTCCTTTTCTTAATCATTTCATTTCTTGTCATCACTCATCACCGACTTGAAATACATAATGCAACTTGTTTTAGTGTAAAAAACATGTGTTTGCATGAATGATATCGCAAAGAATCCAGCTCTGGCGATTGGATGTCTGACTTCTGGGAGTGAAAAGAACAGAAAAGGAGAGGAGAGAATAATAGGAAGAAAATTTAGTTGGGACGCAGGCAACTTTCATGCTACACGAATATACCACACTGAAGAAAGTGATGTCTCATGAAAGCAAGTTTTTTGTTAAAAAAAAATAAATTATACTACATGGATTGTATGAAAGGAAGTTGTTCATGCAGCAGCTAGCAGCCTGCCGTTGGTTTTCTTTTGCAAGAAAAGGACGACGAGAGCATGGCACGACTGCATGCAGATCGTCCTGGGATTACTTGTTGGTAAAGGACAGCTACAAATGGTTGGAAAATCTTGATGCAATCCTGATTAGCACACACATGAGGTGATTATTATATACAAGTTATTCTACTTGGCCACTTGATCGTTCTTCCAAAAAGGATTGCATGCAGATATGCATGTAGAGATTGTAAAGAGGGGGAAAAAAAAGATGTTGCTCACAAAATACAATATGCAGAAATAATATGGTTCCGCTTGATTAAAATAAGCTAGTTGAGCTTGCCCGTTAATTAAGTAAGGTCATGTTTAGCACAGCTATAGATCCCATATCAAGATTGAATTTAAATTTTATACACTAAATTACAATGGTATAAAATTTTATATTCATCTAAAACATGAATAAAATGGTTCATCCAAATATTATTAATGTAATAACACGATACACCAAGCTGATCCATAAATTTGTAAAGCTAGGAATACCTAATTTTAAAAAATCTTGAATTAAGAGCAGTGTCAATAAGACCAAATTAAGAGGCTAGTAACCATCAAGCAAATCCAGAAGAAATATATTTCAAGAAGCAGGCAAACTAAACCTGCTACGTACTAACACGTAATCCCTCCGTTTCACAATGTAAATCATTTTAGCATTTCCTACATTCATATTGATGTAATGAATCTAGACATATATATCTATCTAGATTCATTAACATCAATATAAATGTGGGAAATGTTAGAATGACTTGCATTGTGAAACGGAGGAGGTAGAGCAACGACTAGAGTGGTTCTGTCATCAGGTCAAGCCGTCAAGATTAATTGCTAGCACATGGAAGAGAGAATTAGCAGCTAGGATTATTATTATTGATTAGTTGGGTCAAGAGGCGCAGGAGTTAACACGAAACACTCGGAGACCGGCTGCGACCCACCATCGAGATCGAGTACTCTACGTCGTTGACACACACACGTACGACGTATAATACACACGAGATATACGCACGTAACGACGTAGTAATGTATGGACATACGTGCAGGGTGCAGCACACACCACACACTTAAATTCAGCCCAGTACAGATGACAGCTAGCCACACGGGAAAAGAGAAGAAGAAGAAGAAAAGTTGTGACAGTGACGAAACGCGACTCGCAGGGATACTCATGTCCAGCAAAAATCCTCCTCCTTTTTATAATTAATTTTCCTCATCGTCAGCTGACCACGCAAAAATAATCAACCATTTTCTTTATGTAATATATGCACCCAAAGATCACTATTGTAGTCTTCTATAAGAAAATATGTATAATTTATATTTTATAAGTGATGAAACAAAGACTATTGGCAGTGACAGCAGAGAATAAATAAATATGCACACGCACGAATGGCTATTAATCATCATTTGGCTGATATATAGTCATGCATATATAAACATGAAACGAGTGCAAAAAACATAAAGTATATATTATTATTATTGAGAAATAATTATATATTTAAAATCTATGGAAAAAAAATTGGCACAAGAGCTATAGAAGTGCGCATCGAGTTGGCTGGCACACATGGAGGTGAGCTAAGGCAGGGTTGTGCTGTATAGTGGTCCTGGCTATGCTAATTCGCTGCACTCACTCGATCGAAATTAGGAAGAGATTATGGATTGGACTGGAAAATTATTTGGAAGAGATTACAAGGGATTAAATTAAATTAAATTCAATGAAATTGGACCCTCCATCCATCTCATCCATCGGATGGGTGCCCTACCGACGCCGGCCCGGCCCTCTTGTCCTACACCACCACCAGTGCACGCACCATACTGTCTAGTGTACTCCTCCTCCCTTTTCTCTCTCTCTAACACCTCATCTTGACACGTCTTTCTCTCTCTAAACACACGCAAAGAGAGAGAGAGGGAAAGTACTAGTACTACACTACTACGACGCACTGTTAGCTTCACACATAGGGTCCACGACGAGACAACGCCGACGACGACGGTGGTATACGTACCACGGCTCTATTTAAAAAGCTTCCGACTGCTACAGTTTTTCTCTAAACAATATATTTTTCATTTCGATTTTGAGAAATTATAGTTAATAACTACAAAATCTAGAAAATAAATCAGAAGTCAAAAATCCAAGTTTTTCATTCTCTCCGTATCTTTAGAAACCGGCTACTAATCCATCGTTGTTTTTCAGAATCTTAAGCTTTCCGAAGAGGGTCTGTATAACTAACGAACCATGGGGTTGGGGGTAGGGTAGGGGTGGCGTCCTGTTGTCATCTTTTATCCCTCTTGAATTCCGGGGGTGTACCCATCACTCCCTCCTTTCATCCATCATCAAGCCCACCACCACCACCAATTTAAGGACACTCTCTCTCATATAATGCTTATATATGATCCTAATCATAATGATAACAATATTATCATTGGGTAAATCATATCAATAGTAGTAGTAGTAGTATCATCATGTTGTACATGTAGTATATTGGTGCAGCACCATATTGTGTTGTAGTGTAGTGAAGCTGGACTGGACCTATGTTTTATATGGGGACCCCAAGAGAAAAAGATGCCTCGTTTCGTTTGTCAAACTCACCTTTCCTTTCCTCCCGTGATCTTCTAATGCCAGCCTTGCTGCTGCTAATCGCCATGCTGCCCTTGTGCTGCCGCCACCCCCCTAGCTACCCCTCCTCTCTCTATTCTCTCTCTCTCTCTCTCACTTATCCACTTTTAACTAAATATTAATGATATCTTTACCTAGATAATCTAATAAAAACTACTACCTCCGTCCCTAAAAGAATGCATTTCTAGCTACGCATCTGGATATAATCTTTTCGGAACGGAGGTAGTCCTACTTGACACAAACAGAGTTATATGGACACAATAATTGAGCCAAAAAACATGGTATTTATTCTGCGATATGCTACTAAGTATATAATTGGATTATTAGCTGCATATATATTCATCTGCTGTCCTGTGAGCTGCAACTGTACAATTCTGACTTGTGCCCAAGAACGAGGGGAAGAGAGATGAGATGAATGAAACGGACCTGTGCCAATTGCCAAAGCAGAGAAGGTCAGGCTGTCACCAGAAAGTCCTTTTTCCCCGGCTAGCTCCTGCATGCAGCTGATGAGCGTCCTGCATGGAGAAGAAAAGAACAGATGGTGACACTGAATTCCAAGAGTGAGTATCACTTTTATTTTAATTGATACATACTACATACATACAGACACCGGCGATGTGCTAATTGCTCCAAAAATCTCCAGAAAAAACATATAGTACAAATGCATATATACCACAACAGACAATGCAAGCCTCCAGAACGGATGGGATCCGTCTGCATGAGGAATCAAAGGACAAGGATGATCAGCTGGAAACCAGATTATAAAATCATCAATCAATGCCTTTTGATTCGCCGCGCGCTTGTTTAATGTTTAATGGGGGGGATGAGTATCCGCTGTCACATGGGCACAGGAGGGGGGATGGATGCCATTACAATCCTAATCATGGAATCATGGATTAAACTTTTCCCCCTTTTCCTTTCATCAGGATACCAGGCCATAATACTTGCATTGACTAGCTCATTTGGGATGAATACTATAACTCCAAATGTTTTTGTCTCTGTCCTCCAGGCCCTTGCATCTTTTCTTTTCTTTTTTTCCAGTACTTCTAAATTCCAAGAAACACAACCGGCCTCTCCACAATGATCAATCGATCGACCGATCGGTGTTCCCATTGACGGCAGAGACAGTCAGCAGACAAATCATTATTCCTGTACCTGCGCAATTATCTGTGCAATTATGGGGAAGCTCACCGTTCTGAAGAACTGATCACCACAGACACGCTCAACGTGCTTCATCTCGGATTGGAGAAGCAGATACGGATTTCCGAATGAAAATTGCTAGGGTATCTAGCTGCATGCCCATGGTAAACAAAGGGGAGAAGATGCCCTCTGTCCTGGAATACCAACATCTGATGCCACCACTTCTTTTTCCCCAGGACCCCAACTGTGATGATTGACGGGGAGCTTTTCCACAGAGACAAGTGATCCAGTGACTTACCTGAAAAGCAAGAGAAATAAAGGACAATACTTAGGTCTGACACATAAAATCTTGCAGGTGGGAGAAAATGAGGTGCACATGCACGCACGCACGCACAGCACAACACAGCACAGCAGCTAACAAAATTGGGACTTAATTGGCAACAGAAGAAAGGTGGACATGGCCTCCCAGTCCCAGCACTCCAGCAGTAGTCTGCTGCTTTCTTTGCCCCTGCATGAAACACTCGTGATGTACAAGTAGCTGCAGGAAAGAAAATAAAAGGAGAGGAAAAAAGGATTTAAAAGAGAGAAAATTTCTGATTTCTAGTAGAAAATGGTGTACTGGCTGGGTCGCAGTCAATCAACATGGGAGCAAGAACATCAGTCCTTGTCCTAATAATGTAAACCCTGATGGACTGGTTTTACTTTCACTTGCTGACTGATTCTCATCAAACAAGTACACTGGAAATGGGAAACGAGATAAAAGGAAAAAAAAAAAGGCGAAGAAGGAAGAAGATGGAACAGTTTTTTGTACAAGGCCGCGACAATTAAAATATCGGTGGAGACGGACGGCAACCCCACCAGTTTTGGCACCGGACATAGATTCTTAGGAGATGACGAGACAGACCCCCCACACGCACAGCCAGGAAGCAACCAAGGCAAGGGGTTAAACCTCCCTTCTCACAACCACCACCACCACCACCACCACCTTTAAAAGAAGGTGCTAAAGGGGGTGTCCTGCAAAGAAAAGGAGAGGAGTGCCCCCTAACCTTTCCCTGCTTTCCACTGAAATCTCCTATCCGCAACCATACAGTTGCTCAATTCTGGTCTCAGCCAAAGCCCCAATCATTCATCGTTATATAGGTCACTATACCCTCCCTTGCATTTCCCACCACCACCCCTTGAAGCCATGAATCGCTGAAGAAGTCGTCTGCGCTACTGCTACCACCGGGGAAGGATTAGCTGCGCAGAATTGTGCGAGCGAAGCCTGCCAGCCGTGCGAATTTCAAGCTCCGAGGTCCTGCATTGCACTGAAATGGGGAGGCATTCTTGCTGCTACAAGCAGAAATTGAGGAAGGGGCTCTGGTCCCCTGAGGAGGATGAGAAGCTCATGAATCACATAACCAAGCATGGCCATGGCTGCTGGAGTTCTGTTCCTAAACTTGCAGGTGAGCTCAAACAAGTCTTCTGCATTTCCTCGTTTATACCAGCTTCCGATTCTTCTCTTATCTCTTCTCCAACAATTCTACTCCCTGAATTGGTCCAAAATTCTAAATTTCTTCCTGGTGAATTGTTGCAGGGCTCCAAAGATGCGGCAAGAGCTGCAGGCTGAGGTGGATAAACTATCTGAGGCCTGACCTCAAGAGAGGTGCATTCTCTCAGGAGGAAGAAGACCTCATCATTGAGCTCCATGCTGTCCTTGGGAACAGGTAAACTTCAATCTCAATTGGCACTACCAAAATTCAGGACTAGTAACTGCAAGGCAACACTTTGATACATCAACTAACACAGCCCTTCTATTTTTCCATGAGAAGGTGGTCTCAGATTGCAGCTCAGCTGCCTGGGAGGACTGACAACGAGATCAAGAATCTCTGGAATTCTTGCATCAAGAAGAAGCTCCGGCAGAAAGGCATTGATCCCAACACCCACAAGCCCCTCACCGAGGCTGATCGCAGGGGAGCAGCACCCACAGTCAGCACCGAGAGGACCTCAGGGTCCAGCGACGTCAACCCGTCAAGTGCTGGTGCTCTAGGGAACTTGAGCCACCTCCTCAGCGAGACAGCACAATCATCAATGCTGCTGCCGGTGTATGATAAGAATCACCCTGAAACTGCAAGCTTGCCACGCCCTAAGGTGCCACCAAAGGAGTTGTTTCTTGACCAGCTTACTGCCGGTCACGAGAGCCCATCAAGTTGCCGCTCATCAGGTCCAACCCTGTATTTTCCTTTCCAGCAACCATTAGGCTACAGTAATGAATGTGGCACTGGGGATGGTGCGAGTATGAATTCACTCTGGTTCAACCAGAATGATTTCAACTGCAGCACAATCTCCACCGTGATGCCACCAGTTTCACCATCAGCCCTCTCAACATCAATGGGGCTGAATCTTCCCCCAGAAAATCCTCGTCACGGAGGCACTGGCATTGGCAACACCCCGTTCTACTGGGATGGTTCCAATCCTAGCAGCAGCGGCAGTACTGGGAGCAGCGGAAGCAACAGTATGGGATTCGAGCCACAGAGCACAACCTCAATTTTGGAGAACAGTGTATTCCCATGGACAGATATCGGACAAGAGAAAGATACCAGAGTTCACTTAGTGGAGGAACTCAAGTGGCCTGATTTGCTCCATGGAACCTTTGCTGAGGCGACGACAGCCATGCAGAACCAGAGCCAATCATTATACGATGATGTGATCAAGGCAGAGAGCCAATTCAACATGGAAGGGATATGTGCCTCTTGGTTCCAGAATCAGCAACCACAACAACAGCTGCAAGCAGCATCAGACATGTATGATAAAGACTTGCAAAGATTGCCCTTGTCTTTTGAACATATCTAGGTGCAATGCTACGCCATGCATGGAACAGAGCAGAGATCAGAAGAAGCAGAAACTTGTAACTCTCGCATATTGATTGGCAGGCAAAACACTGAAGTGTTTGATGTTTTGACACAGAATCGACCTCAACACTTTCTCCTCACTTAAAGATCCTACAGTGTCATGGAAAAGACAGCTCTGGCCTTACGAGTAGCAGAAGAAGGGATAGAAAAGTACGTTCTAGAGTCTCCCTCTTTTCTCTTGAAATTTGCTGTTTTTTGTACACGACAACTCAACTTTTGGATACTTGAGTTTTGGTTCACTCTGTTTATCAAATAAATATAGACACGCATGGGCAAAACATGTGTCGGTAGCTCTCACAAACCATACAAGTAGTCCCAAGCTTTTCAACTGCTACCATGCACGTACATGCAAATTAATTATTGCATGTTGTATTTTTATTTCTTTTGAGAAGTTGCCGACAAAGTGCAGTTGTATATTTGTAAAGGAAAAAAATTGGAACATTGACCCAAGAGTTATTTTCACCTCCTCTCCCTTTCCAGTTTCTGTCTTAACTTTTTATGTGAAGAATCCAAAGCTACTTGATCACTTTCTACTTGAATACAAGCAGGGAAAAGGATTGGTCGATTTGATAGGTCCAAAGAGGTAATCATCCTCCAGAGAAAGTAAACACATTTGACAAAAGAAGAGGAGGAAATTATTAATGAATATCCACCTACCATATGGATGGGTAATATATGAAACATCAATGTGTGGCGGGCACTCAAGATATGCTTATCTATGTGTGTACATCACTTGTTTGTGTACCAAAACTATGGTACATTACTTATTTGTAAACCATGGAAAATGTATGTCTGCCTTACAAAGGCCAGGAGTTTAATTGTTCAGCACCTAAGAGATTTTGCATGCTTCTTTGGTTTATCCCATAATGAATATGGACTTGCAGCACTTCTTAATCTAGGTTTGAGTTAAGATTCATTATGAACTTGCGGCACTTCTTAATCTAGGTTTGAGTTAAGAAGGCTAATAGACATAAGAGCCTAGTCTCAACATCTTCGCCCTGAGGGACAATGTGTAAAGGAGGAGCTACTTGCTGGCTGTGTGAGGGGATGCCTCATCCCTCGGGCGTTTGTAAAAGGGAATTATTGATTGCTCTAGGAATAATTGGAATTCAGTTCATAAGGATTTGGGTCAAAATGCCCCTATCCATACAGTCCCTCAAGTTAGTTTTTGAATATAGAAGGCTCAGTAGCCCTCAGTGCTCAATAAAGCTAAGAACTCCTAAAATGATAAACAAACGAGGAAAAGGAAAGGCTATGCCACTATTTTCTTTGGCCTGTCAGGTGGGCTCCTTTTTCTCTGACTACTCAAAAATTAAATCAGCATCATATTGGTTTGTTTCTATGCATGGCAGTAGTCCTAATTAAAATAAAGTTGTCTAATCAGGTTCCTAGGCCCCAAATTAGCTTTAGAAGTTACATATTTTATTTTTATGTGACATAATTAATGGAGTGTGGCCATGTGCACGAAAATGCTGGCATAAAGTGGTCAGTCCTTGCATTTTCACAAATGAAATGAGACCAATAATGCTGATAAGGACCATTAGCACTAAAAAGCAATTAGAGAGGTCCAATAATTCTGTTTCGTAGCCGTGAATTACCTGTCTACATCTTGGTTCTGGTAAATAACTAAACACAAATTACACTTGCTAAGAGCATGGTTACATACCCTGATGTGTCAACTTATGTGGCATATGTGCTTTAATTTCCTTTGTTTATATCCTGTGTCTGCTTGGACATATGAGCTGTATAATTGGATGTATCTGCATGTTTTGAATGAATATATCAGTTGAAAGAAAGCCAAAAAAGTACAAAGGGAAGTAGAGGTAGCGGGACACGAAAATAGTAACTGTTGTAATGGAGTAGTGCTAACACTCTTCCAGATGAAACAGACATTTGGTTTAATATTTTGATATTTAGTTTCAACTTTGCAAAAACTGGATACCTAACACCATCATTAGAAAATTAACGATAACAGATGAGGAATAATATCACAAATTACTCGAGTAACAGTAAGTTAGCTACAGTTAGGCCCAAGATATAATAACTTTTGTGCTATTAGGACGTCCAAGTGGAGCAAGGATTATCCAACAAATAATTCATCTTTTCCAGTTGACAGGACCCTAAATGAAATTCATTATGATCAAACTTGAACTTTAAATACATGAAGCTCAAGTCGGCGAAATATCCTTACTTTTTGTACAAACAAAAAAATTTGGGAAAACCAAACAATTTAACCACCACTTGTTTCTTTTTAACAGGAACTAGGGTATAGTGATACAACATTACCAGGAAAGAACCAAAAGGGTAAGACAAGAATCTATTCCTGCATGCTAACTGTGTTTCTGAATGTTTCTTTCTTCTCTCTTTGACATCAGCGTGACGATAAGAATATGAAAGCAAATTGGAGCAGCTTTAAGTTTGCATCACTATAACCAAGAAAGAAGCTCCCGTCTAGTGTTGAGGGTATAGATGGAACAATTTTGCACTTGAATATATAGTACACTACATTTGTGAATAACACCATTCAAAAAATGCCTTATATTTTTCTTAGTGGGGGGAATACATGCTTGAGACTTGGTTGCACGAGTTTCATCAGTTGTTGACCTGAGAATTCACACATATTCAGATGGCACGTCTTTGTATTGTGTGATTAGCCAAATCCCATACTCCATAACCTCAATGGATAAGTTTGGCTTATATTGAAGATCAGATAGAGGGAAAAGAATAACATTTGCAGAACTAAATCCCAACAGTATACACCCAATCACTAACAGTAGAGAAGTAAATCGTAAACCAAAAGGAATGACCCGAGACTGTAAGACAGGAGGAAACAGCAAAGCAAACAGCTAGTTGGTTGGGATGATCCACAAGCGCATGTGGATAGAATCATCAACCAAGAGAGAACAAATTGACAACTAAACATAGCTGAACTCAGAAGCAAGCGAGGATATAGGTAGCTTGTGGACCTAGGTGTATGCAATATACAATTCAGTCTACGCAGATCAGGGTTCTTTTTCTCCTTTCTGAGTTTCATTTCCCCTTTGATCCTCATCTTTCTAGTTGAATTGGGACAACAGGATGTAAGGAGTGTGGCTCAAGATTTTTATCATTTAAAGGCTGCATTCAAGCATGAAGCTGAAGCCCAACATGTCGAGGCCATGTTCTTCTTTGTGGAAAGTGATTCAGGAATTTTTCTTGAGGGCCTGCTTTGCGAATTGTGAGATCATGGCCCAGGGCACGGGAGTCATCTTCCTTAATGACAGAATCAATAATCCAACTCGAGAAGATTTGGAGGATCTCCAACAGTGAATGGAAAACCTGCACTTTCATAACGTGACTTACGTCTACAAAAAACAAACTGGTAATTTCTGAAAAGAGAAGTGCAGTGGTTGATTATCTTGACATTCATTTATGTCTGTTTCCAGAATGAGGTTGACGTAGCAATATTTGAGAAGAATACCAACACTAAAAGATTTGAAGCTTCACATTTTCAGGAGTAGAAAAACTGGGAAAATATTCTTTAAGAGAATAAAACTGAGACTTAATTAAACAGGCATCACCCAACCAGCCACCAGTGAAGCATGCATGTGAAGTATCAAGCATTATCAATCTTTCACAATTAGTTGGATTCAAGCTTCAAGTAAAACTGAGACACAAGTTTACCTTAGTGGGACATGCATGTGAAGTACCAAGCATCATTAATCTTTCACAATCAGTTGGATTCAAACTCCAAGTTAAAAAGGAAGATATGCAAGAAATCACTTGACTCACTTCATCTCTTTTCCTATTTAGCTACAGCAAACTGACCAAAGGCAACAGACAATCCAAAGGAAAATGGGAGAAAAAGGACCACAGACTGCTCGATTGCTACTTTGCAAGACGATCCGTTGTGACATCCATCTCCCACACAGCTACACTCCTAAAACTGTATCATGTACACATAAACCAAGCTCCACTTGATATATCTATCACACACTTCACCATCTCAATGTCATTGGCGGGATTGTTTCGAATCGCCGGAACCCTCGAGCGTTCGGTTCATTCCAGATTTCGGGTTTTATCACACAACCAGAACAATGCACAACTATTTTGCAAAACCCCAGGGCAACTCTCTTCCCGAAACAAAAGCAAAGCATCTAATGATGAATACCATATGAAGTAGCAAAATGCGTCAATCGCAGCAACCCCACACTTACCATGATCTGCGAGAAGGAGAGAGAGGGCACGCATGCAGCGCCATGGCGAATCGATGAGGTGGGCGGCGGGAGACCACAGAGGGGAGGGTTGAGGGGGCAGCGAGGCCGGCGAGGAGGGGCGCGGGAGGCCGGCGATGGGACGGCAAAGGGGTGGGCGGCGCGAGGAGGGGAGGGGAGAAGGAGACGGCGGCGAGCCGGCGAGTCCCCGGCGGCGGCAGGGATGATGGCGGCGGCGTGTTCAGGAGTCGAGGGCTCGAGGAGGCCCATCCAAATCATAGCCCAGATTGAAAACCAGAGCCCAAACCGTTAGCCACAGGCCCACGAGTCCAGTTTCTGGGCCCTTTGTTATTTTCTCCATTTTCTTAATTGGAATAAGTTCACTTGAGATCCCTTAACTTGTCCACGAATCCAATTTTCGTCCTTCAACTGAGACACTATATACAACGGGTACCTCAAACCCTCAGAGGTTTTGATGGTGGTTTTGGCTAATGTGGTGCCTACGTGACCGGTTTGACTTGGTCCCCGTCCTACGTGACGGCGATGTGGCACTAGAAGCAAAATATAAAAAATAAAGTAAAAAAATATGAGGCCCACATGTCTGTCATATAAAAGGGAAAAACAGTGGGACCCACCATCCTCTCTATCCACGGACGACGAGAGAGGAGCGACCGGCGCGTTCTTCTCTCTCCCTCCCGGCCATCCTTCCTCGCTGGCGAGCGCGCACGGATAAGGAAAAAGCCCAGAAAGGCTGACAGCATGGACAGATATTGACGTATGCCCGCCACATAATTAAAGGTATCAAGAATTCTTCAGAGAAGGCAGTGAGGCCGTGTTGCCAGAAAGAAAATTAAAGTATTAAACGTAGACTAATAACAAAACTATTCCGCATGTAAATTGTGATACGAATTTATTAAGTCTAATTAATCCGTTATTAGCAAATGTTTACTGTAGCACCATAATGTCAAATTATGGCGCAATTAGGCTCAAAAGATTCGTCTCGTAATTTACATGCAAATTATGTAATTAGTTTTTTTCGTCTACATTTAATGCTCTACTCATGTGTCTAAATATTTGATGTGACTTTTTTTTGCCAAAATTTTTTTGGAATCTAAACCCAGCCTGAGTGAAGATGAGCTGACAACATCAAGCATGAGAAATCATTAAATCAAGAAGACTGTGACCACACGAGGTTAAGGATAATTAATTATTTTTCAGAAAAACAAAGGATAAATTGCATTCAACTACTGGTGGTGCTAGGCTGCTAGCATGAAAAGTTAAAACAAAGCGAACACTTTGAATTATTAGATCCAAAAACGGCATCGCACCAACAGGCTGTGCTAACGATGTTCGTTCCTGAAACGAGAACAGGGACATTTCGCAATTTGTTGATCTCCGTTCAGGCAACAGCAGAATGAATTCGAAATGATGGTTTATAGTGACACCCTTGTGGATGGATTGATGGTTAGTAACCAAATTCGAGAAGACGAGAAGCATATGCAATTGCCATGGCAATAATAACAACATCCACAAGCATCTGGTGACTTAATGATGTGCATAGCAACAGCAGCAGTAGTGATTAGTGAGTGAATCCATCCATCGGCCACCACAGAAATAAATAAAGAAAAAAAAACCATCTCCTTCGGCAGCGGCAGCGGAGCCAAACAGATGTAGCGCCGCCGGATTCCCACGCTCGGCCGGGGGCGTGAGAGCGAGAGAGAGCAATCGATTTCAAATCAACGCCGCAGAGAGGGGAGAGAGGAAGGAGAAAACCCCGTACCTCGGCCGGTGGGTGGGAGGAAGGCGGCGAGTCGCGCGTGCTGCGGCATTCGGTGGCGGCGGCGGCGCGCGCGCTCCCCTCTCCTCCGGCGCCGCACCGGCGGTTGTGTTGCGTCCCCTCGAAGCGGAGGAAGCAGGAAGGAGAAGGGAGGCGTCGGTTTCGGAATTTTTTTTATTTATACTTTTTTTTATTAAAATATTTACAAAAATAATTTTTTGTTTCGAAAATTTACAAATCTAATTGCCTGCCGCCCTTAAGAAGGGCGATTTTTAAAAATCGCCCTCTCAAAGGGCGGCAAGGGACCTAAATACAAAATTTTTATTTGTGTTCAAACCCTTCCCACCGGTTTTAATTACTTAAAAACTAATAATGCTTATTCGATACTCCAAATGATTTTAAATGGAAAAGTGATAAACTACAAAGTTATAGATCTCATCAAGATCTACAACTTTTATATAAAGTTTATCTCCATCCAATATCGTTTGAAATATAGATCTGAGATTTTTTAAAATGTGTTTTATATTTTGTAACGAATATTTGGATATCTAAAACATCTTAAATGAAAAAGTTACTAACTACAAAGTTGTAGATCTCCTTGAGCTCTACAATTTTGATATAAAGTTTTATTTCATCTGACTTTATATAATATAATTTTAAATTGTAAAATTATAGAGCTAACAAGTTATGCTGGAAAATTTACATTTAGGTCCCTTGCCGCCCTGTGGAAGGGCGATTTTTAAAAATCGCCCTTCCTGAGGGCGGCAGGCGATTAGATTTGTAAATTTTCGAAACAAAAAATTATTTTTGTAAATATTTTAATAAAAAAAAGTATAAATAAAAAAAATTCTCGGTTTCGTGAGATTCGGGGTCGGCGTCTCGGCCCACGACGAGATGGGCCACAAAGCCCACGTAGAAAAAACGTTGGGCCAGGCCCACAATGAGCTACCTACCCCGCCCCGCGTCGTGGAACGCGTGTTCTTACCGCCGTGGCATTCCCGCTGACGTAACTCTACTTTGGTTACAACCAAACCCAACCTGTCACGTGTCACTTACTACTCCAGTAGTAGTCTATCTTGACGTGAACAGTGAACGTGTCGCACTGAACACCCAATTCTCCGATCGAGCTAACTAGCTGACGCCAAGCAAACACGACGCTGCATGCATATGCAGACTCGGGCCTGGTTTGAATCTTACTATTTAGGAGTATTAAACGTAAATTATCGATAAAACTGATTTCATAACCCCTAAGCTATTTTGCGAGATGAATCTAATAATGTATATTAATCTATGATTAGCTACTGATTACTGTAGCATCACTATAGCAAATTATGGATTAATATACCTCGTTAGAATAGTCTCGCAAAATAACCTAAGAGTTATGGAATCAGTAATCTATGTTTAATACTTCTAAATAGCAAGATTCCGGTGGGCTATTTAATAGCCCTTCGGAGCCTCGGTCGACACAAAATCATCAGGAATGGGCGACGTCGTCTGCACTACCAAATACACGGTCTTAAAAATAAAAAAAATTCCGACAAGAGAAGCGTGTGCAATTCACGATTCGGAACGCATGCACATGTGTCAGGGCTCCAGCAGAAAAACATATACCAAAAAAAATTACCAAGACGCCGCATACGACCGATTCACTAACAATGTCGTACTCCCTCCGTCCCAAAATATACTCCCTCCATTTCGAAATGTTTGACACCGTTGATTTTTTAGCATATATTTGACCGTTCGTCTTATTAAAAACTTTCGTGAAATATGTAAAATTATATGCCTACATAAAAATATATTTAACAATGAATCAAATGATAGGAAAAGAATTAATAATTACTTAAATTTTTTGAATAAGACGAACGGTTAAACATGTACTAAAAAGTCAACGGCGTCAAACATTTCGAAACGGAGGGAGTAGTAATCTTACATTAGATATGATACATTCTAGTATAACAAATTTAGATAGAAGTATATCCAGATTCATTATACTAAAATATGTCAAATCTAATATAATATTGTATATTTTGAAACGGAGGGGTACCACGTATCTCGCGTCGTGGCCTTGTACTACGCATGTATCAGTACAACTGCTGATATGACGCATGTGGGCCCATGCCCATTAGGCTTAATCACCTCCGCCAAATCTTAATCCAGCCCAACCCCACCGGAAGAGACGTCAGCGTCTCAGGAGACGTTAATTAAGCCATTAAATCCTCCCCTTTTGTCGGGGAAGCTATAGCTTAACCGCGTCGACGCCGACCCCACCCCCCACCTGGCACGTCTCAGGTGCCGCCACGTCACCCACGTGGACCCCACACCAGCCCGCCTCTCCCGGCCGGGCTGTACGCGTGTGCACGCACCGCGAGGTGGGCCCCACGTGGGCCCATGGGCCGGCTACTACCACCCGCGCGCGCACGCACCGTTCAACCTCACTCCGTCGTGGCACCTGTGCTCCTCACCCTTTCCCCTTTCCCTTTTGCTATCATCTCTTTTTTTTTATATACTCTGATGATGGTGCTAATAACTTTGTAGGGGATAATAGTTAATGTGGGTGGTTAAATTAATTTTTATTCCCTCGATCTTATCCAGATATGTGTTGTAGATCGCTTTCGGGTTAATCCCAAATGTAATCCTGCCGATTCGTGAATGCAACAGTTTTTTTGGGTTATATCGGTGTTGCTAATTTTGGAGGTGACGGAGGGTTTGCATGATGATAATGTGTGATGAAGTAGCGATGTAATAGCCTGTCATGATGCATCATAATTCCTTATAAATGCACACGAATCAATAATCATTAGTTTTGTGATTTGCTACCGTAGAGAGGTGACAACCTACAAGGCTAAGTTAGGTCGCAAATACCGGTTTTATTTGTCGGAAATATTGGATCTATGTGCAATCGATGGTGGTTCACGGGGAATATAGGCCGACTGGCATACAACATCAATTTATAATAGATAAAAAAACATAAGGCAATAATTGTGTTGCTATATATGGCCACTACTTAATACTTATCGAGGAGTGATCCTCTCTAGCGGGAGATCGTGAGACCTCCTTTCGTGAGTTCAGCCGGGGGAAAAAGCTCGCCTCTGGAAATCACGTATCCGCCCCCAAGGCTGCTAGCTAGTGTGTACACAACAAGATTATACAGGTTCGGGCCGCTATGAAGCGTAATACCCTACTCCTGTGTATGGGATTTAGACTGAGAGTTACAAGGGTTCTTAAACTCCGGAGAGCGCTCTTGCTTCCCTTCTCCTAGAGCTCAGGTTTTATGAGAGTCGTCCTCTTTCTCGGTGGGCAAGGTCCTCCTTTTATACCTCAAGGGGATACCACATGCACCGCCTCTACCTACTCTTCTATCGGGTGGGGGCCCACCCTACCTTGACCGGATCTCGACCCGTGCCTTCGCCTGGAAGCTAAACCACAGTTTGTCCTTGAGCGGGGCCCAGCGCCGTTCCTCGTCTGACACGGGGGACAGCCCTATCATTCCCTCATTAATGGGTGAAGACTTGTGATGGCTGCCCTCTCGTGGGGAGAACTCCGAATGACCCTCCGATGGGACGGGTCATACCTACCTCCACTCCGCCGGAAGCAGATGCGACGTGGGAGCACGGCCGTCCGTCCAATCAGACGTGACGGGCGATAGGCCGGTCACAAATCGGTCATTCCTGACCGTCACGCGCCAGTCGGGCACGCCGCACGTCTGCCCCCACTGCATTGAATGCGGCAGGGGGGCAGTTGGGGCGCTGCGCGCATTAAAGGAGGTTCAGCTTGGGCCCCCTCCCCGCTTGCTCCCCCCGCCAACTGGCGGCTGGGCGAGGGCTTCGGGGCAAAGCGGTGTAAGGGCCCGAGGGGCATGACGTGGCACCCCGAGCCCCCCCCCCACCCCCCCCCCCCCGGCCGCTCCTGCGATTCGCGGGGGTAGGGCTAGGCTGTAGGGTCACGCGGCAGGATGGGAAGGTAAATTCCCCTCACTTCGCATACCCCCGGGCCCATATCTCCGATAATATTAAACAAACACTAGTAAGCATACAAGGAGTATATATATTGGATATGTCTTGGGAATTTCTGCCTAGCTACTTTCATGGCATTAATTTGTAACTTTTATAATTTTAGATCACATTTCGCATTTATCAACATTGACATACATAGACCAGACCATACACGTAACATCATATCATAGTATATTTTTAGGACAAAAGTTTTTTAGGGGTGTCAAACTAGACACTCTGACAGGTGTTGTGTCAGGTATACATGTGAAACTGACAATTTTTTTATATATAATAACAAATAAATACTCCCTTCGTTTCATATTATAAATCGCATTTATTTTTTTCTAATCAAATTTTGTTAGGTTTTACTAAATTTATAGAAAAATTAGTAACATTTTAAACACTAAATTACTTCCATTAAACCTAGCATTGAATATTTTTTTTGATAATGTGTTTGTTTTGTGTTAAAAATGCTAGTATATTTTTATATAAACTAAGTCAGACGTAAAAAAGTTTAACTAGAAAAAAAATCGAAAATACTTATAATATGAAACGGGGGAGTAGCATATTAATTATACACCCTACTAATTAATCCCCATCATGTAGATACATATCCATCGAGTGTATGTATAGTATAGCTTGTGGCTTAGATTGTTTTATGCCGACTGTGCCAGATTGAGCCGGCTACTGTTGATAGTAGCTTGCCATACATACCATGCCGCTCTTGACTCTTGACAGTTTAATTAGCTAGCACCTGTCGCCATTGCCATGCCTCCCTAGCTACCTAAGCTTAGCTCACATTCTTCTCGCTTTCTCACGCCCTATATATACAAACAACTCTTGCTTCCCACAATCTCCACTACTATCTCATCGATCGATCTTGGCTAGCTAGCTATGGCGACCACGACGACGACGGAGTCGCTGCTGCCGATCGGCCGCGTCGAGGCGGCGGCGGCGGAGGAGGAGGTGGTGCTCGGCGCCGGAGACGACGACAGTGACGTGGAGAGTGGTGGTGAGTCGTCGTTTAGCAGGGAGGTCAGGAAGCGTGTGTCACGCCTCTCCGTCGAGGGCGGCGGCGGCGGCGGCGGAGGCGGCGTGAGGGATCGCCGGGGTAGCAGTGGAGGTGGCCGGAGGGTGCTGCCGCCGCCGCACGCGTGGCTGGCGGTGGAGGAGACGGCGGCGAGGAAGAGCTACGGGAGCGACCCGGAGGAGCAGTGGATGCGGGTGCTGCAGGGGGGAGCTTACGGCGGCGGCGGGGTGGCGGCGGCGGCGGCGGCGCAGAGGCAGGTGCAGCGGCGGAGCAGCTTCAGCGTGGTGCGGCGGGAGAGGGCCGCGAGGGAGGCGTGGCTGGACAGGGCGTGGGAGATGAAGCGGAGCTGGCACGAGCGGAACGGCGGCGCGCCCGACGCCGACACGCCGGTGGTGGTGGTCGTCGGGAAGGGCCCCCCGTCGTCGCCGACGTCACACGCCGCCGGCTCTGTCGGCGGCGGCGGTGTCGCCATGGACATGGAGGAGGTCCGCGCCTGCAGGGACCTCGGCCTGGAGCTCCCCTCCGACTGCACCGTGGAGATACAATGCTACGGCCTCTCCGCCACCAGCAGCCCCACCCACACCAACTCCGGCAGCTGCAGCAGCGGCGCCGCCTCCCCCTCCGCCGCCGCCGCCTGCTCCCTCCCCAGTCCCGGTACGTCCTCTCTCCAACAAAGTATTTTCTACGCCTATAAGTATCTGATTTAAATAGTTTTATAAACAATTTAAAAAATTTAATAAGATAGAATTATGATAATACAAGACACTATATAAACTGTAGACATAAATTCAATCTACACAAGAAGATTTAAATAGTTTTACATGTTTTCTGTAGACTTATCTCACTTCAATTGATGTTACTTTTTTTTTGAAAAGAAATTCTATAACTATCTGAGTTATATATGTAAAAATAACGGATGCCACATGGTATATCTAGGTATAGCTTGCACCACCATGCACGTCCATGCATGGCGTCAACTCCAAACAAACAAAAAATCTACATACACATGCATATCTCGATGATCACCCTGCATGCCTTGCCGGACATGGCATGGCCAGCTCGACGGCGACGACGAGCCTCGAGTAGCTAGTCTTCGTCTGGTCAAGTAGGGCACCGGATGGATCGATTTCATCCATAGACTAATCCCAATTCAGGAGTAATCGATCTCTTGGTTACTGTCACAATCAAATTAATTACTCGATCGATTAGCTTAACTAATTAACCAACCAACCAGAGGCAGTAATATATAAGCGTCCGTCGCCATCGCCGTCGTCGTCCGGCTAATAATCTCTCCGTGCCGCTTCTTCTCCGGCGAGCCTGCCTCCTCCACGTTGTTACCTCCGCTGCCGTCCGATGCATCCATCCATCCATCGCCATCCAACCACCCGTATCACTGCTCATCATCACGAGAGCATATGTAGTAATTAACGACCTGAAAACAACCTGGGAAATTAAATTAATTGATTGATTATTATTAAACGGATCAATTAATTAGCACTTGAAATTTAGTTATTTGATTGTTTAATTAGCTGCTGATAATTAGTAATATTTGTGTGGTGATTATATTAACAGGAGCGGATGATCCGATGGATGTGAAGGCGAGGCTCAAGGTGTGGGCGCAGGCGGTGGCGCTGGCATCAACCACGCACCTTGGATCCTGATATGATTCAACGGTTGAGATGCAAAAGCTAGCTCTGGCTATATATGCCTTTGCCTCTTAATTCTAAGTTAATTTCATCTATTTTTTAGCCCTATATATACGAAGAGAGGGGTTTAATTTTCTCACCTTATATATATTCCACATGTGTCACTTCTCTGGTTTTTTTTTTGGTATACCATCATGTGTGTGCATGTGTTGTCAACTTCTTCTTTGAGTCTTTTCACTTTTTCTCTATCGTTAAATGTAAAATATACTGTACGTGAGTGTGTGTGTGTTCGTCGAACTTATGATGTAAGGATCGGAGTCTTTTCAAGTTATGGGATGATAAAAATCTCACATGTGTACTCCGAATTCTTGATTATATATATAATTCACATGGGAATCTATCTTATATCTCCCTGTACAAATATGTCAGGATGTCTTACCATTGATTTATTCTTGTTCCATATCTTCAATCTTATATGTTATATATTATGACATAGTGTGTATTCTACGGTTGTTGATAAGAACCTAAATTGACCATTGTTAGGATGTACTTCGGTTTGACAAAGATACATGGGAGGGCGATGTATTTGTATGCTCAATGAGTTCACTGACTTTCCTAGCATAGGAAGTCATAGATGTCTCTTTTCTTCGAGAGTGTAGGATACTAAGTAGGGAATTAGTATTAACTGTTCAGAAAGAAGCAACATATTCCAATTCAAAAGGCTATGAGTTTTTAACACGATACAGAGACTAGTTGTTGCGCAAAGATGGAATTCTCAGTGGAAGTAGGACCATGGTTTTTAAGATGTTGCTATGGCATCGCTAAGACGTCGTGGTGATTTGTTAGCTCCAAGGTGTCCACCACCTTGGCTAGCTCAAATATGGAGACACCCAATTCCCAATACCACATCGAGAGAGAGGGGGGAGGGGGGCTGTCCCCAATCCGGGAAATTTAACTATTTGCCACTCTTGTGACATGGCAATTAACGATTTGCCACATCCTGTCAATGACATGTGGGCCCTCATGTGTCTATGACATGTGGGCCTAGTGGCAAATCGTTAAGCAACATCCGTAAGAGTGGCAAATAGTTAAAAGCCCCCTCCAATCCACATGGTTCCTGTCATCACCGCTTAAGACTACATCACATTTATGTCTCCATTGCCTCCCTACTGGCATCACCCCATTACTTAGCAATTGGTAGTGCTCGATCTCCCGCTTCCTTTCTATACCCACCTCATCGACCTCCCATTTCCTTCCTCTGCTCTCCTTCTCTACCACCTACTTTTTTTTCTAGGTTCCTCTACTCTCATTTCTTTCCTCCTCTACCTCCCGTTAATTTCCTTCCTCTACTCTCCTCATCTACCACCCACATCTTATGGGTTAATTGGATCCATGCCACTATAAATATGCCAAATTAGAAAAATACCACTACTATTCGCGATAATGGTCAGGTGCCACTGCAATTTTGAAAAATTGGATCCATACCACTCTGTCACGTTTTCCATCTAGTCCCGTTTGACGCCGTCTCTCCGCATCGCGCCTGGTTCCGCCTTCTCGCGCCACCTGAGATGGACGGCGAGTACTTCCCCGATGACGTGTGCCGTGGGACGCGTGGGCGGAGGTCATGCTGCGGCGGCGGTTCGCCGTGGCGGAGGACGAGGAGGACGACGCACGTACACCACCCTTTCCCGTCTCCGGCTGCCACCCTTTCTCGCATCCACGCATCAAGACCTGGCATGGCGGCGGCGGTGGAGATGGAGGTGGACCACGCGGAACTCGACCGCGCGCGGTGCCGGTGCCGTGAGTACCTGCTCGTGCTCGAGAAGGAGCATCGCAAGATCCATGTGTTCCAACGGGAGCTTCCCCACAAGATCCACCTTCCCGCCTGAGCCACCCCTACATATACGCTCGTCTCGCCGTCGCAACCTCGTCACCAAGGCAAACTCTAGCCTGCAACCAAAGCATTGGAGAGCAATGGGGACGACGACAAGAGGGCCAGTGACAATGAGGCTCTACTGCTTCTACGCGGCTGCTCTTTTCATTCTCTGCTTCCTGCTCCCTGCCGCTGTTGCCGAGGAGATGAGGAGCCAAATGGACGGCGACGGCAGCGAGGAGACGGTCAGCGACCATGGCCCGCCGCCACTCGCCTACTACTACTACGACGCCGCCTCGGCAACGATGATGACCTTTGAAGCTTTGCGCGGTCGGCGGCACCGCCTCCGCCATCGGCCCCTTCTTCCCGTCCCACACGGCGACAGCTGCGTCCAAACCCCGGGCCCTGGCCGCCACCGCCTTCGATCTCCGCGATGCCATCGTCGATGGCGAGGCTGACCTCTTTCGAGTGGAGCAGCAGCGTCGTCGTCGTCGTCCAGGCACGGGAAAATGCAAGTGGCGCTACGGAAAGACGTTGTCAACGGGGAGCGGATGGAAAACACGACGGAGTAGCATGGATCCAATTTCCTAAAATTACAGTGGCATCCAACCGATATCGTGAATATTAATGGTATTTTTCTAATTTGGTATATTTGTAGTGGCATGGATCCAATTAACCCCATCTTTATTGGCTTCCTCTACTCCCTTATGCTCTCCTCCTCTACCTCTAGATCTATATATTGTCTGCTATCAGCTTATCAATGCCAACAACAAACTTCATTTTGCTACCTTAGCTTCCTTGGTTTTCTCCTATGGAGATAGCTGTGGACATATGTTGGATCTATGTCTTTAGGGTAGAAATGCTTAGCCAACTATTGGACTATTCTTAAAAAAAGACCATTGGACTTTTGTTGGGCTATAGGTGTGGTTTTGATGGGCTATTTTGCCATTTTGCATTTTCTACATACCAATTTATTTCCTATTTATCCTTTATTCTCTAGCATAGCATTGTCTTAGGACATCGCTATGGTTTACGCCATAACCACAAATAGCCCGAGACGAGTACGCAACACCTTAACTCGCAATACCACCTTAAGCCCTTGACAAGCTTTTAAAACTTTTTTATAATTAATCTCTAGTTATTTTCCATGTTAAGAATAAAAGTATAAATTTAAAACTACATATAAAATGCCTTTTAGACATGTTATATGGTATAATATTTCCCGTCCTTGTCCTAAATGAGTACTAATTTTGATTTACGTCGTTAACGTTTTGAAAAACGTTTAACCATTTATTTTATTAAAAATAAATAATATTATTATTTATTTTGTTATGATTTTGTTCCTTATATTTTTAACATATTGCAATATTTTTTTTATTTAAATAAAACGGAAAACCAGAGCGAGTACATCTGTCTGTGGAGTTGGGGATCCAAGATGAAAACAATCCAGATTCCTCATCATCATACAGAAAAGAAAAGAGAAAAAAAATAAAGGGGGCAAAAACAGACTGGAATTAGGATATGTTTATGTTTAGTACTATAAGGACAAGTGAAGGGTCTTTCTTGAGAAAAAAAAATCCGACCTTTGCATCGTGCGAGCCTCAAACCCGCGAACCCCCAAACCCTAGTTTCCCCAACCGCGGCGGCGGCGGCGATGGCTGCGGTGACCAACGCCGATGTGGAGGCGGTCGACTTCGACCCCGATGACGACGACCTCATGGACGAGGACGCCGCCGACCCCACGCCGGCGCCCGCCCCGCGCCTCCGCTCCACCATCGCGGGCGGCGGCGGCGGCGGCGGCGGCGGCGACGACGGGCAACGCAAGACCAAGGGCCGCGGGTTCCGCGACGACGCCGCGCCCCGCGACTCCCGCTTAGCCGGCGCCGGGCGCGCCTCCGACTTCGACTCCCTCGGCTCCGACGGTGGCCCTGGCCCCGTCCGATGTACGTCTCTCTGATTTCCTTTTTTTTTTCTAATTTGCGATGGTAGATTTGTTAGGCATAGTGGTGTAATCTAGTGTGGGATCCTAGCTTCGGCTTGGTTCCCGTCTCGATCCGTTGATTCTTGCTGTTAGATGGACTGGTTTGGATGTCAATCTTGTGCTAAAAGATGAGATCTTCGATCTGATAATTCGAGTGCCTAATTGATTGCAACTTGTTTCTGAGAGGAGATGGTTGAGCTCTTTGATGCGAAAGGTTTGCCTCCTTGTGACAAACGACGGTCTGGAGGTGATTTATTTGGGCGATTTTTGTCGCTGTTATAGGCTCTTTTTGAGTTATTCCTATTGCTAAGCATGTCATATCCTTCTGATTTAAGTAAAGTAGATCCACATCATGCCCTTCATCTCGTTAGAAGGGGTGAGAGTTGTGACCGATGTTGAGTTAAAAGCTTTCGGATGCGTTGTCCTGGTTAATTGGTTAGGGTCTCAGATAGCTGTAGGCTATATGATTTGTTGTCCAGTTGCAACTTACTAGTAATTTTTACTGTATCAGCTTGAGCCTGCGCCATGTAGTAGCTTCTGGCATGTGTGTCGAGCACTGGAGGTTTATTTGTTGTGTTTCTCTTCTGAGCAATTTGTAGTTAAGGAACTGATTCAAAAGATCTAGACTTAGCCAAGAGAGATAAGAATGTGGACTTTTACACTCCTGTAAGTTGGGGTGTTAGCTGCAGTTTTTGTTTGAAGTCTTTGATATTAGAGTTGGCATCTGGACCCTCTTTTTGGTTATTTCTGTTTCTTTCCTTCAGTTGATGTCTCTTATCTGTTTTAATGTTTTCAAATAATCACGGTTGTGCTAACAATTTGCTCTCTCTCCAGTTAGTTTCCAGTGCCTGAATTTTCCTAATCTTGCAAACTTTTGACCATGTTATTTTCAACATCAGTGGAGGTTCAATTTCTGGTTGAATCATGGTTATTTCATGTTTGCATGTCAGTCATGTTCTGTTGGAAATAAAACAAATAGCCAGCTCATATTTAAAGCTTTATTTTCTATAAAGTATCATCTAATGAAACTGTAATGGTGGACATTTAAATTGTGATCTCTTATGCTATTTGTTTCTTCATGGAAGATTCCATTGTTTGAAGATAATTCGTGGCATTGTCTGAGCCCATGCATATTTTGCCTCTTGTTACAGCCATTGAAGGATGGATTGTGCTAGTCACTGGGGTTCATGAAGAAGCTCAGGAAGATGATCTTCACAATATTTTCCGGGACTTTGGGCAGGTCAAGAACTTGCATTTGAATTTGGATCGCCGAACTGGATTCGTGAAGGTTTGTCTTTTTCAATACTGCAATGTGTCTAGCCCTGTTGCAGCCTTGTAAAATTGCTTTTAGTCATAGTTTTTAGGAAATTCTCTTAAATGAGATTCCAGAAAATGTTCCATGATAACGAATAAAACAATCTGCAGAAAGTAGCTCAGTATTTCAGAGGTCCCTTTCTTATCTAATATTGCAAATTGCTACCTTCACTATGCACCATCTTTAGTTTAGAAGAAAATATTATGTTGCATGTTCTCTTAAGAACATTTTAATCTCTTGATTCTATCTTCACGTTTTTTCCTTTCCAGGGATATGCTCTTATTGAGTATGAAACTTTCGAGGAAGCTCAGGCTGCAATAAAAGCATTGGATGGAACTGAGCTTCTAACACAAATCATAAGTGTTGATTGGGCATTTAGTAATGGCCCTGTCAAGCGCAGGAATATTCGGAAGAGGTATGTTTTATGTTAGCTTGTATGCCCCTTTTATTTTGTTATGGCAGAATAATCACACTGTCAGAGGGTTAGGTTTTGTCACATAATCTCTTTTTGAGAGTGAGTATGGCACTTGTTGTAAACTATTCTTTATACCATTTAATCATCCTACAAATTTCTGTGAGGTGGAAAATAGCATGGGAGGAAAGTTGTTTGGCCTTTTTCTTTGTAACTAAAAGTAATACATGCCATAACCATCCCTTGTTTTATTTAATCGGTCTCTGAAAATTATTTGTTCATTTTAACTCTCAACTATGTGCTCGGAAATATATTTGATCTCACTGGCCTGTCCAATTATCATATATGGATAGTATGGCTACTGATTGGTATTTCAGAATATCGAAGTAATTCATTTATCATTACAATACATATGGTCATTGTTCTGACCTAGTGGCAATGTGATAATGTGAAATCCTAAATATTGATTTCTTTTTGTTTCATTTTTTTTCTAATTACACATGTAAAGATTTACACTGTTTCTATTTCCCTGCTATCAAATACTTCTGTTGAAGTCGGAACCACTGACAAGATACATTCACAGTGCAACATGTTGTAAGCATTGGATATCCTCACATGTATGAAATTATAATCTTATTTGGTCACTTGTTCTTGTCAGATCACCAAGACGCTCCAGATCCCCACCGAGGAGAAGATACTGAGTGCTCCCCACCATGTGATGATGGTGCTTTAGAATGCAAGAATTGCTTGTAGGATTCCGGTTGTTTGCTTGGCCTCCTACCGTAGTTTGATTATCAATATTAGCTCGTCTGCTATTTTCAGTCGATGGCTGTGATAGTTCTGTGGCATTGTAACTCTTTTCAGTATATGGATGGAGCTGTGTTTACTGTTCCAAGTTTGGCACGCTAGTTGCCGTGGATTGTAACCGCTGATGTTGGATCTTTGTGATGAGATGCTTGTTGCTTGGGGTGTTTACATCGTGTTGTGTCACAGCTATGCTTGCGTTCCTTATTCCTTCATCATGAAATATGATCATTGAGCAATTTAATGAGCTTGAGAGTGAAGTATTGTGCTCATATGTGGGTAGGAACTTACGATGCTGCATCAGCGCTTCCATTTCTTTTCCCTCCCACTGTTATTGGATCAACAAGCTGACTAATTTATTTGGCTAGCTGTTGAATGCTTGACAGGTTTATTTTTTTTTTCAGATTATTTATCGGATTGTTGAAACAGATTATTTGCACTACTTTTTTCAAAAAAAATATTTTTTTTCTTTTAAACTTTCCTCTATTGTGTTGGTTCGATCGGTTCTAAATCAGTTGTTAAGTTTATTTATCAATTTTTTAATGTATCCCTATGATAATCACGTAGTCGGTTGGTATGTTTTGCTTGATAATTTCATTCCTTGTATGGCCTGGTGACAGAACCAGTTTCCTAATTATTAAGAAAATGCAAAAACTAGGAATTTTCCCTCTAATCATCGTTCATGTCAGCAGTTTGTGTTGCAACGTGTCTGAAATTTCAGAGCTGTATAAATCTCATTGATCAGTCAAATGAACTGTCCCTAAAAGTAGCGGCAACGCTGCAAACATTGCAGCCTGCCAACGTAGCACTTCAGTCATGAAAACAACAACGTGTAAAGCATATATCCATTTCATGGGATGAAGTACTGGCTGAATGCTGATGTATCTCCAAGACTCCAACATCATTATATTTCTTATATTTATATAGTGTTGTGTCTCGTGATGGATCCTTCTCCACAAATGGTTGAGGGGGTAGCCAGTTCAGATCTTTGGAAGAGACTCAGCGGCTATAGTACTGTTTGAGATCCTATCCAGCTCTGAAACATTTGTGCTATTGGACATGTCTATCACCTGCAACGATGCCACAAGTGGGTCAGCAAGATAACGCACTTACAGGCCATTTAAGTGGTTAAATAGCTTATAAGTGGATTTGTGGGTTGGCGCACCTATATCCCTAATTGTCTGCTGGAACTGCGGGTACCTGGTTAACTGTACAAGTCACAGCTGCTTGTGCACCATGACTATGGCCCAGTGGAAATGGATACCGGGCTGGATCTCGAAATCCCCTTGGTTGTGGCAATGGTAGCTGTCTGACTGTTAATCCTAGAACTGGAGGTTGTATCTGATGTAATTTCCAGGTTTGAGCCTGGAGCTTCTTGAGACGAATTTGATGCTCTTTTCAAGGATTTCTGCGCTTCCTCTTCATCGTCATCAGATGTCGACTCTTCATCTGAACCACTCATCTCTGTGTCTGCAATCCATAATTTGCGTAAACAAAGATTGAGACATCATAGCAGAGAGCATAACTTCTAGAATCACATTATGAAGAAATCTATGCAAAGCTTGAGGGAAAAAGAATATTTAAGTGAATCAAATTAATTGAATGTCCCAGCTTTGTTCAGACAAAGAAAAAACTAGAGTTCCATTATTGACAAAACTTTGGCAAATATCATGGTTATTGTTTATATTTTATCAATTGAAATACCAGGGACACCTCTTAAAGAGGAAAAAAGAATCATACAAGATTTGCCTCAAACTTAAAGTTTCAACGTCAAGGTCAAATGTCTAATAGGAAGAACATATCCTTTTGTAGAATATGAAATGTAATTTGCTTGAAAAGTTGTCATGATGTTTCCTTCAAATTCCAAGGATAAACAATCTAATCATGATACAATCCTTATTGCGATGCATAACTTATTAGTTTTTTTTTCACTTTCTTTTTTGTTCTTGTCTTACAAGAAATGGAAGAGGATCGTAAACCACCAAAGAATATTAAAATCTCAGAATGCCACATTTTTATTAATTGACACACAGCCATATTGAATCCACAAAAGATCAGCTGTACCAGATTTATGATGAATCAGACGAGCAGCATGCCAGCACCGTCCATTTGCCTGATGCCATAAATGAATATATCATTAGATGCATATATATAAATTTAGCTGAAACTGTTTTAAGCTATAAGAACTGCTTCAGCTCAGAAATAGACTCATCAAAAAGCCCAAACTGACCAAGAATCACTCCAGATCATTATATATACATTGGTCCTAAACTACAAAATAAATACGAAGAAATCAACAAAGGTATTGAGAGTCCTTCCCATCAGGACATTAGGTAGATACCTGTGAAAGAGGTACAGTCCAACCTTTCTCCAGGCACCAATCAAGAGCAGGCCTGATGTCCTTGCAGTAAGCAGTATAACTCCCCCCTTCACCTATAGGAGGTTTCAACAGCTGTACCTGCAAGTAGATGGCCAAGCAGAGAGATCAATATATTGTTTCGGGTATGTTCCAACAAAAGTATGTTACATCTTCCTAGTTTCTGCAATTCTTGGTGGGGGAGTACAAGAAATACTAATAGATCTCCACTTCGAAAAGGCCGGACAGTTGAAAAGTATACATAAGGAATTGTAAAACCTCTCTTGACATTTAAGATGCAAATCAACAATCGATTGCAAACTTCAGAGTTAAAATTGACAGTGAATTATTTGGACTTTATTACTTTCATTATCTAGTATTAGACAAATAGACACAAATTTGTTGGATTACACAAGGTAAATTTATATTAGCACTAATATATTTATCACGTGCGGACAACAACTGAATTCATATCTTACAAGGGCAGCAACAAATTTATTGGTTTTGCAAATTATTAAATGTTTACCTTAACCATATCTTCACTAAGTAACTTAGTAACTTTCGCAGTCCAGTAAGAACCTTCAGACAACCACTCAACCAGATCACCTACTTTCGGGGTATCACAAACAGATACTATCACATTACTCTTTGGAAATTGCTCGGGAACTTGATCCCCCCAATACAACTCAGGATAGGAAGGACGAAGCATGCATTCTCTTTCTCTAACCACATTTGAGTTCCTTTTGCCATACGCTGGGTTCTTTTCAAAGACTTCAGTCCATGTTTTCTCTGCAAAAGAAGGGCATGGGGAGTAATGACGTGAGGTGTATACAAAACTAATTTCCTAGTCATGATGAGTTTCTGTTCTCCCAATATTTGCTTGTGCCTTGTCAGCATACAAGGACAAAATGGATGAGATAAAAAATATATAGGCCTCAAGAATGTGCCTATATCTTCACAAGGTTACAAATGTCTACTTGTAATGCCCCTTCTATGGTTCAAGATAAGCATTCGCGCATGACATCATTAGACAAGCCCTTGCAACTGTTATTATATACAACCACTATTCAAGGAAGAGAAGAAAACATAAGTATATTAACTATTAAACCATGCTAATACTGATTTATGTGACACTATAGCTCCTGGTAGTTTACACAAACAACTTATTTAACCCTCAACCCAAGATAATACTGGTTTATGTAATATGGAGGATTGATCAGTTAATCACCACCAAACATAAAACAAAAGAGGGTTACAAGATAGTGGAGACCATACAAACCAAACTGTAAACCATTATCAGTAGACAGAAGAAAACATGTGTTCCCCAATAGAGAAGATGTTGAGAAGTGTCAGACAAATTCAAATGCAAAATATCCTTCATTTGCACATGTATGTTAGCTCTGTTCAACTTCCCTATTCACTAAAACATAATGAAATGTAAGTTTCCCGTTCAATAGCCTTAAATTACAATCTGTATAACAGATTCTTTCAAGTCAAGGCACAGATCGCCAATTGTGTAAAAGCATTTTTCCAAAAAGAAAAACAACTCCCGAATAAATGATAGCTCAGATAATGATTTGCTTACCTTCGTCTGGGTAATCAAGATACTCCAGTAAATACTGAAAGGACCCTGTTTCTGTGACACGCATATCATTAATCTGAAAAGAAATAAGATGACTTGTTTTTAGCTCAGCAATATGCTCTATTATGGAAAATGGACTGCCATCTATCGAACTTATCTAGTACACCAATTTGTGCAAAGTGAACGACCATACAACCAATTTGGTCCCTGTATTACTAAGATCAAACCACAGATACTGCACTAAATGTGAGTAAATTGGACATTGCACCAATTAGTCTTACATAGGCAGAAAACACCATATGTAGCCAATATATATACTCATAGCACCATGCCTCCACTGATCACATCAATCTGGCATGTTGACATAATGCGTGCACGCACAAACTCCAGGCAAGCATCATATTGGCCAGTAGTCAGCAATGCTGGTAAGGAAACAAAACGATTTTGTTTTGATTAAAAGTCACTCACAAGGGGCTCAGTCAACTCCTCCAGTGGCAAGTGGCCTGGCTGTTATAAGTCATCTCTGTTTTCTAGTAGAATAGCCAACATGACTGGATAAAGACACAAACTCCATCAATTTTTACATTAGAGTTCTGTTTGGGACTGAAATTCTAGGTGGTTCCATGCTAACCATAAAGCATATGCCATCCAACACTGTATCAAGCGACAAGCAGGCGATACAAAGGTGTTTCACATGACATGTTAATATAGGTGTCATATGCCACAATGTGCAATGAACTCCTGAGAAAAATAATAAGATAACTTCACAGCTGCCTCACCTTACAGCGAAACCAAGCACATTTGTAACCATCGATGAAGGACTTTGACTCCGCGAAATCGCCCTTTTTAAATGGAAGAATCAGATCCATGCCCAACCACCAATCTACAAGCAAAGAATTGCGGTTAGCACAACGTGAGCTGATTAAACATGACAGAAGAACATCGCTTCTTTCGGTCTACTTGTTAGCACAGCTACCGCCAACAGTTGAGGCATTTTAGCAGCATGAAACTAGAAGATTGTCAGCACAAACAAAAGGCTAGCATGTGACTTCATGGTGGTGAAACTACCAGATTCTTTCGGCTTCCACTCGATTGCCCCAAAATTGTTGCAAATCCATAACAAACAAGATATTCCTACAGCATTAATTCCAAACGACACCATCGACGAGCACGATAAACACTTTTCCCTTCTCTCACCCTAATTTATTTTTCGAAAAAAAGGTTGGTCGTCGGTTTCCCCCGGTTCAAGGACGACCGATGACGGGTTCAGCTGCGCCGGCGGCGAGAGAGGCGGTGGCGGCGACCTAGGCTTCGAGGAGGGGGGGGGGCGAGCATCAGGGTGTCGAGAGGAAGCGGACGGAGGCGGCGGCGGCGGCGGAACAGTGGCGCGACGTGCGGGCAGGTGGGCGACCGAGATAGGGCGCGGCTCCGGCGAGGGGGGCGGCGGCCGCGGCGGCGAGAACCGGAGGCGATGAGGACGGGGGAAGGAGAGGGAGAAACAGAGGCATTGGGATGGGGGAACCCACTCCTACCTTCGATTGTGCGAGAGGATGATCGATGGCGACGGATTTTCGGGGAGGTGGCGGCGCCGGCGGCCGGCGGCTAGGGTTCCGGCTGTGCCACGAGGATGCTGGCCGCCCCCGCCCTCGCCGGCGGCAGCTGCAGCGGAAGAAGGAAAAACAGAGAAGGAAAAGAGAGAGGGAGGGAGAAAAGCTGGTTTTCAATTTTAGTTTCGAGTAAATTTCATTTTAATACTACTAAGGGTTTGTTATTTTAACCGCTCTTCTAATCCGAAGTTTTCACGATCCAATTTTTCAAACTGCTAAACCGTGTATTTTTTATAAAAAAAATATGAAATATATTTTAAAATATCATATTAGCCATTTTCAAGTTTCTTTAAGCTAATGCTTAATTAATGATGTGTCAATGGATCGCTCTGCTTTAAGACTGTGTTCGGGTCTTCATATTCCCAACCTAATTATGCGTCAATGGGCTCTGCTTTAAGGCTGTGCTCTGGTCTTATGTTCCCAACCTCCCTCCCTCGTTTTCCACGCGCACGTTTTTCAAACTGTTAAATGGTGCGTTTTATGTAAAAAGTTTCTATACGAAAGTTGCTTAAAAAATCATATTGATCCATTTTTGAAAAAAAATTAGCTAATAATTAATTAATCACACAATAATACGAGCTTCGTAGAAGCCTCCTCCCGAACACAGCCTTAAATGTGGGGACAAGGGAGGTGAAGCTCCTAACCTCCACCTCCAAAGGTAGGCCTATAGCTTCTAACTACTGCAGCTTCTCGGATTATGGAGGTGAAGCTCCTAGCCTCCACCTCCAAAGAACACAGCCTTAAATGTGGGGACAAGGGAGGTGAAGCTCCTAACCTCCACCTCCAAAGGTAGACCTATAGCTTCTAGCTATTGCAGCTTCTCGGATTAGGGAGGTGAAGCTCCTAACCTCCACCTCCAAAGGTAGGTAGCATAGAGGCCTATAGCTTCTAGCTACTGTAGCTTCTCCTAAAATCAGAAGCTCCCCAATCAGTTTATCTTTTGTTCCAGGTTAGCTTCTCCTAAAATCAGAAGCTCCCCAAACAGTTCAGTTTTGTTCCACGTTTTAAGAAGATGTAGGTGTAAATTCTAAAAAATGAACTATAAAACATAAGCTGGGAAACCTAGCTTTTCTAAATTCTCGGAAGCTGGCGGCTACCAACCAGAAATTAGCTTTTCCAAATTCTCAGAAGCTGTCGGCTACCAACCAGCTGCTTCTCAGAATATTAAAACTCCCACAAACAGACCCTAGGTATTGTGCTGTAAAGTTGCACAAAACAATATGGGTTTTGGCATGTAGCGCTTAACCTCGCTTAACCTCGGCACAAAACAATACGGAGCATGTTGATGGCCCAAACTAGATAAAATATAACAAGACCATCATTTTTGTGTCCTTTTGCCTTTTTGTTTGCTATTATGATATTTGCTACTATGATAAATACGTTGTTTTGAAAAAGTCCCTCTAGTTTCTAATTTGTTGAACAAACAAAATGCGAAGAACTTATAGGAGAGTGTAAAATGAGACGGATTATTAGCGAGTGATTAACCAACGGTTTTTTGTCGGAAAGATATTAACTAACTTAGAAGATGAATTTATTTGATTATTTTTTTTGAAAAAATCTATATAAGAAAGTTTCCGCACAAAACATATCGCTTAATAGATTGGAAACCATACTATAGAAAACATGATAGCAGATTAAATAAAAAAAAACTAGTAAAAACGGTACCGAGTAGCATTTATGGTCAAAGGCGCTAAAAAGGGTACTTTATGGTCAAAGGCGCTAAAAAGGTACCTAGTAGCATTTATGATCAAAAGCGCTAAAAAGGAGATAGCAGCCCAAACAAAAACTAGTTAAAAAAATACCTAGTAGCATTTATGGTCAAAGGCACTAAAAACGGTGTTTAAGTAGCATTTATGATCAAAAGGTACTCTTAATATGGCTCATAAAATTCTCAATCACCCATACGAAGTTCTATATTTTTCTCAACTTATTTTCTCGATTTTCATCTCCTTCACTAACTCTCTATCTCCACAATCTTCCCACCCTCTCCTATGCGTCTCTCTCTTTCTACACAATCTTCCCACACTCTCCACAATCTTTCTACCCTCTCCTACACCATTTTTGTCTCTCTCTCTTTCTCCACAATCTTCCCACACTCTCCAATTTTCATCTCCTTCCCTAACTCTCTTTCTCCATAATCTTTCCACCCTCTCCTATACCATTTTTGTCTCTCTTTCTCCACAATCTTCCCACACTCTCCAATTTTCATCCCCTTCCCTAACTCTCTTTCTCCATAATCTTCCCACCCTCTCCTACACCATTTTGTCTCTCTCTTTCTCCACAATCTTTCCGAGAAACACCCTCTCCATAATCTTCCCACCCTCTCCTACACCATTGTGTCTCTCTCTTTCTTCACAATCTTCCCGAGAAACTTTGTCTCTCTCTTTCTCCACAATCTTCCCGAGAAACTGGCTTTGTCATTTTGTCTCTCTTTCTCCACAATCTTCCTGAGAAACTAGCTAGAGCATTATTGCTTGCGTATGCATAAACTAGGAGTTTGAGACATCAGGGATCAGGGATTTGATGTACACGCCAATAGAGCCAATAGGTACCTCCTCTTCTCTGGGTTGTTCTTCACTACGAAGAGTTGGACCCGGGTTGTTCTTCACTATGAAGAGTTGGATCCGTTGATAAAGTCGACCCGTAGATAAAGTCCATCATCTTCTCTTCTGGGTTGTTCTTCACTATAAAGAGTTAGTCCATCCTCTTCTCTAGGTTGTTCTGTACTCTTCTCTGGCTTGTTATGTACTGTGAAGTCCTCCTCTTATCTGGGTTGTTCTGTACTGTGAACTCCTCCTCTTCTCTGGGTTGTTCTTCACTGTGAAGAATTGGAGCCGTACATAAAGTCTTGATACGTTGTTCTTCACTGCAAAAAGTTGGAGCCTCATAAAGGTATGTATGGCAACCTTTTACATGGATAATATCGGGCAACAACATTTAGGAAAATTAGGCGTCAGGTGCCCATTTTGTTTCTCTCTTTCTCTTACACCCTTTTAGGCAATAAATCTAAGACCGGCACTTTTTCCTACACCCTTTTAGGCAATAAATCCAAGACCGACACTGACTCTCGTATGATATAGTATGATATCATATATATTGATATATATGTTGTATGGCTATTATGTGCAAATTCAATAGTAGTGATAGGCCAAAAAGGATGAATCTAGCATCGGTACTAAATGCTCTATATCCTATGAATATGGATAAGACGAATTTAATCATAATATTATTATATTTTATAAATTTATTTTGATACAAATTTAATGATTTAATCTTTAAAATTTGGTTAATCTTATCTAAAGTATAGAATTTTACATAGCAAAGGAGAAATTGTGGTACGTAGTGGTGGTAGTACGCACCCCGCACCGGTTACGGGATAAAATTTCATCCTCGAATAAACCTCTAATTAGTATCTATGCATCTTTTGATCATATCACACAGTTTTTTAATCTTTGAATTTAAATCTAATAGACACGGTAAAAGGCAAAAAGCAACTAAGAAACACCATAAATCCAATCTAAATTTCAAAACTTACATGCGAAGATTCAAAAATTGCACTGTTAACTTACAAAAGTTGCAATGTAAGTTTCATAAATTATGCTGTAACTTACAAGAAAATACACTCTAAATTTGAGTAAGAAAATCGAGTGAGAGATAAAGAAAAAAAAATCTTTCGAGTGAGATATAGCAAAATCGTTGTAAGAAAGTTGGTTTTTAGCACATACAAACACAAAACAATAATCCTATTATCATAAATCAATGTATGCATATAAGAAATCTCAACCATCCGTTTTCATTAATAACCTAATGGAGCGACTCTTCCATTGTTTTTCAATCACGTTGGCTAGTTTTATAGTGAGGGTTTCTTAACCGGCGCTCTTTTCGAGCTTGTATCTCGCCACGTGTCGCTCAACTAAATGATGTTGAGAGCAGCCAATCAGCTGGCATGAAACCAACCTCTGAAACCAACCATTATGAGATAGAATCCAACCATTATGAGATAGAATCCGAATGTATCATGAGATAGAATCCGAATGTTTTGCCTTTTGTTCGAATAATGTATCATGAGATAGAATTAATAACCTAATGGAGCGACTCTTCCATCGTTTTTCAATCACGTTGGCTAGTTTTATAGAGGGTTTCTTAACTGGCGCTCTTTTCGAGCTTGTATCTCGCCACGTGTCGCTCAACTAAATGATGTTGAGAGCAGCCAATCAGCTGGCACGAAACCATCCATTATGAGATAGAATCCAACCATTATGAGATAGAATCCGAATGTATCATGAGATAGAATCCGAATGTTTTGCCTTTTGTCCGAATAATGTATCATAATAATGTATAATGAGATAGAATCAGAATGTTTTGCCTTTTGTTTGCTTCTCGATATTTCTTTTAGTATGGAATTTCTTTTAGTATGGAATGTTATGCCTTTTGTTTGCTTCTCTTTTAGTATGGAATGGTTTGCTTCCCGGTTATGCCTTTTGTTTCCTTCTCAATTTCTTTTATTATGGATATTCTCTAGATTTATCTCAAAGAGGATAGATCATTGGGAAGTATCTAGAAATTGGATTTATCTCAAAGATGATAGATCATTGGGAAGTCTCTAGAAATTAGATTTGCGTCTTTTCTTTTCTTTTGGTTTATTTTCTCTTATGCATAATTCCTTAGATTTATCTCAAAATTTAACACTGCCATGTGGCTCATTGGGAAATATCTAGAAATTGGATTTGTGTCTTTTCCTTTTGGTTATTTTCTCTTATGCATAATTTCTTTAGATTTATCTCAAAATTTAACACCGCCATGTGGCCCAATAAGATGCATAATTTTCTTAGATTTATCTCAAAATTTAACACCGCCATGTGGCCCAATAAGATGGCTCGAGACAAATCAGCTTTGGAAAATATATCTGAAGATCTTTCAAAATTGGTGAATCTTATCTAAAGTGTATAAAATTTTACGTAGAAAACATAAAAAGACAAAACAATGATCCTATGAAGATAAATCAATATATCTACATAAGAAAGCAACACCAACAATTGGAGATTCCGAATAACAAATCAGTCTTTGGTACAAAGGCCAGACGTATTCATCTTGTAAAAACCAAAATCACTCAAAACTAGATAAATTAGATCCAAGCCAACTATAGATATAGGAAATCATCATCCGAAAGAAATCAAAACCAAGGTGAATAAATCAACAACAAACCAAAGAAATCAACACAAAACATAGGTACTCACCTACTCGAACGAACTCCTTCGACGACAATGCCAAATGAAGAACAAATCGGCGAGAGGTTTTGCTCTTAGATTTAAAGGCTGGCGGCTAGGGTTTCCTCCTGCTTTGGAAACCGAAACACCCGAGAGATGCGGTTGATCTTCCGTTTGATTTGTATTTTTATATCCGTATTTGTAATAAAGCGGCGTGATTAATTAGCTCTTTATTAATTCCATGGCCCAGATGAAACTACAAGACCGGCCCAAAATACAAGATTCAATGCTGAATCGGCCCAATATTACACGGCCTTAATTCGCCAGCTGGGCCAGTAAATGAATATATTTCAAGTCAAGAATTTGGACGAATTATATCCAGAGAAGTACGTATTTTGGTAACAATTTGACAAATTTTTATTGAGAGAACAATTTTGGTAATAATAACAATTTTGTAGGAAAATCACTTGTAGAACATTTAAGTGGCAAACATTACCATTATTTATTTATACTTGCCATGAAACTGCTGCGAAATTTTCTTAAATAGGATAAATTTAATCACCTTTTTTTGTGAGGGTTTTTAGAGTACAAATCAAGTTTGTGTAAAATAGGAAGGAAATGCAAGATCACAGGTAGCGATGAGATGGGACGTTTTTATTCATCTTCTTCCTTGCAGATTGAGTTGCAAGCTTAGTACACAGACAACAACTGCAACTCTACTCATCACAGTATCACAGGATCACAAGCTACTACTGACTGACACGTGGTGGACTCGCACTGCAAACACGTGGGCACATGCCCACAGCAAAAGCCAAGACAGACACGGCGGCCGGCGACGGCGAGCTCGCCCGCCGGCGGCGAGATGGGACAAGTGAAAAACTAGCCGTTGACGATGACGCCGCCGTTGACGTGCAGCATCTGGCCGGACATGTAGGAGGCGTCGTCGCTGGCGAGGAAGACGAAGCTGGGCGCCACCTCCGACGGCTGGCCGGCGCGGCCCATGGGCACCTGGGAGCCGAACTGCCTCACCTTCTCCTCCGCGAACGACGCCGGGATCAGCGGCGTCCAGATCGGCCCCGGCGCGACGCCGTTCACCCGGATCCCCTCCTCCGCCAGCTGCAGCGCCAGCGCCCTCGTGAACGCCACGATGGCGCCCTTGGTCGCCGTGTAGTCCAGCAGCGTCTTGTTCCCCTTGTACGCGTTGATCGACGACGTGTTGATGATGCTGCACCCGCCGGCGCCGGCGCCGCCGCGGCGATCGCGCATCCGCTTCACGGCGTGCTTCGACATGAAGAAGTAGGAGAAGATGTTGGTGCGGAACACGCGTTCCAGGTCGTCCTCGGTGATGTCGGTGATGGAGGGGCGCTCGTACTGCTCGGCGGCGTTGTTGACGAGGATGTCGATGGCGCCGCCGTACGCGCCGGCGACCTCGTCGACCACCTTGCGGCAGTTGTCGTCGTACCCGAGGTCGGCGGGGATCGCCATGGGGTCCTTGGCGCCGGTGCGCGCCCTGATGTCGCGCAGCGCGCGGAGCGTCTCCTCCGCGTCCTTCTCCTCCTGCCCCTTCACGTACGTGAACGCCACCGTCGCGCCCTCCAGCGCGAAGCACAGGCACACCGCCCGCCCGATGCCGGAGTCGCCGCCGGTCACGATCGCCACCTTGTCCTGCACCGACGAACGACGACATGAACGTGACATGAACGGAGAAGAACAGCAAATCAAGTAGTAAACTGACCTTCAGCTTGTTGGCTGGCTTGTAGCTCTGGATGATGGCCTCGGGGCGGGGATCCATGGCGTGCTCCTTCCCCGGCTGCGTCTCCTGATTCTGCGGCGGGAACTGCTGCGACGCCATGCTTCTCCTGCTGCTGCCGCTGCTCCGGCGAGCCGCCGCCGCCCTGTCGCTAACAAACAAAGAAGAACAAGAAACCGCAGGACGCAGCAACAGCACCGGCGCCGGAGAAGACGACGACGCGGGTGCAAGGGCTCGTCGGAGGTGAAGAAGAAGAGGCGGCGGGCTACTTGCTCTGGCGAGGGAAAGCGCGCGCATGCGATGCGGCGTACGTGGCGCGGCGAGGGGGGTGGTCATCGCGGGGGAGACGAGGCTGGGATTATAAAAGAGGAGGAGGAGCTCGCCGGGGGGCGGCGCGTGGCGGGGCGACGTGGCGGCGGGTGTCGCGGCGGCCGTCGCCACGCGTCGTCGTCGTCGGGGGTTGGGCTGGCACACGCCGCCGCTTAGCCACAGCGGTAGGCCTCGCCTAAAAGCTTCGATGGAGCTCACTAGAAGAAGAAATAGTAGAGACATCTGGGCCTTTATGGGCCGCAACGTGGATCCTTAACACGTTTGATCGCGCGGGAATAAGTTCACTTCATGACCCTCAACTGTGGTCGAAATCTAATCCATGACCCTAAACCACAAAACCAGATATCTCGACCCCCAAACTTCTAAAACCGGTGCAATTTGACTCCCTGCGCGGTTTTGGGAGGCGGTTTTGCTTACGTGGCGCCTACGTGGCAATATTGACCGAGTCTTCGATCCACGTGGCGTTGACGTGGCACTTACATGGCATTACAATTGTGGGACCCGTTTGTCATTCACACACATAAAAAAAATTGTGGGTCCCACTGACATGTGGACCCCACATGTCATCCTCCTTCCTTCTTCCTCCTCCCTTTCTCCCTTCTCTCTCTCCCCCCTTCTTCCCCTACGTCTCCCACAGGCGGTGATGGGCGATGGCGCCGGGCAACGGGGAGGCCAAACGGCGGCGGCCACCCGGCTAGAGCGGCGGCGGCGCTAGAGGCAGGTCGAGCGGAGGTGACGGCGTCGGGCGACGGGGCGGCACAAACGACGGAGGCCTCCAGGCGCCACGCAACAGCCTCGACCTCGACGCCAACCTCCTCCGCGGCGACATCCAGATCGGCGTCCAGATCGAGCCGGCCTCTGGCGCTCTCGCGCGGCCCAGGCCGTCCGCGCCACCCTCCGAGGCCAACACGCCGCGCACACCTAGCCTCGCCGCGCGCCTCATGGGCGGAGGCCGCTCGGCTCGAGCAGAGGCGACGACGCCGGGCGACGGGGCATCCCAAACGGCGGCGGCCACCCGACTCGAGCGGCGGTGGTGCCAGAGGAGGATCGAGCAGAGGCGATAGCGATGGGCGCCAGGGAGGCCCGAGCGGAGGCGGCGACGACGGCGGCGGGCGGGCCTTCCTCCGTGCCATCCTCTCCTTGCTAGTTGCCGGCGCCCATAAGTTTGGGGGTCGATATATCTGGTTTTGTGGTTTAGGGTCATGGATTAGATTTCGATCACAGTTAAGGGTGACGAAGTGAACTTATTCCGATCGCGCGTGGTTTTATTGGTGGGCCTTTATTAGTAAGTTTTTTTTTCTTTAACTAAGCCTTAAAATTCGCTCGGATGAAGAATTAAATTGGGAGTACCTATGCATCTTTCAAAAGATTTTTATGACCATATCACACAGATTTTTAATTTTTGGATTAAAATCCAATAGACACAGTAAAAGATAAAAAGCAACTAAGAAACACCATAATGGACAATAAATTACCATATCTTCAAGAAAAAGACCAAATCCAATATAAATTTTAAAACTTACATGCAAAGATTAAAAAATTACACTGCAACTTACAAAAATTACAATGTAAGTTTCATAAGTTACACTGTAATTTACAAGAAAATACCCTGTAAATTTGAGTGAGAAAATCGAGTGAGATAAGAAAAAAATCTTTCGAGTGAGATATAGCCAAATCGGTTAAATTTAAGATCTTAAGGTGCTACTCGAATAATGTAATCATTAGGTAGCACACTATTCATTCTGCTCCGTTCCGAACATGTCGCTCGCCGAGGCTTCAGCTATGACAGTGACTGTTGCAACCCATTGTTACCTGCTGCTTGCAGAGGGCTTATTCGGAACGCATCATTGAAAAAAAAAATACAGAAACATAAAAAAACATAGAAATATGATAAGAATATAAATGCAAAACAGATAATTGAAAAACATATGAAGGTGTTTGGATTAGCTGCATGTTTGTCTGGATCCTACGCAAATGAATAGAAAAATAAGTTCAGAGTGAATGGAAAAATTCATGTGTTTCTCACTTAAAATCTGTAGCACGGGAAAAATTCCTAATTCCTTGGGCATTCATGTGACTACTTCATACTCCCCCTGTCCTTAAAAAAAGCTAACTTAGATGCGGATGGGTCACCACCTAGAACAACGAGACAACGAATCTAGACATGTCCAGATTCATTGTCCTAGATGGTGTCCCATCCCCATCTAAGTTGGCTTTTTTTTTGGATGGAGGGAGTATGAAACGAATGATCACATGTCCTTCATTTTTCCCTCCGATCCGAATAAGGCCTTATTTTTATTGGCTATGGCACAACCACATTCTCATATAATCAAAAATCCACAAAATACAATAACTTCAAACATTTAAAATTTATCTTAACTGCAATCTTCTTTCCTCTACTGAGCACGTATCCTCATCAAAAGAAAAGAAATGAAATATAGCACTGTAGTAGCAAATATAGGTGGTGTTTCTTTCTTCTGAAGATAAAGACAAGATTAATCTTTTTTACGTAAGACGATATGTCGTATAGAAAGTATTCATACGAAGTAGACCGTTTGACAGAGTAACAAACATGGCACACAAATTTTAATCTTCGCCCAACCCCAAATCCGTCGGGACCATAGCAAGTCCGTCGCCCCCAAATCAAAAAAAAAGGAAAAGAAAAACCGTCCCTATTGCGGTGCCATGGCGGCGAATCCAAAAATCCAAATGGAGAAGACTCGAGGTCGCCATGGGAGGGAGGACGAGTCATCGCAAGACAGCGCGGTGGCGGCGGCGGCGGCCGAGAAAGCGGGGTGGCCGACGGCGGATGAGGGTGGCGGGCGGAGGGAGCTCGCTGCCTCGAGCCGGAGCCCGCATGGCGCTCCGATTCAATCAGATGATTTCGTACGCTCTCTCATCCTCCATCCCTCTCCCCCTCCTCGCTGCATTTTTGCCTTTTTCTTTTTTATTATTTTGTGTGTGTGCCTGGTTGGAGTTAGTTAATCTAACCTAATGTATGAATTCTAAATAGCGCGAGAGTGGGAATCCATCTGAGGATTTCTGCTATGAATCCGAATGCGATACGTGTAAATCAACTTTTGGGATGGTCTCGTTGGTTTATTAGGTCGATTAGTAGCTGGTTTAGGGAGTATCTGGTGCGAATTTGCTTTAGAGATCTGTTTACAGAATGCGTTGAATACTATATTGGGAGGAGGTACACCAAAATTACGACCTACCTTTAAACCCTCGCTAAATCTTTTCCATCTAGATCTTGAGCTAGAGAGAGCCTGTTTCATGGTAGCAAAGCCTCTCCTATATATGTTCTGATTTATCCCATTGTGATTTCAATCTGATTGTGTATGCTCTTCCTTACCAATTAAATTCCATTCAAGCGAATATCTTTATCACAACAGTAGCAAAAAGCTTCATCTTCGCTTGTAATGCATGTTGTGTCTCAATTGATTTGTTCCTTTTTCATTAACCAATAATATTGTCGATATGAGTCAGCGGCCAAGGTTTCTGATTCTTAGAGAAGAATACATACAATTTTCAAAAAGCTACGAGCTTCATGCAACTAAGCTAATTTGATTACCCACAGGCTCCTGTCCTGTGCTTTTATAAAGATTCAGTTTTATTTAAGTAGTAGTTTCTCATTTTTGTCACTCTTCTGATTATCCATTTATATTTTTTCATTTGGTTCTTTCCCTTTATGCAAAAGAATGCCATCACCCTTCTTCTTTTGGGCACACGCAGTTGGGATGGTAGTCTGGAGTTCCTGAAAATTATAGTATCCATATGATCCTATAGTTCATATAAGTGCTAAATATGGTCGATATGAAATAAGGTAGACGCACTACTTATGAACCATTTATTGAGTTGTGTTTGAAAGTCTGGCTTGTTGCCCTTCAAAATTCCTAATGTTTCTTGCTTTCCAAAATTGTGTGTGCACAAGCTGCAAACCAAATGGGTTCTATACCCTGAATGTTGTGATGGCTGTCAATAACTGCTTCTAAGAAAATTGAGGCCGACTCTGACGAATTAGCTAGGTCTAGAAGTCCTAATTTCTCCCATAAGACTGTAGCAGCCTTGCATCATAGAATAATATGGTCTTATGTTTCTATTGCTGGGCAGAGCAGATGTCACAGTGAGGGTTGTTGTCCCAGTTCTTATTTACCATGTTGCCTTTAGTGTTTAATTTATCCCTAAAAGCCACTAGTTACGAACCATGTACCAACATAAGCCACTTTGAGAAACCGTCTATGGTATCTTTATAGATAGCGGTGAGTCGGTCTATGTTACGAGGTTATGGATATGGTCTATGTTATGAGGTTATGGACATGACATTCTGTAGTAGTGTGATGTGATGCATATTTAACAGACAAATCATACGAGCATACAAGAAACACATGATACATGCACTACCTTGCACAACACTTGTAGCATCCCATGGTGATCTGATGGTATCTTTGCGCTTGGGGCAATGACGCAGCTAGTGGGGAAATTATTGTAGTCATACAAAATTGTTACACTGGGTTTAAAAACACAACCATTCTGACACATTATCCCAATGAAAACACAAGCACTCAGACATGGATTTTGGTTGGCACAAACACGAAAGGATGATGATAATGTTGGTGGTTAGAAAGAACCAAGCAAATGAAAACTCAAGCACTCAGACATGAATTTTGGTTGGGACAAACACAAAAAGATGATGCCTATATTGGTGGTCAAAAAGTACCAAGCAGATGACTGTTTTAAGCAATTAAAACAGATATGCGGCTTGCATGTTCTCCATAGCGGTATCTGTAAGAACAAGTAAGAAAGTCATTTTAGATGAAATCATAGCCAGCTTGGGAAATTTGACACATCATATTAAGTCTTTTACTGTTTACTACTTCCTCCGTTTCATAATGTAAGTCATTCTAACATTTCCCACATTCATATTGTTGTTAATGAATCTAGATAGATATATATGTCTAGATTCATTAACATCAATATGAATGTGGGAAATGCTAGAATGACTTACATTGTGAAACGGAGGGAGTACATGGCAGAGCCCTTGACAATTGGCAGATTAAAGACAAACATTTAAGTTTGGATTTACGAATTCTCCTTGAGGAGTCTAAGTATGTTTGAACTGACATTTTGCCTAAAAGGGCAAAAACAATACCTTCTTTCGAAATCGGGGATTTTCTTAAGCTTTTCTTGTAATTTAGTTGCGAGGGAAGAGATGCATTCGATAGTTCTTTCCGTAGGAATCCCGATACCGCAGTGAAACAGCTTGAAGCTCTCAAGTTTTCTAGCAGTCCTTGCCACTTCATTCAGTTCCTCATATACTCCACATTGTAGGAGTATTTCCCAGTAGCTGTTGTTTTCTTCGACCATCCAAGTAATTAACTCAAGTGTGGATACCCTTATGCATGGAAAATCAGTACTTGGAGACATGTACACTTCTAATATCTTCTTAAGCTTCTTGATCAATGTGTCCGCAGTAAGATTGGCATATTTCAGTGCAGTGGAGAAATCACTTCTTTTGTTCGGGGACCTACAAATCTGCACTGCGAGGCCTATAAAGCTCTCTAGTACTTTGCCTTGTTTGATCCACATGTCATCCTTCACCTACATATATATATCCAAAGAAAATTGTTTGTGAATTGGGAAGTTAGACTAGGTGCAAATGAAGTAGTCAGGAGGTAAGGGAAAACAACTACTATTTTCTTACATGGTCCAGATTTTCTGCTGATGATGGATCCTCCAAAGTTGCCACTGCATCTACGACTGCTTTGAGCACCTATATAATTCAATTTTCAGAGAGATATATTGGTCGTTGTTACCATATTGCTTTAGTCAATGAATATAGTTGCGGTGAAGGAAAATGGTGATGATGCGTTAATTCTGAGCCTATGCATATATACATAATATATATATTTAGTAGACTACATCCAAAGAGAATGGCTAGAACTAAAACGAAATTACCTTTGGCAGTGCTGCATCTATCAATTTCATGTACTCATCAAATTCTTTTGGTCCTGAATAGGCACGCAAATTCTGCAGGAGTTTTGCATGCATACCTGTTGCCTGTTCTTCACCCTCAGCCAATATTATTTTTTTGACTCTGCGCAATGTTTCTGGGTCCAGATTACGTCGTCCTTCAAATTGTGCCAGCGCCCTTCTCTTCTCTTTGTCTCCATCTTCAGAAGAGAGTGCATTCACTATCTTGTTCAACTCTTCTTTATTGATCCCTTGTAGGAAAGCTTCAACATTGCTCGCACATTCTGTGGTGAGCAAAATTAATGCTTTAGCAGCTGCGTCAGAGTGATTCACCCGTGGCGCGAAAAGTGCATCTTCCACATCAAGGCTCTGTACAAAATTCCATATCCATGGCTGGTGAAGTTGATCAAAATCAAGTTCTTCAATGAAGGCTGAAATTGGTAGTGAAAAGCTTTGATCTTCCACGGTACGATTTTCCTCAATGAAAAGCTGGATTTGGTTTAACAATTGCTCATCACCAGTGCACTCCAGAACCAACAGCTTGGCAGCTACTTTAGTTATATTTACGTATGGTGTCTTGGAAAGTAGACAATCCTTAAGTTTCTTGATGATCTCAGGAAACTTGCCGATATATTCTCGGCCTTCCTTATCCACTGCTAAGCATGATATGACTCTTGTTGCCTGGACATGGTCCAAGATCATCCCAGTGTTGGTCAGGAAATGCACATGCTTTGATGTTTCTTTTCTGAGTTTCTCCCCAGCCTCATCCGGTGCAGCGACCAGCTTGCTCAAGATGTTGAGTGCCATGCCAACAATAATTTCTTGGTCAAGCTTGTCGATGAAAGGAAGAGGAATCTCGTTTTCTGTTTGAAGCAAAGGGATAATCTCCTGTTCAATCCAAGAATCAGAAATGGTACTAGTGTTACTCCTCATGCTGCGGCCATGACCATGACCATGACAACATGGGATGGTGAGGTCTATGATGGTGGACAATAGATCACCACCGCTCTCGTCGTTGGTGGCTTTCCTACAGTTTTCTGGGTTGTCCGTGAGCTTGTCTAGGATACGCAGGCCAAACCAGACCAAGTCAGAATCCATGTTGCACTTGCACACCCTCTTGTTGTTGGACTTGGATGTGCTGAGCAGGGAAGAAGATATGGCATAGAGGATCTGAGGATAACTCTGAACCAGAAGATCTGGACTAAGTTTCAGCACCACTCTTGCGGTATGGCCTCTGATATCCTCCTCCTCCGTGGTCTTGTTTTTGTGGCTCTTGTCGTAACCTAGCATGTTAACCAGCTTCCCCAGCTCGTCGGGTTCCATGAAAGCTCGAAGCTTCCTAAGAGCTAGGCTTCTGAACTCCATCGACCTGAGGATGCGGTCCATGGCACCGACACCAAGTAACTTGTCATCGGCCATGTTGGATACCGCTAGTTTCTTGGCGAAGGTGACCAGGTGCATTTGCAAGGTTGCTTTCACATTCCCGGCAATGAATTCCAGGTAATTGCACCTCTTGTAATTCAAAATTATCTTGAGACCGGAGGGGTCAAATAGTTTGTACTTGATCCCGGCATTGAACAGAAAATAATAGCTCAGTGGGTTGAGCAGTATGGTGACGAACATGATTCCCTGGGCAAACACCAAGCTGTAGAAGATGTTGAGGGACCACGTGATGTTCTGGTTTTGGTCATTCATGATGTCCCCGGGATTCAAGTAGTCTTGCTTCTTGAGACGCTTCCAGGATAGGGCTAAGACAGTGACCACAGCGGCCACCCTGGCCAACCACACGGCGGCAAGGATGGTCATCCCGAGCAAGGCTTGGCACCCATAGATGCTGCACAGGTACCATATTTTCTCCTCTTTGTGCCTTCTTCCTCCTCTGGTCCTTCTTGTGGGTTCTTGCTGCTGCTGCTGTGTTCCTCTGCGCCTCCACCAACTTAATCCCTTCAAAGTTGAGGTCCTTTTGTACTTCATTAGTGCTTCTGGTGCGCGCAGGAAAATTTGCTGTGCAGGATCCTCGTAACCACCCAAAAACCTGTCAATGAATTGTACTGCGGTGAGCTTCATATAACACTACTACAAAAAGAGTCATCCTAGCCCTTCTTAATATTAAACTACCAATTCATACAAAGAACCCGCAATGTCACTATCTGCCGGGTTTTATAGGAAAACCACTGAAATACGTACTGACTGCTTTTATTTTCTCAAGAACCCTGGTGACAGTGATATAAAAGTGATACAATTTTTCGGTGAATAAAAACCTTTTGTATAAACAATATTTTAATTTGTATAAATCTATCTAGGAAAAGTTCTACTTTATCCCCTGAAGTATTAATGTTGGTCTACTTAACCCCATAAAGTAGGAAACAGGGTATTCTATCCCTTGAAATATAGAAACATGTTCAAATAACCCCATAGTGTGTTTTTATAGGTGGTTTTGGCCACGTGACATAGTGATAGACTTGGTTAAGTTTTTTTTAACAAGTTGAACATCTCGAGAATGCTGTACATTAGTGCTAGTATGTATTTTTTAGGTTTGCTGATTAGTGAGTGAAAAGAGCTATTAGTGAGTGAAATGGGCCGCTCGGCCCGAGCACGACCAGGCCTGGGCCCGAGATCAGTCGGGCCGACACGACCCGACCTACAGCCGGGCTGAACCGTGCCCGCCCACGGGCTGCATCAATGGCCCAGGCACGGCCTAATAAGACTCAGGCCGTGCTGGGCCGGCTCCAAGGCACGAAAGCCCACCGGCCGGCCTTCCGTACCGAGGCAGAGGCCTAGGCATGGGCTCTACACTAGTCGGGTCGTGCCGTGCCTGGGCCGGGCCAAACCCGTGCTGTGGGCCGGGCCGTCGGGCCCAGGCCTTTTGGCCATCTATACATGCAGGAGAAGCAATCACAAGGCATGCAGGACATTCACATTTCTCGGCATTAAATTTTGGGGAAACGATCAATTTATTCGAAAATGGAAATTATCAACATCTTTTACAGTTTGTGTGTTGATGTCTGATGGTGCTAGCGTCAACCAATGGCATTGCAATACACTTGAAATTTTGTTTCAGTGGTTTTGGCATCACAACATGAGTTATATTTCCCTAATTGCTTCAGCGGCTGATTAGAGTTGCAAGATTAGATTTATAATATTGTAGAGGGAATCTTTGGGGGTGCTAACGCTCATGATCGAAGTCCATCACCATGCAGTCAACTGCCATCCCACCATGTGCTGCGAAGTCTTCTGCAGTTCGCTTGACGATGTTGTTTCATCCTTTTGGGCTTTCCACTTTTTAAATTACTAATTATCTAGGGGTTCAGAGGATTCTTTGTTTCTTTCGGAAGATGACTCTACCAAAATTTAGATAGCTGCTTGTGCAATTGTGTAGCATCAACACATGAACATGTGGATCGATCTACTGCATTGCGTGCTTTGTATATGCTCTTTCTAGCTCTGTTACAAGTAGTACTGAAATTATTAGTTTTAAAACTCATGCCATATACTCCCTCCGTTTCACAATGTAAGTCATTCTAACATTTCCCATATTCATATTGATGTTAATGCTAGAATGACTTACATTGTGAAACGGAGGAAGTATTCCATTACAGGAACAATAAGGCATGACAATGAATTCATGTGCCGGAAATAATTGTCTGGATTCAGCTAGGCTGGATAGATGAGAGTTTGTTTTACTCACACAGTTTCCAATAAGCTAGCTACCTTTATATAAGACTAAAAAATTGCTGTTGTGTTGCAGGGTGCCTTGCCTCCGACTCCGAAAGCAGTGGCAATGGTGCACGAGGGACACAGGTAAGGTGATGTTACAGCCATGCAACTCCCTGCTGCCCAACGGGGAGTGGGAGAGGAGAGCTATATATGGAGATCGGGCATTATCCGAGCGAGCGGCTACCTGCTGCTCAGTTCAGGTATCTTTGTATATTCTGAATTTGCAAAGAAGCAGGAATAAATAGGGTCTAATTAGCTTCTCAGTTCAGGCATGAACTGACTTCAAGTTTATTTAATTGGTGGATTATCCTTGCAACACTTGCCAGCTGCCAGTTTCCATTATTTTTCTAATCCTTTTTTATTCGAAGTTGGAATTAGTTTCTGTCAGCAAATTTAACGTTTATCCAGAAGCTAATGTGGCTTCCTTTGTTTGACCAGTCCCACAAATGAATTAGAAAGATTGGTGGATCAATTAAATTTAGGGAATCTAGCGTTCGCGAAAAAATTTAGGGAATCTTCTTGCTCCTGACAGAATATATATCTATCCATTATTATCCATAATCATCGCAAGCATTTTTTAAGTAGCATAGATTATGTGATGCCTATTATTGCCTAATTGTGATCAAACTCGTTATATAAGATGCATGAGTTCTGTTAAAATTAGCTATAACATTTTTATAGCTCATTTTTACATAGCCTGTACACATTTTTTTTTCTTTACCAACATAGCTAACAGTACATTTTCCTTGTTATATTTAGCTTTTGCCCTCTACTTTCATTGTGTTTAGCCTCTCCAACCTATATTTCCAGAAACTTTCATGTAAATTTGCTGATCTATTTTCTCTTTATGCACGTAGGGACTAGGGACATCCTCAGTTTGCCATGGAACAGAAGAGATCAGCATGGTCAGGATCAGAAGATGACGAGTCAGTACTGCAAACTCCCGTGCAGCTAACCGTGAGAACGATTACAGTGATCGACGGTGATAGCAGCGGAGATGGTGATCAAAATGCAGGACAAGTTTATATAGATACAGAGTTTGGATAATTCGATGTTGAGATGGAACATAAAGCTAATTCAATGTCGAGAAGGAGCTTAAACTATAATTTGCTGTTTGGAATATACTTGCATTGCATCAATGAGAATCTCAATTGGTATATGTGCTACTTCGCTTTTGCCCGTCGAATGTTTATGAGATCTCATAAAAAAACATTGTACATCGTTGGGTTTTATAGCAAAATTTGATCATATACCCTCTATTTATTGGATTGAAATTGAGGATTTAGGCCGTGTTTAGTTACTTTTCAGAAAAAATTTTGAAGTATACGGACAACATTTAAAGTATTAAATGTAGACTAATAACAAAATAAATTATAGATTTCGCCTATAAACTGCGAGACGAATCTATTAAGTCTAATTAATCTGTCATTAGCAAATGTTTACTGTAGCATCATATTGTCAAATCATGGCGTAATTAGGCTCAAAATATTCGTCTCGTAATTTACATGCAAACTGTAATTGGTTTTTTTTCGTCCAAATTTAATGCTTCATGTATGTGTTTAAATATTTGATGTTACGGAATTTTTGGAAGCTTAAACTGAACTAAACACAGGCTTACCCTCCTAACCCACATGTGATCCAAGAAAACCCCACATGTCACTGACACGAGACGTCTGAACGGATGTACCATGATCCAATATCCCACTTTCTCTATGACTTTTACTGTCACATGGATTGGTCGAAAGTGAATATCTAGTAACTTTGTGCAGATTGCAGTGGAGTCACTAACCGTGTGTTAGTGATACGTGGGTACGTCTTATTTTACTATGACCCACATGTCAATGACATAACTATAGTATTAATTTAATGATATAACCGTAAACTGAACGAGGTTAGTGAGAGAAGCCTCATCATCTGGATTGGCCTCGATATGGAAACGGAAAAAGTTTCTCGTGTGTTATATACCCCTTGTTTTCCGAGAATGCTCTGCGTCGGATGCCTGACGCTCTAGCAAAATATCGGATTCTCATCATCACGCGCATAATCATGTCCACTTTATTGCCTCCATGCATATCACTTTAGAGCAAGTTTAATAATAGAGCTCACTATTTACTATTAGTCAATATTAAAGCTAACATATATAGTAGATTGGCTATAAGGTTATCTTTATTTTCTTCATCCTCTCTCTTTCTCTCACCATGAATTTAATGCATATTTCTTGGAGTTTGTGTGCAGTTAGCTCTTGCATGAGAGCCAACACTCCCCACTTTTGTTTATCTCTCTCTTCCACATAAGCATATAGCTTACTTATAGCCTACTATTATCCTTGCTCTTATCTAACCATGCACGCATACATCTCTATATATTTAAATGATTTTTTCCCTAAATTACTTCTCCAATCTACAATCTGGTCATACCATTAAATTTATTGCAATTAAATGTTTACAACAAGATTACACGTAGCTATATTCCAATGATTTTTTAGCTTTTTTTATTATTTTAAATGTTACACATGGTTTTATATAAATGTTTCAACTAGCATTTATACTATGCTTCGCTATTTAATTTGTAAATGTTGCACGTGTTGTTATTTGAATGTTCCAATTAGTATTTTATAATGTGTCAAAAGTAACAACTTAATGTTTTATACAATGTTATAAAAATATTTTAATAATAGTACATATTTACAAATATATTGTATCTTTTATATATTTTTTATGTCTCACGAGAATCAATGTTTTATATAATGGTTGTTCGTATTGCAGTTAGTATTTTTTGAATGCTATATTTCTCTGAATCATTTTATAGAGTGAGTTGGAATATTTAGCAAACGGTAAAATAATTTTCTATAAGTGGTGAAACAACGCTTGATTTTCCATATCAAAATACAACCGTATGAGATCTTGTTATAAAGATTTAACTGCAACAAGTTTAATGGTGAAAATCGGATAATTAATTTAGAAGAAAAAATATTTAAAGAAATGAAAAGTATGGTTGAGATAAGGGCTACAACCATACAGCCATGCGTGCACAAGCATATAGGTTTCTTACATGTGCTAATTTACTGGAGTAGAAACAGTAGATATAGTACAGTCACGACGCATAGGCTAGTAGGAGAGGAGCGGAGTGTCAGATTTTTTTTTCTAAAAATCGGGCACCTATTGGTAGTTGCGTCGCTCCTTTGCCCTTTACCTTGTTACAGAGTTTTATAAGCTAGTTTAATAATATACAAACTTTGATTGATCATCTTACTTTTTTAAGAAATATACTTAAAAAGATGTATTATCAAAGTATACTTTACATGCTTAGATATAATATTATACTATCTCTAATAAGTTCATCAAAACATCATAACTAAAAGTTCCCACTGGTCAAATTGAGATAAAGTCATCCCACTAGTTATATACTCCCTCCCTTCGTTTCAAAATATTTTACACCGTTGACTTTTCAGTATGTATTTGACCATTCGTTTTATTCAAAAAATAATTATTTATTCTTTTCATATCATTTGATTCATTGTTAAATATACTTTCATGTACACATATAGTTTTACATATTTCACAAATTATTTTGAATAAGACGAATGATCAAACATGTGCTAAAAAGTCAACGGTGTCAAACATTTTGAAATGGAGGGAATATTAATTAACAGTGTCAAATAAAAAAAGAACGGAAGGAGTAATTACTGCTTAACCAGTATTCTAAACCGAAATTAAAGTTGGTTTATTCAAGCTAATACTCCGGAGGAGGATGTACTTAATTAATTATACTTTTTTTAAGAGAAGGGTTTTTTTTACCCGGCCTCTATATCCAACTAGGGACTTAGCCGTTAAATAACCCAATCTGAAATTCGCTCCTATTAACTTAGGATCTTAGGGTGCTTACCCGATGGATTGGACGAAGGCGATGACGGTGACGTACCAAAAGTCCTCCTTCTTGATGAGGGTGGAGAATCCACCGAGCAGGACGACGGTCGCCCAGATGGTGGCCAGCGTGCCGATGGTATTCATCGCCTTGTACAAGAAAGCAGTGCAGAGGAGGACGGTGTTGAGGAAATCTTCCGGCAGCAACATCTTCACTTTCGACGACTCCTCCTTCGTCTCACCATCCGCAGCAGATGAATCCATATTGGTCGTCGATCGTACGTTGGCTATGGCTATTACCCTAAACTAGGCACAGTGTTTGTGTTGCACTAATGGCCAGTAGTTTTGTGTGTCGCTAGCCTTTTTAAGGCAATGAAAGCTTGGCCAGGCGATCTTTTGTTTCTTACAAGCTATTTAGAATAATAAGTACTCCCTCCATATTAAAATATGTATGACGCCGTTAACTTTTTAATCAACATTTGACCATTCATCTTATTCAAAAAATAATGTAATTATCATTTATTTTATTGTGGCTTAATTTATCATCAAATATTCTTTAAGTATAACATAAATATTTTTATATTTGCAAAAAAATTTGAATAAGACGAATGATCAAACGTTGTTTGAAAAATCAACGGTGTCATATATTAAAATATGGAGGGAGTAGTTCCTAGGAACAAGGAAACACAAGTGGTACGGTCATGAAATTGTGGGTGTATGATTTAACCCGTCTGAATTTAAATCCTGATATTTATTCCCAGTGCTCGTAAACGTATGCAATGGTCGTGAAAGACCTCATCTTTTCGCTTATACTTATCAGCCAAAATTTAAATTTTCAACCTTAAAATTGAAGCTGATTTTAAAGTTTTTTTTATTGAAGTTTATTTTTCAGCCTTTTCTTTTAGATCGCTAAAAGCACGTATATAAAAATTTTATTCACAGATTACATTTCGCTTACAAATCTATCGTTTGGCTTATTTCACGAATAAGTGAAACAATGGGACCGTTAATTAGATCATCGATGTGTATTCTCTTTAAACATGTGTTTTCAGCGGAAACTTAATTAGTGAGGTTAGGGATGTATAGTTGGTTTTATTCTTTTTGAACGTGTGTTAGAAGCCCCATTCACGGTCACGGATGTGTGAATATGGTGTTACGTGTGTAGTGGTGTGTGCGTGTGTGAATTTACCGTGTAATTGTAAAAAAAATATACCAAAAACAATATGAAAGCAAGGTGTTGTCAAGGAGACAGACAGACATTTTTTTTTGCTTTTAAGAAAAGACCGAAGAGCCCTGCTTTTAATAAAGCACACATACAGAGACATTAAATCTTCAACGATAAAATTAAAGAAATAACCAAAGGAGTTTGGTAACTTTAAGCCTTCCATAAGCCTTGCATGCTTTAGTTCTTATTCCGACGTGATATATGCAGGTGCCTCCACGCCTTTTTTTTTTCTTTTCTTTTAAAAATAAAGAAAATATGGACAGATTTACCACGGTCCCCATCCAACCAAACAGCGAGAATTAGCTGTTAGGAGCACATCATTAGGGTGTCATCTAAGAAATGGAACTATTCCATTCAGCGGCTCACAACTCGGACTTTTATTTACTCCTCCATTGTAAAATAAATCAATCTAAAATTAGACGGGATGTTACCTCATACAATGAATTTGGACATGCTCTTATCCAGATTCATTTTACGGGGTAATGTCCCATCCAATTCTAGAGTGGTTTATTTTGAGATAGATATACACCGCAAGAACGTGTATTTATTGTAGGATATAAAAAAAAATAGTTGCACATCTAACACATGGGCCCTGCCATTTTTACTATTCTATGTGTGTAACTAAGGGCCTGTTTGGTACAGCTCCAACTCCTAAATATAACTCCAGGAGTTGAGTCTGGAGTGGAGTTGTGGAGCTGCCTAAACTCAGCTCCACAACTCTAGTACATTTTGTGAGAGAGCTCCACCCAACTCCACTCCCAGTTTTGGTGGAGCTGAAACTGTTTGGCTGAGCTCCAGCTTCAGGAGGGGTGGAGCTGGAGCTGGAGCTGTGCCAAACAGGCCCTAACATGTGGCCCAACAATTTTTATTATTTTCCAGGATCGAATTAACATGTAAACGTCATGTCAATACTACATAGGGCGAAGGCCTAGTCAAATGAGCTACGTCAGTCAAAACTGGCGACAATACTACTAAGAGAGCTCTCGTTTGCATTGGTTTTCAGTAAGTTGGGGGATGCGTTCGGTCCAGGGACGAATTTTGGACTCGGCGACAAAGTAAGGGACCTAAAGTGAACTAATTCCTTCCTTTAAATCAAAGTGGGCCTTACCTGCTACTAATTAACACCCAGACCGGCCCATGGGCCTCCCAAATCCCCTCCCTACTGCGGCGAATCCAAATGGAGCAGGCTCGAGTTCCTCCAAGCCATGGGAAGGCGCCGCGACGGCGACGGCGACGGCGACGGCGGAGAAAGCGGGGTGGCCGACGGCCGACGAGCGTGGCGACCGGGCGGATGGAGCCTGCACTAGCTCGTACGCTCTCTCATCCTCTCCTCCTCGCTGCATTTTTGCCCCCTTTTTATTTTTGGGCGAGTTACCGATTTGGTTCCAAGCTAGATTGGAGGATGCTGCTGGGTTGGAAAGTTTGTGCCTGGTTGTAGTTAGTTAATCTAACCTAATGTATGAAATTCTAAATAGCGGAGGAGGGGAAAATCTATCTGAGGATTTCTGCGCGCTATGAATGCGATGCGTGTAAATCAACTTTTTGATGGTCTCCTTGGTTTATTTGGTGGCTTAATCATGGTTTAGGGAATATCTGGTGCGGATTAGCTTTACGGCTCTGTTTGGATCATGCTTGAATATTATACTGCGAATTTGCTTGATCGCCTCATTCTTTAGGGCACACGCAGTTGAACATGGTCGATATGAAACAAGGTAGACACACTAGTTACAATGTCGGTGAGTTCATCTATGATATGAGGTTATTGATATGGTGTTTTGTGATGGATATTTTGCAGAAAAAAAAATCATACGAACATACAAGAAACTTGCACAACCTTGTAGCATGCCATGGTGATTTGATGGTATCCATGGAAATTATTATAGTCTCACAAAATTCTGACACTGGGTTTAAAAACACAACCATTCCGACACACTATCCAAATGAAAACACAAGCACTCAGACACGAATTTTGGTTGGCACAAACACAAAAGGATGGTGATGATGTTGGTGGTCAGAAATAACCAAGCAAATGAAAACACAAGCACTCAAACACGAAATTTGGTTGGCACAAACACAAAAGGATGATGATGGTGTTGGTGGTCAGAAAGAACCAAGCAAATGACTGTTCTAAGCAATTAAAACAGATATGCTGCTTGCATGTTCTCCATAGCAGATGTATCTGCAAGAACAAGTAAGGAAGTCATTTTAGATGAAATCACAGCCAACTTGGGAACTGTTTACTACTCCCTCCATCCCAAAATATAAGGTATTTTGACCGAATGAGACATATTCTAATACTAAAAATCTGGAACGGACTCTCTATCTAGATTCGTAGTACTAGGATATGCCCCATCCGGTCAAAATACCTTATATTTTGTGACGAAGGGAGTACATGGCAGAGTCCTTGACAATTGGCAGATTAAAGGCAAACATTTAAGTTTGGGTTTACGAATTCTCCAAGAGGAGTCTAAGTATGTTTGAACTGATGTTTTAACTAAAAGGGCATAAACAGTACCTTTTCTCAAAATTGGGGCTTTGCTGAAGCTTTTCTTGTAATTCAGTTGCGCGGGAAGAGATGCATTCAATTGGACCATCCGTAGGAATCCCAACACCGCAGTGAAACAGCTTGAAGCTCTCAAGTTTTCTAGCAGTCCTTGCCACTTCATTCAGTTCCTCATATATTCCACATTTTAGGAGTATTTCCCTGTAGCTGCTGTTTTCTTCGACCATCCAAGTAATTAACTCAAGTGTGGATACCCTTATGCATGGAAAATCAGTACTTGGAGACCTGTAGACTTCTAATATCTTCTTAAGCTTCTTGATGAATGTGTGCACAGTAAGATTGGCATCTTTTAGTGCAGTGGAGAAATCACTCGTTGCGTTCGGGGACCTACAAATCTGCACTGCGAGGCCTATAAAGCTCTCTAGTACTTTGCCTTGTTTGATCCACAGGTCATCCTTTACCTACATATATATCCAAAGAAAATTGTTTCTTTTGTGAATTGGGAAGTTAGACTAGGTGCAAATGAAGTAGTCAGTAGGTAAGGGAAAACAGCTACTATTTTCTTACATGGTTCAGATTTTCTGATGATGATGGATCCTCCAAAGTCGCCACTGCATCTACGACTGCTTTGAGCACCTATATAATTAAATTTTCAGATAGATATATCGATCATTGTCACCATATTGCTTAGTCAATGAATATTGTCGTGATAAAGTAAAATGGTGATGAGGCATTATTCTGAGCTGATGCATACATACAAAATATATATGTTGAGTAGATTACATCCAAAGATGATGGCTAGAATTAAAACAAAATTACCTTTGGCAGTGCTGCATCTATTAATTTCATGTACTCATCAAATTCTTTTGGTCCTGAGTAGGCACGCAAATTCTGCAGGAGTTTTGCATGCATACTTGTTTCCTGTTCTTCACCCTCAGCCAAGATTATTTTTTTGACTATGCGCAATGTTTCTGGGTCCAGATGATGTCGTCCTTCAAATTGTGCCAGCGCCCTTCTCTTTTCTTTATCTCTGTCTTCTGAAGAGAGCACATTCACTATCTTGTTCAACTCCTTTTCATTGATCCCTTTTAGGAAAGCTTCAACATTGTTTTCACATCCTGTAGTGAGCAGAATTAATGCTTTAGCAGCTGCTTCAGAGTGATTCACCCGTGGCGAGGAAAGTACATCTTCCAGATCAAGTCTCTGTACCACGCTCTGGGGAAGTTGATCAAGATAAAGTTCTTCTATGAAGGCTGAAATTGGTAGTGAAAAGCTTTGATCTTCTACAGTACGATTTTCCTCGATGAAAAGCAGAACACGGTTTAATAATTCCTCACTGGTGTACTCCATAAGCAACAACTTGGCAGCTACTTTCGTCATATTTACATATGGTGTCTTGGAAAGTAGACAATCCTTAAGTTTCTTGATGATCTCAGGCAACTTGCCAATGTCTTGCCGTGCTTCCTTATCCACAGCTAAGCATGATATGACTCTTGTTGCTTCGACATGCTCCATGATCATCCCAGTGTTTGTCAGGAAGTGCAAGTCTTTTGAGGTTTCTTTCCTTAGTTTTTCCCCAGCCTCACCCGGCACAGCGATCAGCTTGCTCAAGATGTTGAGTGCCATGCCAACAATAATTTCTTGGTCAATCTTGTTGATGAAAGGAAGAGGAATATCATCTTCTTTTTGAAGCAAAGGAATAATCTCTTGTTCAATCCAAGAGTCAGAAATGGTAGTGTTACTCCTTACGCTGTTGCCATGACCATGTCCACAAAGGTTGGCTAGGTCTATAATCATGGGCAATAATAGATCACTGTCATCGTCTTTGGCTTTCCTGCAATTTTCTGGGTTGTCCGTGAGCTTGTCCAGGATGTGCAGGCCAAACCAGACTAAGTCAGAGTCCATGTTGCACTTGCACACCCTCTTGTTGGATGTGCTGAGCAGGGAAGAGGAAATGAGGTAGAGGATTTGAGGATAACTCTGAAGCATAAGGTCAGGACTGAATTTGAGCACAACTCTTGCAGCATGGCCTCTGATGATATTCTGTTCCTCCTCCATGGTACTGACGAAGCCTAGCATATCGATCAGCTTCCCCAAATCGTCGGGTTCCATGGAAGCTCGAAGCCTCCTAAGGGCCAGGCTTCTAAACTCCACTGACATGAGGATGCGGTCCATGGCCCGAACACCAGCTAACTGGTCATCGATCGTGTTGGACACTGCCAAATTCTTGGCAAAGGTGACCAGGTGCATGTTGAGGGTGGCACGTACATTGCCAGCAATGAACCCCAGGTAATTGTACTTCTTGTAACGGTAGATTATCTTGAGACCAGAGGGCTCAAATAGCTTGTACTTCCTTCGGACCTTAAGCACAAAATAAACAGTCAGTGGGTTCAGTAGCATGCAGATGAAGATGATTCCCTGGGCAAGCACCAGACTGTAGAAGATATTGAGGGACCACCTGATGTTCTGGTGGTCACCTTTCTCATTGTCCCCGGATTCCAGATAGTCTTGCTTCTCGAGACGCTTCGAGGATAGAGCTATGCAGGTGGCCACAGCGGCGACCTTGCCCAACCACATGGCGACGTAGATGGCAATCCCAAGGAAGGCTTGGAACCCATAGATGTCGTCGCACCACTTCCGTGCTTTCTCCTCTTGTTTTCTTCTTCTGGGCCTTCCTCTGGGTTGTTGTTGCTGCTGCTGCTGTGTTCCTCTGCGCCTCCACCAACTCTTTCGTCGCTCCCAAGCTTCGGCCTCCCTGTTCTTTATTAGTGCTTCTGGTGCGTGCAAGAAAATTTGATGTGCAGGATCCTCGTAACCACCCAAAATCCTGTCAATGCATTGCAATGTATACTTCTGTGAGCTTCACATATCACTATCACTGTTAGGAAAAGAGTCATCCCGACCTTTCTTAAGCTACCAGTTCATAGGAAGAACCCATAATATCACTACCGGTTTTAATCATAAGGAGAACCATTGAAATCCCTACCGGTTCTTCTCAAGAACCGATAGTGATATAAAAGTTATATAATTTCCAGCGGAAAAAGTTATATACATTTTTTATATGAACAATATTTTAAATTGTACAAATCATTCATAGCGGATAAATTTACATAAATTTTGATACAAAAATGATTTAGTTTGTACAGTACAAGTTTCAGTTTCATATTTTGATAAGTTTAGTCTAACTTTAGTTTCATATTTTGTATAGTACAAGGACATTTTGCTCCAGTTACTCATAACTCCTTTTAGCAAAATCATGTTGGTCTCCTTTTTGTCTAGGGAAACTATATATTTTGCTCTAGTTTTGTATCAATTGACAATTTTACTTGATAACATATCTTTTATTAGTTAAGAATGTTCAGAGAAATCTCCTGTGTCAGTTTACTTGAGCAATATCCTTTCCTTAAATGAGAAGCAATATTATATGCATTCTCGATATCTACTGCCTCCATCCCGTAATATAAGGGATCCAAGCATTTGAATTTTGTCCTACAATGTAAGGAATTCTAGAGTACTTGTTGTCCAACCAATCAACTCTCATTCAAATTTCTCACTTTATTACCCCCCCCCCCACCCCCGCCCCCAAACCACCTTTCCACTCTCCCCATGTCTCTCATTTAAGGTGTTACAGTCTTTCTCATTCGTCCTTAATTTTTTTTCAAAACAAGCAACTATGTATACTATGTTTTGTTCACATTGAACATGGACAGTTTTGTTTAGGAAATTAGAATTGTTTTGTTCACATGGAACATGAGTAGTTTTGTTAGGAAACTTCAATCATCTAGATAATTTCTGCAAGTAAAAGCCCTGGGTTGATTTTTGATAGAGAAAGCAGATAGTACCTAGTTTTTTAAGTTATGTATAAATTAGCATACAAGTATTATATGCTAGTTCATAGTTAGCTAATTCTTGGTTTGAGGATATAGATTAGCATATAAGTATTATTTGTTAGTTTTGTATGCATGGTTTCATTAATTTCGCCTACCATTTTGTATGTAGTTTCCATTAATTTAGTTGTTTCAACCTACCATATTGTTATGTTTGATATTTCACTGCATGCAGAACTTTTAAGGCGGCATTATCTGTTTGTAGGTCTGAACTTGCAATTCCCGAGGTTTTGTTAGAATTTGGTAAGAATCTAGAAGGCTAGAAATCCATCTCTTAATTTGCTTTGTCCTGTGAACATGGCTTTCTTTGTTATTGGCTGTACATATTTACATTTTTCATACTGAACTATCTGACTCAGTCAGTACTACTCTATGACATGTATGCCCTTTTATTCAAATGTGCTCCAAAAGACATATTGTTTCATCAAATAATCAACATTATGTTTGTTGATCTTTGATTTTGTTTTTACTATGTGACATAATGACCAATGGAGTTCACCCATAAAGCATATAGGTGGTTATCTTTTGGTTTTGTTCATGTCATATTTATGTATTTAGTTTGTTCCTATTTATATTTTTTTAGATAATGGATTAAAAAACCTGGCCTCAACATCCGTGAAAAGGATGTACACATCCAATTTTCCTATTTAGATGAAGCTTACTTTTTTCTCGGATATGCATTTTTTCCAATATATGTTTGTCTAGTGGTGTTTAGTTGTGCTATCAGTGAGGTTGTGAGTGGTATATAATTGAGAGTTGGCACTTGTGTACTCTGCTAGTTCTGTTCTGTCTGAATACATGTGTGATTGACAGCATGGTCTTTTTGTAACATATGTGAATACTGCAGTGTTTTATTTAAGTTCAATTATAGTACTTAGTTCGGATGACTTCTCTGAGGTTAATTTCACTGATAACAATTTCATTTTACCTCCATTTACTAATAGCAATGTAAATTTTAAAAGTTCTCTTTTACGAAGCATTCAGTACCATGCCTAGATGTTCAAGTCTCTGAATAGGCACATTATATATCCATTTGTTTGCTTAGAAATTTCAGATTTTCTAAATTTTGTTTCAAGGAGCTGGCATTCTCTGTTTCTAGACTTGAATTTACTGAGTAATATTTTCAGCTTTTGAGCTAACGATACCTACAAGTGAATGGGGGCCTCTACAAGTTAACAAGTCGATTGGAATGTGCTGTTTTTTTGCTGTCATGTTTATGTATCTAGAGCTTCTTTTTTCAAAAGAACTTTTCAGATTTTCTCTGAACATGATGATGATTTGTGTTTGTACTAATGACTAGCTAATTTTCTTAGAGTTGATGATCACATTTGCACTTTTTTTTTGTGGTTATTTGTTGTCTCTCACACGGTGATTTAGTTTTTTAGTTGTATATGTTCTGTGGAGGAAATAATATTGGTAATGTGGTGCTGAGTCTGGAAAGCCTTAGACTACCTGCAGTTGCCATTCGCATCGAAGAAAGGCATCGATCCTGGGTTGTTTTTTTATGGATGCCATCACCCTTTACTTTTATGCTATGTTTCTGTGTCTTGTGCGTAGTTGTGAATTCTAAGTTTCCATTCCAATGCTTGACAGGAGTGATTTGGCAAACTAATTGTGAAACTGAGCAGCAAAGCACTGCATGTCATTGTGATCACTGTGTTCATGGATTTTATCACCATCACAGGGTAACTATCAAAACTATGGCAATCAAGAGTTTGTTTCCTATGATGTGCTGATTTTAAGAGTAAATTACTCTTAAAATCAGTGATGGTGACAGGGTAATTTACTCTTAAAATCAGCCCATCATAGATTGTGCGATGCATCGTGTTGCATGATCAATGATTTTTTTTTCATAATCATTGAAGCTCCATTCTTTTTGGTTAGATATTTCATTTCATACAGAAGCTTGTAAGCCTAGAAATGATTTTTGAGATAATGAACGGAAACGATTTGGTATCGTGAAATACCAGTACCTCACCGGAGCAAATCACATGATTTTTAGTCAGAATTTTGGAAAAAAAAAAGAAAAGGAGATTTGGAGGGAGAGACGTCCCTCCAAACTTTTTTTAAGAAGAAATTATGTGTGATGGGGATTGAACACGGGACCTTAGAGTTGAAAACCACATACCTTTTGCCACTGTACTATTAGGTGCATCTCGTCAGAACTTTTGTAACATCCAGAACTTTTGTAAGACTAGATGTTTTTAGTGTATGAGTGGTGAACTAGTACAATCTCTGAATTTAATCGCTAACATTTTTTGTAATGTTAGTCCTATGTGTTTCTCTAGTTACAGCATTAGTATGCCCTGTTTACTGATGGAACTTGCAGAAAAGTTCAGACATACTACTACAATTGAATATTTCCTTGAATCAGCATGGCACAGATTCATCAGAGCTTATATAACTCTAGGTTTCTTTTTAGTTCAGAAATCTAGTGTGGCTGTGTACTTTTGGTTTGGACATTTTTTTTTTGTCACTGTACAAGCTGCTAATTCAGTTTGGATTATCTGTGTAACGACCTTTTTTTAGTTATGCTTTGTATTTTGGTGGTCAGCGTCCTAATGAAGTCACCTTGTTTTGGTTCTAGGCCTTAAATGAACAAGCGTCATATTGCAGACTCTTCTATGCAACGGCACATACACATCAGCTTGCCACTACATCCAGAGGTTTCTGAATTGCGGCTAATTTGATGATTTGATTGGTGCTAGAATTCATTCAAGTTATGATCTTGAGCAATGTTCTGCCGCAAATACTTCAAAAATGTTCTTGTAGATATGCCTGGGCTCACATTCTTCACGGACATACGCAATTTCGCTTCTATTCTGGGCCGAGATTTATTGTCAGGTGCTAGCCTGGCTTGTGCTTTCACTGCTTTGTAGTTTCTTGTGACATTTCATTGACCAGTGCCTTTTTTTTTCGCACCTGCTAATTTCTGATATTTTTTTTCCACTAGGCGCATGCAATGTCAAATGATGGGCTTGGGCCGCCTTTTCTATTGGATCAATGCTGTGTGGTCTATGCAATTCAGGTAATGTACTGCATAATATTTTCCTGTTGGACTCGATAGTTTTGATGAATTATAATTCACATGTGAAACATACTGCTTGGCATTTTCGTTGGGTGGACCTTTTGAACTTAACTGCATCTTAATGTTGTATAGAATAAAGTTTGGATACTGTGATGGTGTTTATAGACAATATTTCTTTATCTCAGTTTGAAGAAAATTGGGGGTGGGGGGAACGATTTCAACCACTAGAGGCCTAAAGAACACAAAAACCAAACAAATGGAGCATGGGATGAAAAATACAAAACAGCACGTATTATGGATTCAAGCAATACAGGGGGAGGGAGGCATGTCTCCAAAAAAAATTGATGTGCTATTTCAATCTTAAAGTACGTATTCCTTCCGTCCTAAAAAAGACTCAACCTAGATTCGTACAAATTTTAAAGTAGGTTGAGCTTTTTTTTTTTTTTTGACTGAAGAAGTACTCTTTAGGGTCAGTACTTTAAAATTTGTCTAATTCAGACAAGTTAGAAGCGATCGAAGGAAGAGTGAAAAAATATATATACATACCCGATGGATTGGACGAAGGCGATGACGGTGACGTACCAGAAATCCTGCTTCTTGACGAGGGTGGAGAATCCACCGAGCAGAACGACGGTCGCCCAGATAGTGGCCAGTGTGCCGAGGCCATTCATCACCCTGTACACGAAAGCAGTGCAGAGTAGGAAGATGTTGAACTTCTCTTCCGGCAGCGGGCTCTCCTTCCTCGACCTCCTCTTCTCATCACCATCCAAAGCAGATGTTGATTCATCCATGGTGTAATTTCTTTCAATTACCCTAGCAGGCTACACACTACACGACTGTGTCAGCTGATAGCAATCTACTACTATATATATAGGGGCCAATCTCTTTGGTACGTACCATCGGAAGAAAAAAAGCCATCGAATGTGCTATACTCCCTTCGTCTTATTTTAAACGTCGGACACGGAAACCCACAATTGCATTTAAAATGTGATGGAGGGAGTACCGGTTATTGATATGGAGGCTCGGCTATGCTCCACGTGTCATTCTCATGCATAATAGTATTTTGTATTTTTTGTATTTAAAATTTGTACCACGATATAAAATTTTTGGAGCATTGATATCAATGTACGAAAAACTATATATCTTTGGCCAATGAGTTGCTTGGAAGGAAATCTAAACGATTTAAAACTTGATCACCGAAGTGACTAAGAGAAAATCTTTAATCTCTATCTTAATTTTTTTTCCGGCAAGCTGCATGCCCAGTAGATCTTTTGTTCCTCGCAAGCTATTTAGAATAGTACCTCGGACTGTAAGCAAGCAAGGTGCCGTTAAGGAGACAATCTTTTTCTTTTCCTTTTTAAGAGAAAAGGCCTGGAGCCCTGCTTTTAAGAAAGCACAACCCAGCCTCATTAATAACTAATCTTCAACGAGAAAAGAAATAACCAAAGGCGTTTGCTAACTTTAAGGCTCCATAAGCCTTGCATGCTTTGCTTCTTATTCCACCGTGAATTATATACAGATGCCTCGAACAACATTTTTATTTAACTTTAAAAAATGTTATGGACAGATTTACCAAGGCCCCCATCCGACCGAACAACAATAACCATTCCAGTCAAATATTATTTGTGTGATTCTTTTTATCTCCTAAAATTGGCCGGTCGTTTCGGTCATAACCGTACGTAGGTCGACTGAACCAAAATGTCCATAACGGCATATACTCCTCCAGTTTGATAACAATTATTGTTTTGGATAAAGATGCACTCTTCAAAAAATAACTTTAACCACTATTTTCTACTATATGATTGGTACGCTCAAACATTTTTCTTAATACTAACCTATACATATGATCTCCATATTTCTAAGACAAGTATTTTTAGAAATTACTAGGAGGATACCCATGCGTTACAACGGAAAAACTAAAATAACAGTTATTAGATCATCAGGATACAAGCCCAACTAAAAACTTTTCTTCACTTAGAGGTAAAAAAAAGATTTCAAACAAAATGATAAAATTTTAGTAATAATTAGTAGGGAAAGAATACATTACGCATTCCCGGTTTCACCATCGGAAGAAGGGAACATTTTTGCCTTTGGCTTTAAAGAGAAGAAAATAATTGCCCCTAAAATTTCTATGAAATTGAGAAAAATGCTACCCTTTGTGTTCTTTTGGGACCGTGCACCGTGCAAATTCCTATGCAGACAAAATTGTTAACGCAATTTGAATATCTATTTATCTCAATTGCATCATACACAACATGGCAAAAGATAATGTCTACCTGCAACATTACAATCTTGCCATAGTAGTAACAGAAAAAATATACAAAGATCAAATAAGTAGGAGGAACAGAAAATTCGGTTATTTTGGGCTGCATCAGCAGTAATCATACAGAAGTATAATGCCAGAGTCTCATGTTCAGATTTTTCTTACTGATAACTCCAAATCTTCTGGCCTGCATGTTCTGTCAATCCTATGTGGGTGATCTATTGCGCAATGCATTCTAGTCCCTAATATGAGACTAGATTTCAAGAGTGCACTCAATTATGAAAAAAAAAAACTAAATCGTGAATGTCAATCTCACGGATATCTCCAAAATTGTAGGGCTCTTTTAAAAAACACGAATATTAGGGAATAAACTAGTATCAAATAATTAGAAGGGGTACCCAGGTCATCTACCCTACCACCTTGTAAAGCTAGCCGGAAGATCCCTGGATGTTTCTGACTGTGGGCTCTTTTAAGAACCAAAGACATCCAGCAGAGGTATTGTGAAATAGTGATGTGAAATTCAATAGGCGGACACCGATCTTCTTCCTCGATTGGCACAGCCGCTCAAGTGCATATGCCTGTGTTAGCTGCTCCGATGAGGAAGTAGTAACTGCAACTTATGTCAAAGAAGAAATACCATGAATATATACCCAAAAAAAACTTAATTATGTGATTGAAAAAAATGTATTGATGTATGTTACAGTATTTAAGTTCATTCCAAAAACAATATTCATCACTGTATTATACATTTTTTAAAAAACAAATGCTTCTATGATGTACTCCCTTCGTCCCTAAATATTTGAAGCCGTTGACTTTTTTAAACATGTTGTGAAATATGTAAAACTATATGTATACATAAAAGTATATTTAACAATAAATCAAATGATAGGAAAAGAATTAATAATTACTTAAATTTTTTGAATAAGACGAACAGTCAAACATGTTTAAAATAGTCAACGTCGTAAATATTTAGGGACAGAGGGAGTAGTTATTGAAATCAACCTCAAAGGCATCATCCTTGTTATAGTCGCATATTTGCTTTTATCATCTTTACCACTTGATTAGCAAATTTATCTCAGGATCTTGCTGCAACATTTCAGAATAATTCATAGCAAAGGATTCTTGTAGGACGAATTCCATAGGATGACTCAGTAAACAATGCTTCACACCGAGGTTATAATGGGAAACGAGATATAAATCATTGTTAATTGTCGTTAACTCATTATTCCTGGAAAAGACTGAATTGGTATGACAAGCAGGAACCATTGATACCCAAAAGTAAAAAAAAGAAAAAAAAAAGGTGTACCACCTCACCTTCAATTACTAGGTATTAAGTGATCAGATCCCAGATTTAACTAAATGAAGCACAAGGATGCTTTTAGGTACAGGTAATTCATAGACACAATACCTTCAAATATTGCAAGGAGCAACAGCAGGTTGAACAGCTTTCTCCTAGTTGAAAGTCCAAATCTCAACCTTTCTGTGCCAGGCCCTCTTCGCGAGAACCAGATGGGCCTAGTTGGGCCGAGTGTACAGCTTCTCCATTGTGTCGATGAATTTATATTTGCTTGTTTGTGGATTGACTTGTATCATTACAATCTATATAGCTTCTCAAATTTTGTGGAATTTGTATACAACTATTTGAACCTCGTACATACTAGGTGCTTCGTCGGTACTTAAGGTGTACAAAACTCTCTTGCTTCGTGGACCCATGTCTGAACTATTATGGGCCAATTGGCGATCCGAATTCCTTGTGGTCCTAAATGGGCCAGGCCCACTTAAGGATGGATTAGTTGGGCCGCGTGTACAGCTTCTCCATCTCCGACGCGAACCGCTCCATTGCCGGCGGCGGCAGCGACACCAGCGCGCCCACCGCGCTCTCCCCGCCGCCGCCGCCGTTCTTGACGGAGACGAGGAAGGCCAGCCCGAACACCACGTCGGCGCCGCCTCCGTACGCCGGCTCGCCCCACCCCAAGTCCAGCCGGTGGAACCCGGCGTGCCGGTGGTCCGACACGACGAACACGTTCGACAGCGCCAGCAGCGGCCGCCCGCGCAGGACGAGCACGTCGGCGGCGGACCGCGCGTACTCCGCCGTCACCGCCGCCTTCGCCTCCCGCACCATCTCCGCCGCGTCGCCCAGCGACCCGCGCCGCAGCAGCGCCTCGCCGGTGGTGATCGCCGTCGGGGCGACGCACGCGTTGCCGTAGTAGCCGCCGGGGAGGTTCAGCTCGGCGACGCCCCTGAGGTTCGCGATCACCACCAGGCGCGCGTCCTCGCCGTCGGGGAGCTCCAGCGCCGCCGTGCGGGCTCTCCAGAGGAACGCCGTGAGCGCCTCGAACGTCGTCGCCGTGCCGCGGAGGCGCGGTGGGAGGCCTTCCCTGATCGCGGCGACGTCGGCGGCCGTGAAGGTGAAGGTGCGTGTCACGAGGTCGCCGGGCGGCGGCGGCGGCGGCACGACGTCGAACTCGCGGTGAGGAAACGACGGCGCCGGTGGGCTACGCGCGTCGAGGAGCTCGCGGCACCATGCAGGCCGCACCGTCGGGGCGGGGAGCCCGCGGGCGAGCTCGCCGACGGCGAGCAGGAACTGCGCGGCGCCGATGGCGTCGCACATGGTGTGGTTGACGCGGACCGCGAGGACGAAGCCGCCGCAGAGCAGCCGGGTCACCTGCACGAGCAGCAACGGCGAGCCGAGCACGCCGCCGCCGGAGCCCTCGACGTCGAGCAGCAGCTGGTCCATGGACGGGAACGGCGGCCTCAGCTCACCGCCGCCGTCACCGTCCTCCTCCAGCTCCTCCAGCCGCACGTCGGCGTCGGCCTCGACGAACAGCACGCCCTCGCCGGTGCAGTCGACGACAAGCTTCCGCTCCTCCACCTCCCGGACGCGCCCGGCGAGTGGGTAGTACGGCACCAGCGCCTCGCCGAGCGCGCGCCGGACGACGCCCGCCGCGTCGTGCTCGCCGCCGGCGCGGTAGAAGAAAGCGAACTTGACCTGGACACGCAGCGTCTCGTGGTCGTCGAGGTCGGACAGCCGCTTGGTCTCGCGAGGTGTCGGCGCGGCGGGGCCGACGAGCTCGGGCTCTCGCCGGCGCACGGAGAAGCGAAGCTGCTGCTTCTCCATGGCCATGGCCAGCGTTTGCAATAATATTGGTAATTAGCTACAAACAAGTAGTGATAGTACTTGCTCCAAAGTTCTGGCTCTCAAATATACTCCCTCCGTCTCTAAATAATTGACGCCGTTGACTTTTTTAAACATATTTGACCTTTCGTGTTATTTAAAAAAATTAAGTAATTATTAATTTTTTTCTATCATTTGATTCATTGTTAAATATATTTTTATGTATATATATAGTTTTGCATATTTCACAAATTTTTTTAATAAGACGAACGGCCAAACATATTTAAAAAAGTCAACGGCGTTTAATATTTAGGGATGGAGGGAGTATTGAATTTTGGAATAAGGAGAAAGTTAGTTTTATTATCCTTCCACTCTCTGACTCTCAAATACTCCTATATTATTGGAGTATGAAAAATCAACTTTTCGCCAAACTTGTAAAAGGCTTACAAGTCAGAGCATAGAATACACCAACTTTGCACATCAATATATTGAAAAATCAACTCTAATTCTATAAACATTTTACACCGTTTAACTTGAAATCGGGTAAAATAGTACGCCTACGAAACCACACTTGCACACAGCACACACAAAATTTCTACGGAAAACGCATCTTCATGCACGTAATTATTATGCGTAGTAATTTCACCACCATATTCTTCCTCATATGCATAAGGATATGTTCTTTCTAGATTATGGATGGTTATGAGTTTGTGGTCATTATTGAAGGAAACTAACGAATAAATCAACTGTGTCGAGATCGATCATCAATCGGTATACTCAATTCGAGGGTCATTAAAAAAAGGCAAAGTATGCTTTGACATTTCGAAATAACCAGTAAGTAGTGTACTTCGTGAGTGGATCTAACATGGGTGCGGAGGGAGCTAAGGTGTGTTCTTTTGGAGGGGTCCCTATGGAGAAGAAGAGAGATGAGAAGTTGTCTAAGTGGAAGAAGAGGGGGGAGAAAGAAGAGTAGGGGGGATGAAGGGGAAAGAAGAAGATCCCCCCCCCCCCAACCCATCTTTTTAGCTTGATGCTTAGATCAGCTCCTGGTATCCTTCACCCAAGTTAATTGAATCGTTTGTCTAAATATACACTTGTTAAAAGGCTTCTTGAAAGTTTATTATGAAAAGTGGCATAATCATATTCATTATCAAAAAACAAAAATCACTACGCGAGGCTTTACGAGTGTAAGATGGTGAAATTTTATGGTAGAGAAATTTTTTTTCTATATTTTGGTAGAATTCTGACAGGTGATCTAAATCCTCTGGATGTTCTGATGTATGTTTTATCTTTTCTCTATGTCTAAAGCAATACATAAAAATTTACTATATTTATTCAACCACTTTGTTTTGAGCAATCCATGTGGTTTTGTTTCTCACGGGACCCAAACAGCTTGTAACAGCTGAGATTGAAGAGATATATAAAACGAGGTGAGCCATTAGCGTATAATTAGTTAAGTATTAACTATTTTAATTTTAAAAATGGATTAATATGATTTTTTAAAATAACTTTCCTATAGAAAACACATCATTTAGTAGTTTGGGAAGCATGCGCGCGGAAAACGAAGTGTTTTCTCCTCAATCTCCCAGCAATGGTATAAAGAGTACATGTTTTCGTTATTCTTGTGATCTTGATAGATTACTAGAGTCAGAGATGCTTATCTCCAATATCTTGGGGAAACTGAGATGCCGGTCTTGTATTGGATAGTTGGATTGAGATGCTTTGATTAAGTATTGCATTTGAAATGTCAGTTTAGCCGGGGACGGCACATTTCTACAGGACGGACAAGGACCAGAAGAAAACTGCACGATCTGTTAGAAAAGCAGTAGCATTATTGTACTCTTCAAACGGCCAAATTTGAACATTGCAAGGTGAACTTTCAGAGGGGCAATGTAAGCTTGAGATGCTAGATGTAAATCATTTTCAGCCCTTATCTTTTATGGTTGGTTATCCACTGGATTATTGCCGTGGATGATTTGCCTCTTCCATACAGTTAAGTAGATAATTCATCAGCTTCCATCCGAGAATAATCTATTTAGAACGCAGCATAAGAAGGATGCTATTGCAAGCCTTTTAAGGGTGAGATGGAAAGTGGAAAGTTCATGCCAAAATTCCTATGAACAATTTTCATGTTAGGTAGTGGAAAACAAACTAATCCAGAGTTGGTGGAGAAACAAAACATTACAGTACAATCCAGTGAGGAAGCCTGACGCTAACAGAGGTCAGACTCCTAATAAGTTTTCAAAAAAAAAAAAGGGGGACTCCTAATAGTACAACAAAAAAGTTCAGGTGATAGTCACACAACCTGATTGGAACATATATCGGGGGCCACACATAAATTTCAGAGCAAAACGCAGAACTTTGGCTTTACCCGTGGTTTGAAGGTATTCTCTTAATCATTGCCACAAGAATTTGGTTTGAAAGGGTGCTATTATGCTCCTTACCGAGTCGCGAAACTGCAACTTTGACCATAAAAATGGAGTTCTCTGAAATTTACTCTACATATATTTGTGCCACCCTGGAAAAGAGAAACCAGTGCTGGATATTGTGCTGTATGTGGTATTGCAAATTAGTTTCATCCCTCAACCAATGCAGAGACTGGATTGGTAAGCAAAGAAGAGATGGGATACTCTAGTCTGACAGCATCGTGCCTAAAACATTTGATTCCTGATGCTCGCTACTTCCATTTTCCTCAAATATGTCACAGGCATTTTCTCTTCGCATCTTCCGTTCTTCAATCACTTCTTCAATTGAGTCTGTACAGTAGAGTCCCCTAGATTGGCCCTTTGGTTTATCAGCTACAACGAATTTATTACCTTCTCGCCCTCGTTCTGGAAAGCCAGCCCAGACTGCAGAAAATCATAAAGAATCAGCCATGACAGTGAGATGCAATTGACAAATACAAAAAACTGGGTACAATCACTCCACACGCACAAAATATGGACTAGAAAATCGTAATGAAGTTCAAAGCAGTAAACTTTTCAACTAACAATAAAAGTCAAAAGTATTTCACTCAGCTGTTGTCTCAAAATATTCTGACTATGCAAAGCCTCAGCTTGCTTAAAATTTTGAGGATATGGCCCCAACTGGCAAGAAAGATAGGCCAAATAGTAGAGAAACCCAGAAAAGCATCATTGCACAAGAAGATAGTATTTTGAACTTTTGAAGTACCGGAATTACAAAACTATTCCAAATATTGAGCATCAAAGCTTCATTGCACTGAGGTTGCTTCTAGGTCAGGAAGATATATTTACAAACCAAGAACTCCGACATAATAATAAATAGTAAAGGCCAAACTACACATCGGATGATTTTTTAGATTAATACTCCCTCAGTTTCATAATGTAAAACTTTATAGCATTGTCCACATTCATATAAATGTTAATGAATCTAGGCACACATATATATCTAGATTCATTAACATCTATATGAATGTGGGCAATGCTAGAAAGTCTTACATTATAAAACGGAGGGAGTAGCTCAAAACTCCAGAGAAGTTCTAGTACATTAGGAAATAGAATAAAAGGGGAATATCAAATTTGATTTGAGCAACAAATAAATTCCCCAAAAGAAGATTTTGGACTAGACATATGGCATGCCTTTCTGTTACTATATCCCAAGTATTTCCAGAAAAACATGTTTGGCAGAGAGAGAATAGATTATTTAGACGAGGAACATGGAAACTTGATATTCTACAATTCTACAGAAAGGTGAGGTTAAAAGACAACAAAGGAAATTTAATGTGAGTATTTGTTATTTACATTTGTTTACATTTTGTTTGACTAACTTGACCTGTGTTGCATTAATTGAAGGATGTCACCTTACCTCCAAAGTGATGAAGAACAATCGACGCTGCAACTGTAACATTCAATGATGCGGTTCCACCACCATACTGAGGGATGTAGACAAAAAAGTCGCAGATCTCGCACTCCTTCTGCGAGAGTCCTGTACCCTACTAGATGCAATAAAAAATAGGAAATTATAATATAAAGGGCATGCAAATTGCTCTTGTTTATTCAAAGGAATTACATCCCACTTCAGTTTTATCCTAGTCATCCATTGAATATGATCTACAAACTGGAGAAAATGAATTTAACAGTATAACACCATATATTTAAATATAGTACAATGAAGTATTGCCCTAGCAAGTAATGGTCACCTTGAGTTGAAACAAAGCCTGCAGTTCACACGTGTATCAAGTCTAAAAGGTCTCACACTTTCACTATTATGCTAGTGCTAGCAACTCATGCCAATCTTTCCTCACCCCTCCTGTACTGGCACTGGCCTTTTTTTTCTTTTGAGAAAACTAGAATAGCTATCACAAACTGATGTTTAGAAAAAATACATTGGGGACACTGGAACAGTCCCCCATACAGACAGAAAAGCCTAAAAATTATGGAAGACATTGATGACATTAGATCTGCATTCATTACTCATCAGGGGTGAACAATAATCCACATCCATTGAGCAACAGCTGAATAGCTCAAGGCACTGCCGTCAATTTGACATTATTGAAATTTCCTCACCCAAATGCCCCGAAAAGGGTGGAACCGTGACAGCAACGGTATTTTCTGCGGTATCAGGTAGTCAATCACATTTGTTATGGTATTTCCATAATTTTGTCATTGTGACGGCACCAATATACTTCTCTCCTCTTTTTCACTAGCGGTTTTTATTGTGTTTTAGTAAACATTACGACGCTCATAAAACTCAAGTGGAGCTAACATCCACTCAGGATTCCAAGGGATCACAAAAAAGGGTCAAAATTCCAACAGAATTTGGACGTGTAAGTAAATTGGCAACTGATACACATATCTGCCTGCAAACTAGTACTAATTCCACAGAGTCAATTGAATTTGTGTCATACAAGCAGAAGTACTCAAAATTAATGAGGAATCATGAGAAAATCCGACCCACCCACCTCATTGCCGAAGAGGAAGGCGGTGCTCCGGCGGAACGGATGGGCCGTCACCGGCAGCGCGTTGTGGGTGATCTCCACGCCGCAAATGTCACACCCCCTCTCGTCCTGCACACACACGCGCGTATGTCAGGCAGCAGGAATGGAAGGGAGAGGATTAGGGTTTAGGGTTTAGGGTTTAGAGAGAGAGGGAGGGCTGGGTTGGTAGCTCGGATATCGGGGTTGGTGGACCTTGAGGTAGGCGCGGGCGAGGGGGAGGGAGGCGAAGTGGCGGAAGCGGAGGTGGGAGGTGGCGCCGTGGCTGCCGAAGGCGCTGACGTCGCGGCGGCCGACGACCACCACCTCCGCCACCCCGAACGCCGTCGCGCTCCGCGCCAGCGTCCCCACGTTGTGCCGCTTCGCCACGTTGTGCACCACCACCACGCTCTCCACCGCCGCCGCCGCCGCCGCCGCCATGGCCGCCACTCTTTTCTCCTTTATTTTCCTTTTTTTTTTGCTTTTAATTCGCTCTTTTTTTCTCGCTGTGATGTGAAGAAGGGTGGAAATGGACTAGGGAAAATACTACGCGTGAGCCATTCCACTGACATGTGGGGTTCACCTGGAGGGTCCATGGAAAGGAAGACACCGTGCCTTCGTCGTAGGCCAGAGATCGTCTGAAAATTGAAGACAATGAAGCTCTTGATGCTGCTGCGTTGAGTGTTTATGATGCAAACTCTCATTTGCAACGCAGGAAATTTCACAGTATTTCATATAAGAAATTTCATAGGAATCTGTTTGTTTATTTACCACCAAAATTGGGAGAAGAGCTCTTGGAACACAATGAGGTCAATGGCGAATCAGACAAAGCCACATAGTACAACCAGACTTATTAACATCATCCATGAACCGAAACCTCAGTTCAGTGAGGATTCCAGGATAAATGGAATAGCTCAGAAGCATCAAAATTCAAACACATTTTGATACTCTTACCTGACAAGAACTAGTTCTGATTGCCTGCAATGCTCAGCGAAAAAAAGATAAACCAAAAGGAAAAGCATTCAGAAGACAACGCTCTGTACATCATGTATAACCAACACCCATCCCATTATCCATTATCTCTGCGGGGTTTTGATTGATGTGCGACCAACCATGTATATTATTCTCAAAGTTTAACCACTCTCACCACCACTCATTATTCCATCCAATCTTCCATCCATCCATCCAAGGCAAGCTCAGCAAATCAATCAAAAAAAACAAATAAAAAGAGAAAACAAAATGGTGTATATGAAGAAGTCTAGCAACCGGCGAGGCGGGCGCACACCCTGCGCTGGATGGGGGTCCGGCACGATGGGCACTCCTTCATCCCTTGCTTGTCATGGAGGTCATTGCATTTCGCGCAGACCACCTGGTGCGCGCAAGGGAGGAAGACGACCGACATCTCCTCGCTCAGGCACATGACGCACTCCCGGTCACGCTGTATGTCGTCAAAATCGAAATCCTGGGGTACCGCTGCTATATTGGCCAAAATTTGAGCGCTGCCATTCTTTCTCCCTTCAGAAAGGCGCAACGCGTTGGTTCTGTTGTCTGCTCCCCACTTGGGAGGGGCACCAACCCTCAACGAGTCCAAGGATACCTTCAGCTGCGAAATCTGCTGCTCGAGAGCACGTATCTGGCTCTTGTATCTTTGCGTATCGTTCTCCGCTTTGAGATGCAGGAAGTTCTCTTCCGACCTCAGTGATGTCTCAATCTGATCCCTCTCTTTCTTCTCTAAGCTTACACGGGCAATTGCCTCAATCTTTCCAGCCTCTTCTTGCCTCCACCTTGCCTGGAAGTATTGAAGATCATAGAAAGACCAAAGATATACAAGTTTAGTGAAGACAGCAATGTAAAGGGATGAATGAATGAATGATGTTGTAGAGAGCCGCGGCACAAGAAGGAGGGACGCATTAAAAAAAGCAAAATTATAATATTTACAGAACAGTCTTACCTAACCCACAATATTAATCATCACTGAGCTTCTACTTCAGCAAAAACATGGTATTTGCAATCAACTCAATATGAATTCATGAAAGTAATGAAATGTAGACTGCAAGCGCATAAGTTCCATTTTTATGAATCCTCTAGCAGAAACTAACAACATAGCCAAATGACAGATTTTGTCCAAAAACCATGATAGTGCACTCAAGACAGTTTAAAGCAGTCTACTCTATCCAAAGCAACAATTCCTATCATTGATCATTGCCACGACTCACTTACAAAATATTTTTCATGATTTCCGCCTTAAGCAGAAATATGTACCTGGCGTCTGAAAGACAGTGAAGATAAGGAAGGTTATCATTGCATGGCATATTCGACAAATTTAAGATTGGCAAAGTGCAGATGTGCCAGTGAATAAATAGCATTGTTTTTGTACATTCAAGCTTTGGAACTTATTGAATACCATTTATAAAGATATATCATCACATGAAATCTTTATTTAACATTGTCAACATTTGACAAATCACTAACTAGTACTTGACTGGAAGGATAAAATGCAATACCATGTAAAGTTCACAATTAGTATTTCCTTAAAAAGTTGTGTAAAACATTGCAACGTATTCATGATATACAAAGCATGCTAGAGTTGTCTTAATTAGGACATCCAATTTAGCTACCAAAATTTCTACCTTTTGGGCATCCCCAACCCCTTAGGAGTGAGATTCAGGAAAGTAAATTAAAAAAAAATGTCACATGAAGCTTAACTAACAATAAAACCATGACATGTGCATATCTGTTAATTGCCCAGAAACATCACCATATATTAAAGAAAATACTGCATAAATGGAGACATCACCGTCTATTAACTTCTTTGACAAGCTCTAAGCACTGTTAAAAATACTGTTATCCATATATTTTACAAGCTTCTCACTCTCTCAGTGCCACCTTACATCAGATTTATTCAAAGAGCTACTACACCCAAAAGAGTAAGAACTAGGTCAACTGTTTATCTATACACAATTAAAGTCAACTATTCTAAGTGGCAATGCAATTCTAACAACTCAAGATTGTTCAGATATTTCAATTTTACAGAAACCACATGAATTAAAGGTTGATCATATATAACTAATATGATTCAATTGTATAAACTTCCCTTCAAAAGATTATGAAGAGGTAAAGATAAAGGCTAAACCAATAAATACCTGGATTTGATCCTTCTGCTCTTTAGCATGATGAAGTTGCTGGTGGACCTGAGATAGCTTGTTCCTTTGAGCAGCAAGATCCTCTTGCAACAGGGCTCTTTCAGATTCCCAATGCTGAGACCTTTTATGACTGTTCTCATCCTTCTTTGAAAGCTCCAAAATATTTGTTGCAGACACTAGTGCATGCCGCTTTGCAGCTTCCATCTGTATCCTGAGCTGTTCATTCTCGGCTTCACGTCTACGAGCAGAAGATTCTGCCTTTTCCAGCTGGGTGTTCGCCCTAGAAATCGCAGATTCCATCTCTAAAAGCTTCTTCCGAGTGCTCTCTTCCAGATTGTGCCTCTCTTCTTGGAGGCGGTCCGCTTCTTCCTTCTCTTTCCTAAGTGAATGAAGCTCTTCCTTCTCCTTGGCAAGTCGACGAGTGACTTGCATCACCTTCTGCTGAGCCCAGTCTGTCCAATCCCTCATATGTGCTTGCAACTCTTTCTGCCGCTGGACAAGAATCAAGACCATTTCATCCTTCTTATCTTGTGGGATCCAAACCTTCTGATCCTCATCATATGATAAATTGATTTTGCTGCTAGAGTCCATACCCTCTGTATTGGCATCATGATTCGAAGATGGAGCAGGACTGTCATTTGAGGACGGCAATGGCAACGACAATGAGAGATCTGTGCTAGCAGCTGGTAATGGGTTCAAGTTACTACTCAGCTTGGCATCAAATGATGGATTGGAGGGAAGGGCAGCACCAGTAAAAGAAAGGTCAGGTGGTACTTCCGGTCCCTTCATGCTTGCAGAAAACCCTTTGCCTACTTTGGATGAGGCCTTCAAACTGCTAGTAGTAGAATCTGAAAACGACCTGCACTTCCTGTCCAGCACTGCGCTACCCAAAGAGCTATGCTTGCTTGACCTAAGAGATCCTTTAGAACCCAGTGCTCGGGAACTCTTATCAAAACTCATCAACTTCTGCCGATGCAAGGAATCCCGCTTAGAACTCCCCCTCTTACTAGGGATTGGCTTATCATCTTTCACAGGTTGTGTCGCAGCAGCAACGAATGGTTGCTCCTCTGAATGATCAGGCACAGGATTTGAGTTTTCTTTTGGCTTAAGATTCGGGATTTCACTCTGCGCCTTACCTGAGACAGAGGGTTTACTGCTCGGTACATTCAGGTTTGCTGGTGTTGCGGATGAATCAGCCTTGGCAGTATTGTAAGAATTGGGTGGCACTGGGGTAAGTTTTCCACGAAAAGTGACGCCAGTCTGTGGGTTGGTAATAGATACTGATAAATCCGAACTTGGATTATTAGGTTCATAGTTTCCAACAACTGGCTGGGCAATCACTTGCGTATCCACTGCTGGGAGGGAAGCCGGATTGTAGTCCATGGCACAGGCATTGGCCACATTCATATCCGACATAAGCAAGCAGAACATCACATCACCTGTAGTGTAGAACGGCTGAGCCTGATTGACCAACGCAATCATGCCACCGAGCACTGCCTGCTCAATCTTCCTCATGTCTTCCTCGGAGGCGCCCTCACTCAACATGTCCCCCTCGGTCTTGAGCACCTCGACCGCCGCCTCGCCGAACCCAGCAAGGCTCTCCCTCCAATTGTACTGCGTGGCAGCCCGCAGGACGGCGGCACGCGCGGTGGGCTCGGAGTAACCCATCGCGATGATCACACCTACGGCATTGTCGAACGTCGCGTCCAGGCCCTTGAGAAGGATCTCCTCGAGCAGCGCCTCGTTGGGGTCATTCCAATTCACATATCTCTGGCACTCCAGTAGCTCCTCCGCCGTGGGGTGAATATCCTTGCAATCGCACGAGCCCGGGATGAGGTCCAGGTTGACGCCCTCGGCGGCCACCGCGGCGGCGGCCGCCGCCGCCGCGATGGCTGCCTTCTCCGGCGACATGAACTCGAAGCCCACGCAGTCGGCCGTCAGTGGGTACTCCAGCCCGAATGACCCCAGCTCGGCGGACGGCGGCTCGGCGCGGTACTTGCGCTTGTTCCGGCTCGCCGCCTTCTCCTGCGCCGCCGCCGCTGGCCCCAACGGTGGATGCGCCGCGAGAGTGGACATCACGATAGATAGCTGCTGCAAAAAAAAAAAAATCCCCCCGACCCAACAACAAATTCATCAGAGAAATCACACCGCGCAATCTCAATATAGCACAAGAAAACAAACAAAAAAATTCCCCGGATACGGAGAATTTGCGACTCACCTCTGGTTCCTTCCTGCGCGTGCGTGCACCGAATCAGGGAAGAGAGAGAGATAGAAAAAAAAATAAACCCTGAAAAAACAAAGAGAGGGGAAAAATGATACAGTAACAATCGGGAAGCACCACCGAATCAAGAACCAGGAGAAACTCCCCGGCGCGCCCCCACCGCCCAGTCCCAGGATCAGATGGGGGGAGGAGGGGCTCGTTCTTGATCCGATCGGGTGTGGGCGGGGGGAGGTGCGACCCGGGAGACGGGGGCAGCGGATCGAGGCGCGTACCCGGGGGGGGGGGGGTCGTCGGCGGGGATCGAAGCGGAGTCGATCAGAGGAGTGGAGAAGAGAGAGAGAGAGTATGGCTAGAGAGAGAGAGGAGGAGGAGGAAGAAGAAGAAGGGGGAAGGAGGAGGAAGGAGATGAGGAGAAGGAGGCGCTTGTCTCTCCTCTTCTCTAGGCCTGATGGATGGAGAGAGAGAGAGCACACACAGCACAGCAGTTACGGTTGAATTTTTTTTTTACCATTTCTTTTCTCTCGTTTTCTGCTGGGTGCTGACCCCACCAATGGTTAGGTGCCACGTGTACCGTGTTCTTCGGGTGAGGGCTGACGTGGCCGGTGGCGGTCGATGTGGAATAAACCAGGGAAGGGAGATATGTGTTGTTCTTGGTTATGGAATGCGAGATGTTTGGAGATGGTTAGGTTGGTTTTGCTTTGTTTGGTGAATGGATTGTTGTTTTTATTTAGCATGGGTTTTACTAGTGATAGATTAGCATTCAGTGATTACGGTGTAAATTGGCTAAAAAATGGAAATTGCCCTTCGATATGGTGTTTAGAGATGGATGACGATCGAGTAAATATTGAATGAAATAGCGGGAAAATAGAATTGCACGAGGCAAATTCTGTGAACAATTGAATTACCTACATAATTCCTAATGAACGGGATTGCTATATATTATTCGACTGAAATATGGGATAGCCGTGGGTGGCGGAGGACCGGCAGTGGGCGGTGGACTTCGGCGGGCGGCGAGGCAGCAGCGGCGCCGCCGGAGCCGCGGAGATGGAGGAGGGCGGTGGGCCGGCGTCGGTGGCGGGGGCAAAGCAAGAGTGAGGTTAGGAGGTGGTGGGCAGTGGTTGCAGATCCGGCGGCGGGGAGCCACCGGAGATGGGGGAAAACGGCGGCGCGGGGGCACCTCGCCGTCGCCGCCATGAGGAGAAAGAGAGGGGGGAAGGGGAGGGGGAAAGGGAAGGGTGAGGGGGCTCGCCGGGGGGGCCTCGCCGACGCCGTTGACTCTTTCCGGCCAGCCGGCGAGGCAGGCAGCGGCGCGGTGGGGTGGTGGTGACGGTGGAATCGCGCAACGGCGCGAGGACGGGAGTGGTGGCGGCGTTCTGAACGGGGAGGAGAGGAGTTAGGGTTAGGGGGGTCTGCACGAATCTTTAAGCGTATCCAGTGGTCCAAAATTCGAATGATAGGAGGTGGGATTTTCTATCACAAGATATATAGACAACCTCTTTAATGAAAGTGAAGGTTTATCCTAGAACCATGTTTTTTTTTTGCAGGGAAGAACCATGCAAATTGTTATTCAACAATATGTAATATGTGATGTTCAAATATCATTTTGTTACTATTAGTTACACATCACTCTAGCATTGCTTTTACCCCATTAATCCATATAGTAAACTCTGCGCTGGTAAAGTTTTGAAGTCATATGCTCCCATCGAAACATACAACAACTAAACTTAGCTTACACATCATCATCCAACATAGATAATACACACAGCCTCATCACTAGGAGTATCACCACATCAGGCGGAACAGCCACATTAGCTCTACATCTTGCTATCTATTGCAATTGTGGTATGAGATATATTGCAATTGTGGTATGAGTAAGTGATTTGATATCTTCCTTATTTAGTAGTACTATGTCACTAGATAGAGCAACTAATGAATAGCTGAATAGCAAAATAGTGTTTTATATCTTCACAACTGTTACTAATCCAAGTTCTAGAAGGAATTTAGTATTATTTTTTTTCATGAAGCAAGTAATGACTTGTTGCCAAACAAATGCTCTCAATGGGATTATCTCGTTTCTTTAAGTTTACCGTTTTACTTGATAGAATAAGAAATACAACTATGGGGTGTTTAGATCCCACCCCAAAATTTTATACCCTGTCACATCGAATGTTTGAACACATGTATAAAGTATTAAATATAGGCTAAAAAATAATTAATTGCACAGATTGTGACTAATTTGCGAGACGAATCTTTTAAGCCTAATTGTTCCATGATTTGACAATGTGGTGCTACAGTAAATATGTGCTAATGACGGATTAATTAGACTTAATAAATTCGTCCCGCGGTTTACTGACGGATTCTGTAATTAGTTTTTTTTATTAGTGTCCGAAAACCCATGCGACACCATATATAATACCTGATGTGACACGCTAAAACTTTAAACCCTTGGATCTAAACACCCCATATGATTGTCTTAAATCAATTGACATTAGCCCAATCAAACCTCATAATTAGAGCAAGGACAAAGGGAAGAAAATGTGTTCATTTGTTTGTATGATTCCACATCTAGCATACCTAATCAAAAGAACATTATTCTATTCTTTTTATGCACACCGTGACCGCGAATAAGGTAACTTCAAAGGTACAATGAGAAATCTAAAAAAAGGAAATTTTTATTGAAGATGACGAGGTAATACCGTAATACACACTTTTGCATCCATTAAGTAAGAAGAGCTTGGGCTAAAAACAATTATTGCAAGGTCGAAGCTCGCCTCATTCATCTTGATACTTATAAGGGAATGGACAACAAAGTCTAACACTTTCGAGAGTACGTGTTTTGGAAGATAGAGAAAAGAAAATACAACAAGGTTGGTCCATTTACCCCAATACTAATGGGATTTTATTTGGTTGACATGCCTAACCAAAGCATCAATCCATGTTCATGTGTGCCTACATCTATTTGGTTCATTCTTATTGATCGGGCTTAGCTAATACTAGCAGTAAAAAAAATTTAGATATGATGTGACCATCAAGTATAGGCATACAACCAAGCATGAGAAATATAAAGCATTGCCAAAGAGGATGAATGGAGGATGTACAGGATATTCAAGTCCAACGAGTTTTAGAATCCAGTTCGGCCTCCAGAGACATCACTGACTTCAAACGGACCTATCGCCTTCATGCCAACTACGATTTGCGTGATCTTGGAATGGAAATATTATCTCGTCATCTTTCAAATGCATCCAGTCTCATATCCAAATTCATCTCGAGTCAACGAGAATCATCAAAACAAAACAGTGCTATTGCTGAAACGGAACTTGGGCCTTTGGTCTTGTAATAGACTAGGGCCATCTCAGAAGTGTCTCCCTCCACCTCCCCGAATTAGTACTTAACCCTAGCTCTAGTTTCCCCTATGAATGTCTATTTACACCGTCTAGAACAATTGGGTTTTATTTAGTTGAATTATGCCAAGTGCTATTCACCTTGTCTCTAGTTCTTACTCGATTAGAGCATCCCTAGGAGATACGCTACTACATCCTCCGTTCGCGATTTGGCGTATAGGAGTGCAAAAACCGTCTCCAGGAGATGCGCCATCCAATCCGGCAAAAGTGGCGGATGCGCCAAAAAGGGAGAGAGAAAACCCAAAAATAGCGTGTCTCTCTCCTCGCGCCAAATCACAACGATCGAGCTCCCGCCCCCATCCGGAATTCCACGACGTCCCCTCCCCCGCAACCTCCACTCCATCGTCGTCATCGCCGGCCAGCGAAGGGGAGTGCGCCATGCCCGTTTTTGATTTTTTTTTTTGCAATGGAGGGTGGAGAGAAAGGGGTGTAGCCGTGGAGTGAGGGTGGAGGGGGATAAGCATACCAGATCAGGGAGGAGAGCGCCGGCAGCGCCCACCGCCATCGCCCTGCCCGCTGCTGCCGCCTGCCGCCGTTGCCCCTCGCCCAGGCGCCGCTGGATTTAGCGGTGGAGGATTGGAGTAGATGCGGAGGCCCGGCCGCCACCGCCGCCCGCCGCCGCGACACCTCCGCCCGCGCCTGCGACACGGTCACCTGCGCCCGGTCGCTCATCCGCCCGGCAACCCCACCGCCCGCGGCCGTGACCCCGCCGCTCGCGCCTCGCCCGCCCGCGCATGTGACCCCACCACCGCCCCTCACCAGCTCGCTCACGAGAAGAATAGCAGTAGAGAGAGTAGTAGAGAAGGTTAGTTGAAAGATGTTATAAAAAATAGGAGGATGCGATATGGATGATGTAATATAGATGATCTGTTGGAGTGGGAAGGGATATGAACGAGGAATCTTTTTTGGATGGGCATCCATATGGGCATATAGAGGATGATATTTGGATGATCTGCTAGGGATGCTCTTAGTCGACGACTATAGATTGGCACCCCCCCTAAATAGTTGGTGTGTTGATTTACCTGGTCGATCAGATATACCACTTCAATCGCAACTATTTCTTTGTGCTTAATCACCTATTCATAATATTTAGATTGCATCTTATCTTGTTCTTGCAGTGTTCTCTCGTTTGCATTGCAAGGATCCTCAACCGCGTGCAACTATTTCTTTGTGCTTAATCACCTATTCACAATATTTAGATTGCATCTTATCGTGTTCTTGCAATGTTCTCTCGTTTGCATTGCAGAGATCCTCAACCACGTGCCACGGTTGATACGACATCGTTTATGGTGTAGCGATTGCATGGCGATCTAGACTTGTTCTGATTGGTAGCCATGTCGTACACGTCACACTCGATAAAAGCGAGAGTTATCCCCTACCAGAAGATCAGGCCACGAGAGAGAGCACGTCATCAAGATACGTCAGTATCATAATTGATAAGTAGAATGAGAGGCCATGCTTACTTGGGAGAGATACATATGTCAACTAATGCAACCCATTTTTTCACATATTTGGAGTACAATTTAACATCTTTTTCCCTCTTTGAAATCTCTACCATCTGGTTTATTCACCTAACGTTGAAATGAACGAGGAAAATTCTGCTTGTGAGGCAAGCCTTAGAAAAAGCATGCCCTTGAAAAGACCATGCTTGATCTCTACACAACATGAGACCTAAGAAAAAGACTTTGCAACTTAAAAGGGTGTGTTCAGGAGGAGTTGGGAACTTCTCATCACCACACGAAAACATGATAGCTCATTAACACATGGTTAATTAAGTGTACTAGCTAAAAGAACTTGAAAAATGGATTAATATGATTTTTAAAAACAACTTTCATATAGAATTTTTTTTTAAACGCATACCGTTTAGCAGTTCAGAAAGTGTATGCATAGAAAAATGATATAGTAGAAGTTGGGAAAGAGTAGTGCCGAACTAAGTGCAAATCATGTTTTGAATAATAATACGATTATCATCTTAAGTAAAAACGATTTTGCTAGAGATCAATCAAAAGACCTTTTTCTTAGCCATCACAGGTGGGAAATCAATCCCACGACCTCTTGGTTGATGCCACGCGGTTGTAACCAGATGAGCAAGCTATCAATCCTATCGTGTTTAATATACTCCCTCCGTTTCACAATGTAAATCATTCTAGCATTTTTCATATTCATATTTATCTAGATTCATTAACATTAATATGAATGTGGGAAATACTAAAATGACTTACATTGTGAAACAGAGGAAGTACAACCGATGTACGATGCCATTATAATATAATTAAACTGTAATTATATTCGTGTGATTTTTACATTGAAAAAAATATTTTGAACGATATCTAGTAGCCCCAAGTAAAAAATATATTTAGACCCGAAACTTACCATTCAAGCCAAGGCCGTGTTTAGTTCCCCTAAATTCCCAACTTTCCATCACATCACATCACATCACATCGCATCGAAAACTTTTCTATGCACATAAACTATCAACTTTTTCTCCAAACTACCAACTTTCTCCCAACTTCCCAACTTTTCCACCATCTAAACACAGCCCAAAAATAAAAGAGTTAATTTCACAAAACTATAGGTACTTTGTACAATATATCACAAAACTACATATTTAAGAGTTTGTTTCACAAAACTACAGATTTATTGTCTCCGTTTATCACAAAACTATAGGTACCTGTACAATATATCACAAAACTACAGATTTAAAAACTTGTTTCACAAAACTATAGATTTAGTGTATCCGTTTATCACAGAACTACACATTTAGTGTCTTCATTTATTACAAAGCTACATATTTAGTGTCTTCATTTATTACAAAACTACTCCCTCCATCTACTTTTGATAGTCATATTTCCAAATCTGAAAAATCTATTTTTGATAGGCATATTTCAACCCAACGACCTATCCTCTTAATGACTTTCTCGGATTTAATGCATGACTCTCCATTATTCCACACAAGATTGGCTACATGGGCATCGAGAAATGTAAATATTAATAAATCTCTTGTTTACGAGGAATAACTAGTAGCATGTTTAAATGGATGATAAGTAGAATTACTTATCCTTGTCTGTGTGTCAAGATGAAATATGACTATCAACAGTAGATAGAGGGAGTACATATTTAGTGTCTTCGTTATCACAAAACTACAATTTTTGCATTAAAACCTGTAGTTTTGTGATAACGAAGACACTGAACCTATAGTTCTGTGACAAATGAAGAAATTAAATTTGTAGTCTTGTGAAACAAGTTTTAAATCTATAGTTTTGTGATATATTGTGTAAAGTACCTGTAGTTTTATGAAATAAGTTTATAAATCTGTAGTTTTGTGATATATGGTACAAAGTATTTGTATTTTTTGAAATTTACTCAAAATAAAACCTGAGTAAGAAGATCAGCCCGGCCCGGACCAGCCCAGCCGGTCCACAAACATGCAATACCACATTTCCCTTTTCTTAATTTTTCTAACACGAAAAAAGGCCCCGAATGGGTGGGAGGGGCCCGTTCGTCTTCTCCAGTAACGCAGGAGGGAGGAGCTCGTGGCGGCGGCGCCGCCACCGCACCGGCCGGCGGTGGGGACGCACGGCGAGGGACCCGGTCAATTTTTCCCAAAACAAAAAGCGTTCAAATCCTCACCACCTCCCATCTCTCTCTCTCTTGACCTCACGAATCCCCTTTGCCGCGAGCAACCCGCGACCTCCCTCCCTCCGCGGCCACACGAGGTACGCGCGCTTTCCCCCTTACCATCTCGAGATAATCCCCGAATCGATTGATTTCGACGCCGATTTGCGGCGATTTCCACAGGCAGGTTTGCTCGCGTCCCTCTCTGCTCTCGATTGATTCGTTGGGGGTTCGGGGGGTTGAGTGCTCGATCGTTTTGGTTGCGTGAGTCGCGGTCGAATTTAGGGTAGTATTGCTTGGCGATTCGTTTGCGCGGACTGGATGGGGGCTTTGATTGGATGGGGAGGTGGGAAAATCGCTATGCATGCTTGTTGATTGGAATTGGATTTTCCATGTGTGGGCGTTGCTTGTTTACATTGGGATTGATTTGCAGAGTTGGACTTCATCTGATTGCGTTGGAAGCAAGCGAATGTGTCGTGAGATTGAATAATGTGATATACATTTTCAGATGTTAGGTGCCATGTGTTAAAAACACCCTCGGGTCGTAGGTTTGATCTCCATTTATGATTTGAGTGAGCCGGGGAGCCACAGCTTAAGATGCCATATGTGTCATATGTTGTTTGGGGAGAGAACGGAATTGGATTGATAGGTTTTACATACAACACCGCATTGCTGAATTTATAAAATGCACAGTAGCGAAGGAAGCAAAACAATGTATCATACATACCCCCCTGGTGTCATTTTCCATGACATGCTGCCTAAGTTTTTCCTTGTCGTTTTGCATCACCGGGATAGTTGTTCCCATCTTGTGCATAGTTAGCCACCTGAAAATCACAAATTATCAGTTTGCGCCTGGCAAGTAAGCCAACCACCAACAAAATTTCCTATCTAGAAATCTGACAGCGATATTCTTCCTGAACCTGAAGGGCTAGGAATAATATGTCTGCAGTACTGCAATAATCATAAACTCAGGTTAAACTAGTTGTGTTTCGGGCATATTGCACCTGGGATTATTCCAATATATTGCCAAAATTTTAAAATGACATGTTTCGGTTATTTTTCCTTGTTTTTGGAGGAAATAGGTGGAGGATACCTTTAGATCAGCAGAATCCCCCTTTGGGAGCTAAAAACTGAGGAGTCTATGTGAAAAGAAAGATTACTGGGAAAATCGTAAAAACTTAGACATGTTAGTATGTTCAGCGTCCTTCTTCATAGAACCATACCATCTGTTTCATCTTAAGCTTCAATGGTCATGTAAAAGGTCCTTTGAATGACTGCAAGCACCTTCCATAGGAAGCATTCTGATGTTGGTTTCAGATCATGTTCATATGATGGAGGTTAAAAGCAATCCATACTTTATCAATCCAGTAGAACAATAAAGTAGTTTTTAATTTTTGGAATATTCAGAATTGGCAGTCCATATATGTTGAGAATTTTCTCAATATGGAACGAAGATTCCAATTTCCTAATCCAGTGCTGGTGCTCTACAGTTGACTTCAAATCCCACTGAATTATTTGTGAGCAATAAGTCAGTGCTAGTTCCTTGCTAAGCCCTTTCTAGTGTTGAAATTTTAGTGTTTAATTCTGTGAACTTCTAGGGAGGGAGGATGATGTTTTTAAGAAATAAAAAATGGAGAAAAATACTCTTGATTTCACCACTTCCTTTTTCAATCTTGCATATCTCCTGCAGTAAGCATAATCTCCTGCACATATGCTGCTTTTCCAGGATTCTACCTTTTCTTCCGCAGCTGTCTATCTACCGCCATGGAGCACTGAAGCCCCAAGCATCCAAATCACATTGAAATCCTTCCATTTAGATCACCGTAAGTGATAACTGTTGAAACTTATGCTCACCAAGTCAACCACGCACATAATAGCTGCCCTGTAAAGCAATGTTTTGTTTGTTAAATCCCATTGGAAGTCCATGCTCTCTGCAACAATATCCTGGTAGACATGTTGCCTCCTGTTGATCCAGTTGAGCGCAGAAAACACAATCAACATTCCCATCACATCCTGCTCGGCTTTTTCTTGGTTGCAAGGACTAACCGCTGAAGGATCTGATCATTAATTGGAACTGGAAGACCCCATCATTTCTATACTTCTTCAGGGATGTATTCATATCATTATATCAAATTTAAAAACCTATATGGTAAATCTACATATTCTGCAGGCTGTATTCATAGGAATTACAACAAGCTGTGCAATATATCCGGAAAACATTCCTTGTTTTCTTAGTGGTCCGCTGATATGGCCATACATACCTCATAGGAAATTAGGTGGATAAATTTAGAACATTCAATTATTTTAGTCTCAAAGATGGAAATAGATTTGCAAAATGCAGCGTGTTGCACTACCTCTTAGTGTTAACATAGCATTCTGAAAATAAGAAGATTATTGAGTATTGACACTGCTATTAGCATTTGTTGATAATATTATATGAATTTCTTTCTTTCTTTTTATCAGTGTAGATATTTGCATCATCTGGACTCAAGACTCCATTCCATTTTGCAGTGGCCTTTTGCTTTCAACTCAATCTCAAGAGTGTAATTAACTTGGAAATAAAGACAGGTGACTTATTGGTAAGCATTATGTCCTGCTTTTGCACTTTTCTTGTTTAATTATTACCATTTGTTTCTCCAGTTATTTTGTGCATTTGACTGTTTTAGTGGCTTCCATAGTCCCTCATATTTGTGTTGCTTGCGTTCTAGTGTCCCTTACGTTTTATAGTTTGGCATTGTGGAATTATAACTCTCGAGCACCATTTCAATGATATGCCGCTAAAGTACTTGTATGTGCAGTTCTAGACTGTAACCAGATAATCCTGCTTTAAAAAACTAAGTTAAATTGCCATAAAAAACAATGTTCTGATTTTAGGTTGGTTCTAATTTTCTATTGAGCTACAATTTGGTATTGTGGGGCTTGTTTTGTTTGATACCAACTTATTGCCCTACCAAAATTTTGGTAACTTCAATAGTAGCAAGTGCATGTTTGGTTTGCTACCAAATTTTACCCGCATCAGTTCAAATTCAATACTACCCAATTTGGTAGTGCCAAAACTTGCCAAGGTTTTGGCATTACCAAGATTTTGATAGGGCAAAATTGATTCCAAACCAAACAAGCCCGTGGTTTATGAGCCCTACAATTAATACTTAATGTAGGAGGATACCTAACATGCAATCTATTTATACAGTTCTACTATTTTATTGGAGAAGAACCATGTAACTATGTAGTGGTGAAGGCAGGGAGCCAATTGCTATTTGATAGTGCAACTACATTACAGAACTCCTCAAATTAAACTACTTGAACATATACTACATAAATTGATGTTACTAGGCTGTTCAGATTTACCTTTGGGGATTTCTGGTTGAGAGTTGTGTCATAGGAAAAACTGTGGGAAGAGGAGCTCAAGGAATGAGAAAGGGGAGTTAAGTGTGGTAGGAAGAAGGGAAGAAAATGGCATGAGCGTAAATGAGGGGTTTTGGATAGGGACATAGTTTGGCTGCACCATCATCGAATACTATCACTCTTTGGTGCACATAATACTGGCATATGCTAGTCTGCAATGGATATGCATTTTATGGTAGGAAGGTGCGTGAATGTGAGTGGCTGACACTAAAATCTTGTGAGGGTGACAGAAAAATATTCAACATATGACTCGTAGAAATAAGCAATGAGAAAAGACCTTCTAGCAGATATCACAGCTTGCATCTTTATGAAAACTTTAATCTGCTATTTGAGTTGTGTTATGCCATACTTCTCCAGTAGCACGAAGATGGTGTTGAGATATATTTGACTTGATATTGCTCAGTGGTCAGCACCAATAGAAACAAATATTGCATACTCCTGATCCTTTCCCCAATCATTATGCCCTTTTTGAGTGCATTACCAGTCAGACTTAAGTGCTTGCATGATCCATAAAATCTGGTTATATTCATGTGTAGGGGCCAATGGACTCCCACTTGGCCATTCACTTTGTCTATTAAAAGTCATTATAAATGATATGATGAATTGCATTGGGTGCATTGAAGGCTATAGTATAGTGCTTGATGTGTGTCATCTCTCTCTACCAACAGAGAAAAACAGAGCTAATGTTCCTTTTTAGGCTTATGTACTCTTTGTTTGCTGCCATGAAAGCCAAAGTTTGCCAAGGGAAATTTTGTTATCACCGCCCAAATTTGGTCTTTGTTTTGATGCCACATATCAGGAAGGTTCCGTACAAATGGTTTTGGTTACTCTGTTTAGTTCACTCTTGAGTTTTGACTCCAAACTACCAAGATCAGGACAGCCTTTCATGCGCAATTTTAGCTTTGAAACCAAATATACCCTTGATGCCTCGAGAAGATTGGTCTCCCTGATCAATTGGAACTCTTTATGCTATTCTCACCCTTTTTTCTGGCCTCCCATCACAATGGCTCATTTTGCTCAAGGTCTGTTGAATGCAACAACTTAAAATCATAATGGACCATCCACAGATTTTTTTTTTTCGTGTCCATCAAGAAATGAACAGAAGAGTCCGAGTGATAACCACACCAAAAGACAGGATTGATCTAAACCCTACCAAGCGCTAGCTGAGTAGGATCCAGTACAATAAAGCAACCGGAGTTTCATAAACATTAAAGTGTGTTTAGCGTGTCAAAACGCTAAACGTACTTTTTTGTTGAACTGTTCAGTGCTTTGCTGGCCTTTGATTCTATGTTACTTCTCGAGAAGACATGGGCTGTTCATTTCGTACCATGAGGCCCCAAACCTAGAAGCCTAGATGCATCGAACATGCAGACTTCCATTGTTAGATCGCATCAGTATTCACACCAGAGTCACGTGAAAACCAGCCTTGTCCGATTAAATTGATTTTAGCACTGTTCGAGGCCCATAAATCATTTTGTCATTCCTTCTGCACTGCTTATCTTCTTCCTTGTAGATTGCTAGTTAGTTGCCCCAAAATCCATGTAGACATCACTGCATCAGATGCTGGTTTCGGTCGCTTTCATCAGAAACAAAAAAAATGATCCTTTGCTCTTTGAAGTGTTAAAAAATGCAATAACATTCCAGTCTTTACTTAAACAGATATTCAGGGAGGTAAAGTAGCCCAAAACATGGGATAAAAAGTGAGCTGAAACTTCTCTGCAATCCGAGCTGTATCCATTATCTTATTTGGTAGTGGTACCGTGGATTGGGGGCTTGGAACACCACATGAGATGTTCTTCTTCCTTAGGGGAGAAGACTGTGTCCTCAAGACTGAAAAGCTTTGTCAACCTTTTGGGAGCATGTGATGGATGTCCTCTAAACACCCAGCTTAACCATGGCCTACAAATACAATATTTGATTTCTTATTGTCATCTGTCCCAGAAACATGCTTGCACCGGCATGCTTCGTGTTGCTTCTGTGTGAATACCAAATTTTTGTCAAAAAAAAAAAAGAAGCAAAGCTTTAAAGCAATCTATATTCCTTATTGCTAGTAGCTTTGAGCAAATTGAGCTGGACATCATCATCACTCATAGCTCCCCCTTAAACAATGTTTTGTTTGCATCCTATGCACTCCTAGTAGTGTACACGTTGCTTTACTTCATGGTTGTTACTCACCATCTTTCTGGAAAAGCAAAGCTTCCTTTGTGTGCCTGTTACTACTTGTTAACACAAGTTACACTGTCAAGTTGCAGATACATTTTTTTTTTTACTTTGCATCATCTTTTGACTGTCACTGTGCCCCCTTAGCTAGATATCTGGACACTGTTGGCCATTGATGCTACATATCAGATTCAGGTCAGTATCAGTATAGGTAGGTGGTATGCCATCGACGAGTAGGGTTCTTACGTCCAAAGGGTGTGTTAGGAGGTGTGCTACCATCAGCCACATGGATAAATTCCTGGAAGAAGCCGGAATGCATCACCATCAGAGTACCGAGTGCCACCAATGCCATGATAGGATGAACCCAAGACGTGTAGTACTAGTTGCACCGTAGCAGCAGCACATAGCAAGGCCGTGTGGTTGGCGATCGATTGCCGTGTGGGTGTGCGCGTGTGTGCGCCCTGATAATGCACCGACTCTTGCAGAAGAACAGGAGAGTTGCTTGGCTGATTCCGGTTGGAGGATAGTAGTGATGATTTTCCATTAGGATTTAGGAATCGTGCGCCGACTAGTGGACTAGTAATGCTTCACGGAGAGGAGAAGCAGAAGCAGAAGCAGCAGCATGGGTGGTGCCGGTGATGTAAGTACGATACGCTAAGCATCCTATCGCAAGTTCGAAGCACCTTTGCACCGCGTTTTGTGAGGCCCCACACTAAAAGAAATCATGTCATGTGCCCCCCGTGTTTGCTTTAATTTGATGGGCCCTTAGGTCCTTTTTTTTATTAAGATACATATTTTTATCTTAATTTTAATTCGAGTACTCCTAGCTGCTAGACAGTATATTTCGTAAAAAACTTTCTATATATAAGTTACTTTAAAATATCAACTAAATCAAAATTTCAAGTATAAAATAATTAAAACATAATTAATTGTATGCTAATATATTTTTTTCGTGTCCACACCCCATCTTTATATGCTATTTTCTCAAACGGGGCCTTAATAAGAAACTTAGAAACTTGCTCTTCCTATTTCTGCTAAAATTTGTACTGTTTGTTCCTTTGAGAAATCCATTACTAATTCATTTCTGTAGAACATCCAGACAAGAGGTTACTGAAATGTAGCATAACGAATCTTCAATCCGTTTGTATATGTGCAGTGAAACCAGCAGGTGGAGGAGGTGGCTGCCGCTTGTTTCCAATACAGCAGAGAGAGAGAGCAGAAGAGCCCCCAATCAAATCCAGCTGACGCGGTGTCCATCAATTAATAACAGAAAGAAGAAGAGGATCCGGTTGCCACCCAACCACCTCCCCCCTCCCCCTCCCTTGTTTATATAAACCCGACCGCACCCTGGCGCCAGCCATGTCATCATCATCCACCCCCACCGGAGCAGCAGCCGACGATCTCGCCGCCGCCAACGCCAACGCCAAGGAGTGCGTGTTCTGCGAGATGACGCGGCAGCACCACCCGCAATGCGCGCGGCGGCTCCCGAAGCGGATCATCCTGGTGCGCCACGGCGAGAGCCAGGGGAACCTCGACATGTCCGCCTACACCACCACGCCCGACTACCGCATCCCGCTCACCCCGCTCGGCGTCGACCAGGCCCGCGCCGCCGGGAAGGGCATCCTCGACGTCGTCTCCTCCGCCGCCAACTGGAAGGTCTACTTCTACGTCTCCCCCTACGAGCGCACCCGCGCCACGCTCCGCGAGATCGGCGCCGCCTTCCCCCGCCACCGCGTCATCGGCGCCCGCGAGGAGTGCCGCGTCCGCGAGCAGGACTTCGGCAACTTCCAGGTCGAGGAGCGCATGCGCGCCGTCAAGGAGACCCGCGACCGCTTCGGCCGCTTCTTCTTCCGCTTCCCCGAGGGCGAGTCCGCCGCCGACGTCTTCGACCGCGTCGCCAGTATGTCCCCATCTCATTTCAATTCAATTCCATTCTCCCATTCTTCTTGCAATTCAAAACGATTTCTGATGAAATTCAATCCAATTCAATTCTTGTTCAGGTTTCTTGGAGTCGCTGTGGAGGGACATAGACATGGGGAGGCTGGAGCAGGACGCGAGCTGCGAGACCAACCTGGTGATCGTCTCCCATGGCCTCACCTCGCGGGTCTTCCTCATGAAGTGGTTCAAGTGGACGGTGGACCAGTTCGAGCGCCTCAACAACTTCGACAACTGCGAGTTCAGGGTCATGCAGCTCGGCCCCGCCGGCGAGTACAGCCTCCTCATCCACCACACCAAGGAGGAGCTCCAGCGCTGGGGCCTCTCCCCGGAGATGATCGCCGACCAGCAGTGGCGCGCCTCCGCCAACCGCCGCAGCTGGGCCGACGAGTGCTCCTCCTTCCTCGCCACCTTCTTCGACCACTGGAACGAAGACGACAATGACGACGACGACGATGGCAAGGAGGAAAATGGCAAGACCAACAAGTTGCTCGAGTAATAATCTTGCTGCTTGCCTCTACTTGCTCTTTCTTTAGAAATTCCGTTTAAAATTCTTTGGAATTTGATTCGATTGGTACTACTAGTGTATTTCTCCATTGGGGCGATGCAATGTACTCCCCTTTGCTGATTCTTTTCTGTTTGATCTGTAGCCTGTTCATACATAGTTGCTAGATACTACATTGATAAATACTATATATGATTTGGGGAAATGAAGCAAACGATTTGACTATCAAAAGGAATCATTGCCTATATTCTGATAAACACATAGGATAAATCTCGAGGGTTTGTTCTGAATCTCATTCCTATTACTTGACTGTCATTAAAGGGGATCTTTGCCTCTCTTCTGTAACTAAACACAGCCCCTTTTGTTTCACCTAACTTTGTTTAACTACTAATAATAGATAGGTCACATTAATTCGAGCTTTTGTTGACAGTGATATATGAGATTATGGATTTCTCTGTGAAAAACACTTTACTTTTGGGGCAAATGCAGCATGTTGTTAGCAGATCACCTGGGAAGGCCAGATACGCCTCCATGCTTTCGTTCAATTTGGTTCTTGTTTTCCCTGATTATTTTACTCCTAGATATGGCCATGGCCTCTTTACTATTTTTTGTCGGGGTGACCGAAGGAGGTCATCCAATGTAATTAAGATGGAGGAAACCTCTTTACTATTACAATGTGCTTTGTTTAGCTAATAAAGATAGGTAATATTTTACATCTTCGGTTTACAATTTGTTTTTACAAGGTTATGTATTTTTGTCAAAAAAAGGGGGGGAACTTAGCATTTCGTGTGGTTGCATTCTTCCTTTTTGTGACGGGAGAAAAATGGTAGTATCTGTTATTCATGTATAGCTAGACACACACTCCAGTTTTCACATGCATATGTCATCAGAAACAGGTGCAAATGCAAAGATTCCTTCCTTGCTACTAGTTGGCATGTTCATCCTTGACTACACACTATACATCTAGATGTTGCAATTTCGTGCAGTGCACTACAAGTAGGAGTACTTCTTTTCTCCCTTTTTCTTGTTATTTTATCTTTTATTTTATTTTCTAAAAAAATCAGAAGTACTAGAATTGTGGAACCACAAACAGAGCACTGTCCTTCCTGGCTGGTCCAGCAAACTTGCCCATCTGACAATCTGAGTACTAGGATCCATGTGATCCTATTCTAATCAATGGCTATCAGCCTATCACATCTAAAAGAAGGGAGAAAAAAAATAGCTCCCTTTGAATCAAAGGATTTAGGTAGGAATTTTATAGGATTTAAATCCTATAGAAAATTTTCCTATTTGGCCCTTTGATTTAAAAGATTGAAGATTTTTAAATCCTATGAAATTCCTATGGAATGGCACATTGCATGTGGATTTTGGAGGAAATATAGCAAGAGCTTCAACCTCTTGGAAAATTTCCTTTGAGTTCATCTCTCTTATCCGATTCCTGTGTTTTTCCTGCGCTCCAATCAAACGACCATTCCTGTGTTTTGCAATCCTCTGTTTTACACTTAAATTCCTATCATAATCCTGTGTTTTTCCTATTCCTCCATTTTTTCAACCCTGCGATTCAAAGGGGCCCTCAATGGATTACAGCTAAGGGCCCATTTGAATTGAAGGATTGAGAAAACGTAGGATTAGGAAAAACATAGGATTTTGATAGGAATGTAAGTGTAAAACAGAGGATTGCAAAACGTAGGAAAAACACAGGAATGACCGTTTGATTGAACCGCAGGAAAAACGTAGGAATTGGATGAGAAATATAGACTCAAAGGAAAATTACCAAGAGGTTGAAGCTCTTGCTAAATTTCCTCCAAAATCTCTATAGGATTGTCCATTCCATAGGAATTTGAAAGGATTGGATAGGATTCAATCCTTTGTTTCAAAGTGCTTTATAGGAAATTTTCCTATAGGATTGAAATCCTCCAAAATTCCTATGAATTTCCTTTGAATCAAAGTTGATTTTAGATATTTCCAATGTAGTTTTATTTTCATCATTAGTTTTTAAGTAGCTAAGTTTACGCGTAAAAAAGTTATTTTTTAATCGTTAATAAGTCATTTTGACTTGTAATCAACTCATGTCCAACTGATGGGTCCTTCATGTCCTGCAAAGTGTGCTGCAGTATGAACTTCAGATGTTCTTCTCCTTGTATAAGTTCCCATGAACTGCATATGAGCATATCAGCAGTCTGAATATTTTTTGAGCAATTGGGGCGAGATCCCCAAATGCTGGGTGAGGTGTAGTCTTGACCATCTTTTTTTTTTCTTCTAAAGATGGATCAATTCCCATCAGGGCTTGGATTTCATTAATAAGCATGAAACTTGCTGGTGATATTTTGTTACATGATGGCAATTCAACAGGGCAGTGACCTACATGTTGTACATTGGAATATAAGAACAACTTGTCCTGACATGTGTAGATTGCGCATCTAATTTCGCTAATGTTTGATCCTTTCAGCTGCCATGAACATGCTTCATCACTCATTCACTCCGATGTTTAATATTCCCTCCAGTATTTTATTTCCCATTTTTCTAATTCTCTGAAGTCAAAGGGGTGCCATTTTGATTACTACTCACTCTGATCCTATTTACTACTCTCTCCACGGGAAAGTATTTTCTACACCTAGATATTATGACAACTAGGTATATGCATATAGTTTAAATAGCTATATAAAAATTCATAAAATTGATAAGATACTTTATGATAATATAAGATACTATACAAACATACAGGTTTAAATTCGATCTATACATAAAAAACAAAAACAACAAAATTATTTGCAATGTAGAAGGTATTTCATAATGTAAGGCATGGTCAAACTTAGTACGGTCTCTAAAACTAATCTTTGACTTATAATTTCTCGTATACTATAAAGTTTGTAGCAACAAAATTATAACCATATGAAAATATATTGAAATACCAATTTAATGTTATTATTTTCAGCAAATAAAATTTAATTTATAATATACTAATCATTAGTCTTTTTTTAAAGTTAAACCTTAAAATGTGTACGTGTTTTACATTATGGAATGGGGCCTAAGTATTTCGATATAGGGGTTGTAATTTCTTTAAGGATGATTTTTTATTTGCCCATGTAAAATACTCTCTTCATGTGGATGTGTCACATCCACCCAAAATCCTTTATATTATGGGACGGGAGAAGTGTACGTGAATCGTTGTTTTCATGTAATGAGTCAATTAGGGATCGGGTCAACTTTCTAGGGTAAATAAAATATAATATTTTTTTGTCCCTTCACATACAGTTGAATATAATTTAGGCCGAGTTTAGTTCTGTCGAAACTAGATTTCGGCAATAATAAAAGGAGGTGGCTATCAAGCTAGAAAAGTGTATGGGTTTGGAGACAAAGGATTTATACAGGTTCAGGCCTTCTTATAAAAGAAGTAATACCCTACTCCTGTCCGGGGATGAATCCGCCGAGTGTATTATTGATTGTATGATTCGGGAAAAATCAGCATATGCCCCTAGAGGCGCCCGGACCCCCCTTATATATGGGAAGGAGTCCGGATTACAAAAGATAATCTATATTCCTAACGGAATATGAAGATAGAGGTAAAATACAGTCGTAACCGACTAAGTCTCAGGGTGTTTCCTTGATACACAAGTTAAGAAACAAAACCCGAGATACAGATAAGATATTCTATCTACATTAGGTATCCTGTACCCAGTTCGAATACCATCGCCGTGTAGATATGGGATACCCATAATCTCCACAGTAGCCCCCGAGTCCTTTGCAGTCGACCATCGTAGCCCTCTCAAAGATGATAATCCGAGTACTTCAAACTCTTCAAGCCAAAACCTGCCGAGTGGACTGTAAAGGGCGAAAAGATAAAGAATATGGTGCATCGAATAGATGCACCTAATTAGGTGTAACCCCCAACTATGTGATTAGTTAACAAACTAAACATATAGTTGAAAGACAAAATAATAACACAATTGTGCATTATATGACAAAAGCGTACGCGGCGCCTAAATAGGCATGCTAGCCGACTGCTTTTTAGCCACAATAAAAGAAATCCGAGTGGTTTACACTCTAAAAGGTTCACGAATGAACACACTCGACAGGCATCCGAATATAAAAACTCTAAAGATTACCCATCAAGTATTATAAAGATTATGGTAATAAATAAGTCGAATAGCCTAGGCCATGACTATTTACCATGAAAACAGGCATATAACACGCCAAGGAAATGACTATAATAAAAACAAGTCATCCCTAGTTAACCCAAACAGCTTTTGTAGCCTAAAAAAGCTTGCAAAAACAGCATAACGCCTTTCTGTCGGGCACCTTTTTAATTTGCATTGCAATAATTCCAAAGAATTATATGACCGCATAAAAAGGATTTCATCAGCATTGGGCAACACTGTTGTGCGCATAATATTGCCAAAGCAAAATATGCCTAAGTCCCTAAGGAACACAATGGGCCACGCTGTTAAAAGTATTGGGCTAAAGTACTGTTCAGGCCTAGGCCCATTAGCACCTCCGATACCCTTAACTGAAAAATCCGATATCCAAGCGACGCTTCGTCTTCCCCGCCGGAACTCTCGCCATTTTCCCCACTCCCTGCTACAGTGCAAAGCTGCGCCGACGAACTAGGGTTCACAACTCCGGCCAAATCCACCTCCGAAAAGTGCATCAAAATCCTTCCCGTGATCCACCGCCTCAATCCCTCACCTCTCCCAAGCCATCCCTCGAATCAAATCAGCACATTTGAGTGAAACCGATGGCGGAAGAGAGAGAAAGCTTCGAAGGCCAATGGGCGTCATCCGACGTAACGGAGGAGAATCTTAAGGAGATGGTGGCGCACGGCGTTCTCCCTGCCAAGGAGATCATCAGGTGGCGACCAGCGCACGGTGAGGCTTTCCCGTCTCCGGATACTCATGAGATTGTGGTCTTCTCGCATTTCTTCTACGGCGGCTTTGCTCTTCCGACCTCAAAATTTTTCCGCGGGATCTTGAACTTCTATGGAATCAGCTTGCATCACCTAAACCCGAATTCCATAGTGCATATCGCCAATTTCGTCCATGCTTGTGAAGCCTTTTTGGGGATCAAACCTCACTTTGCCCTATTCCGCCGGATCTTCTTCCTCAAGCCCCAACCAAACAAGAACAAACCGTGTGTAGTCGGGGGGGCAGGATTCCAACTAAGGGGAACTCTGAGCCAAAAATATTTCTCGATGCCCTTCAAGACTTCGAACAAAGGATGGCATGCAAACTGGTTCTATGTTCAGAATCCCGAGCCTGCT